AGTGATAGAAGATGATCAGGTAACCTACTTCTGTTCTTGATCAAATACACAACTAGAAAGTGATAGAAGATAATCAGGCTACCTGCTTCTGTTCTTTCAAATACACAACTAGAAAGTGATAGAAGATAATCAGGCTACCTGCTTCTGCTATTTCAAATACACAACTAGAAAGTGATAGAAGATAATCAGGTTACCTGCCTCTGATCTTGATCAAATACACAACTAGAAAGTGATAGAAGATAATCAGGTTACCTGCTTCTGTTCTTTCAAATACACAACTAGAAAGTGAAAGAAGATAATCATGTTACCTACTTCTGTTCTTTCAAATACACAACTAGAAAGTGATAGAAGATAATCAGGCTACCTGCTTCTGTTCTTTCAAATACACAACTAGAAAGTGATAGAAGATAATCAGGCTACCTGCTTCTGCTATTTCAAATACACAACTAGAAAGTGATAGAAGATAATCAGGTTACCTGCCTCTGTTCTTGATCAAATACACAACTAGAAAGTGATAGAAGATAATCAGGTTACCTGCTTCTGTTCTTTCAAATACACAACTAGAAAGTGATAGAAGATGATCAGGTTACCTACTTCTGTTCTTGATCAAATACACAACTAGAAAGTGATAGAAGATAATCAGGCTACCTGCTTCTGTTCTTTCAAATACACAACTAGAAAGTGATAGAAGATAATCAGGCTACCTGCTTCTGCTATTTCAAATACACAACTAGAAAGTGATAGAAGATAATCAGGTTACCTGCTTCTGTTCTTTCAAATACACAACTAGAAAGTGATAGAAGATAATCAGGCTACCTGCTTCTGTTCTTTCAAATACACAACTAGAAAGTGATAGAAGATAATCAGGCTACCTACTTCTGTTCTTTCAAATACACAACTAGAAAGTGATAGAAGATAATCAGGTTACCTGCCTCTGTTCTTGATCAAATACACAACTAGAAAAAGGTAGAAGATAATCAGGTTACCTGCTTCTGTTCTTACAAATACACAACTAGAAAGTGATAGAAGATAATCAGGTTACCTGCTTCTGTTCTTACAAATACACAACTAGAAAGTGATAGAAGATAATCAGGCTATGTGCTTCTGTTCTTACAAATACACAACTAGAAAGTGATAGAAGATAATCAGGTTACCTACTTCTGTTCTTGATCAAATACACAAATGGTAGGGATAGAAGATAATCAGGTTACCTGCTTCTGTGTTTTTTTCAAATACACAACTAGAAAGTGAAAGAAGATAATCAGGTTACCTGCTTCTGTTCTTACAAATACACAACTAGAAAGTGATAGAAGATAATCAGGTTACCTGCTTCTGTTCTTACAAATACACAACTAGAAAGTGAAAGAAGATAATCAGGTTACCTACTTCTGTTCTTTCAAATACACAATTAGAAAGTGATAGAAGATAATCAGGTTACCTACTTCTGTTCTTGATCAAATACACAAATTGTAGGGATAGAAGATAATCAGGTTACCTGCTTCTGTGTTTTTTTCAAATACACAACTAGAAAGGGACAGAAGATAATCAGGTTACCTGCTTCTGTTCTTACAAATACACAACTAGAAAGTGATAGAAGATAATCAGGTTACCTGCTTCTGTTCTTACAAATACACAACTAGAAAGTGAAAGAAGATAATCAGGTTACCTACTTCTGTTCTTTCAAATACACAATTAGAAAGTGATAGAAGATAATCAGGTTACCTACTTCTGTTCTTGATCAAATACACAAATTGTAGGGATAGAAGATAATCAGGTTACCTGCTTCTGTGTTTTTTTCAAATACACAACTAGAAAGGGACAGAAGATAATCAGGTTACCTACTTCTGTTCTTGATCAAATACACAACTAGAAAGGGATAGAAGATAATCAGGCTACCTGCTTCTGTTCTTTCAAATACACAACTAGAAAGTGATAGAAGATAATCAGGCTACCTACTTCTGTTCTTTCAAATACACAACTAGAAAGTGATAGAAGATAATCAGGTTACCTGCCTCTGTTCTTGATCAAATACACAACTAGAAAAAGGTAGAAGATAATCAGGTTACCTGCTTCTGTTCTTACAAATACACAACTAGAAAGTGATAGAAGATAATCAGGTTACCTGCTTCTGTTCTTACAAATACACAACTAGAAAGTGATAGAAGATAATCAGGTTACCTACTTCTGTTCTTGATCAAATACACAAATGGTAGGGATAGAAGATAATCAGGTTACCTGCTTCTGTGTTTTTTTCAAATACACAACTAGAAAGTGAAAGAAGATAATCAGGTTACCTGCTTCTGTTCTTACAAATACACAACTAGAAAGTGATAGAAGATAATCAGGTTACCTGCTTCTGTTCTTACAAATACACAACTAGAAAGTGAAAGAAGATAATCAGGTTACCTACTTCTGTTCTTTCAAATACACAATTAGAAAGTGATAGAAGATAATCAGGTTACCTACTTCTGTTCTTGATCAAATACACAAATTGTAGGGATAGAAGATAATCAGGTTACCTGCTTCTGTGTTTTTTTCAAATACACAACTAGAAAGGGACAGAAGATAATCAGGTTACCTACTTCTGTTCTTGATCAAATACACAACTAGAAAGGGATAGAAGATAATCAGGTTACCTACTTCTGTTCTTGATCAAATACACAAATGGTAGGGATAGAAGATAATCAGGTTACCTGCTTCTGTTCTTACAAATATACAACTAGAAAGTGATAGAAGATAATCAGGTTACCTGCTTCTGTTCTTGATCAAATACACAACTAGAAAAAGGTAGAAGCTAATCAGGTTACCTACTTCTGTTCTTACAAATACACAACTAGAAAGTGATAGAAGATAATCAGGTTACCTACTCCTGTTCTTGATCAAATACACAACTAGAAAGTGATAGAAGCTAATCAGGTTACCTACTTCTGTTCTTACAAATACACAACTGGAAAGTGAAAGAAGATAATCAGGTTATGTGCTTCTGTTCTTTCAAATACACAACTAGAAAGGGATAGATGATAATCAGGTCACCTCCTGTTATTTCAAATACACAACTAGAAAGTGATAGAAGATAATCAGGTTACCTGCTTCTGTTCTTACAAATACACAACTAGAAAGTGAAAGAATCTTCTAATCAGGTTATGTGCTTCTGTTCTTTCAAATACACAAGTAGAAAGTGATAGAAGATAATCGGGTTAGTTTTTAGTCATGGTAAACCTTCCATTATCCAGTGTATTAAGTATCCATTTTATGTTTTATAATATAATTATATATGATACTCGGGTAAATCAGGTATTGTCATATGATCACGTCGAATACATTATTACTTCATAACAATTTGCGAAACGTTTCCGTAACTTCTCCATTTCCAGTGAGTTAAGAAGGACCCTTATCATACCCCATCATTTGTTGTTGTTGTTGTTGTTGTTGTTGTTGTTGTTGTTGTTGTTGTTTTCTGTGTGTTTTCTTTCTTCTTTTGTAGGCACAGAATGCCATCGGTATGCTGTCAAGGGTGAACATATTAAAAGTTCAACGTCCATTCCAGTCGTAATCTGTTACTATTTTAACAGGAACAATATGTTGATGTACTCAGAAGTGAAGGTTTTATCGTAGTCGAACAATGACAAGTTGAAAAGTTAGAACCAAGTCACGTAAAACAATATGTCCATATGTGGGGGTCGAACGCATTACTGTTGGTTAAAACGTTACCAGAGAATACTTATTAACAGAGCAAATTCAGCTAAAGCTCCACACAGCGATAGCCTATTCGCGGAGTTGTAAACGCGCTGGGAAGGAGTATGGAGAAGCTGGGCACCGTCTCTCATTTGATTGTAGTCAAAACGGCCTCATGTCAGAACGGCCTCAAAACTCAACAGTCAAAACGGCCACAAAAAAGGTTAAAATGGCCACAGACCCATTGTCAAAACGGCCACAACAAAATTGTTATCACCCCGGCATATAATGCGGGGGTATATAGCGATCAGCCAGTCTGTCTGTCCGTCCGTCTGTCAGTCTGACCGTCTGTCCGTCTGTCCGTCCGTCCGTCCGTAATCATTTCCTTTTCCGGGGAAGAATTCGAAAACCATTTAGTGTATTTGATCGAAACTTGGCAAAGCTATCAGGCACATACTGAAGTGGTGCCCTTTGATATTTTGGGATTTTTCTCATTTTTATTTTTTAATTTTTTTATGGAATGAATTTGGACATAGACTCAATTGGGGATGGGGTTCGTTTCCGGGGCAGAATTCGAAAACCATTCAGTGTATTTGATCAAAACTTGGCAAATCTATCAGGCACATACTGATCGAAGTGGTGCCTTTTGATCTTTTGGGATTTTTCTAATTTTTATTTTTTTTCAAATTTTATGGAATGAACTTGGACATAAACTCAATTGGGGATGGGGTTCGTTTCCAGGGCAGAATTCGAAAACCATTCAGTGTATTTGATTGAAACTTGGCAAAGCTATCAGGCACATACTGAAGTGATGCCTTTTATTTATTTTTTTACGAATTTTTATTTTTTACAATTTTTATGTAAAGAAGTAGGACCTAGACTCCATTGGGGAACGGGTTCGTTTCCGGGCCAGAATTCGAAAACCATTCAGTAGGTTAAACAATGTATGCTTCTAAAAGAACATTCAACTGTTGACTCATAACATACAGAATTGCACATTTACTAAAGGTTACTTTACAGACAGCTGCCGGGGGGATATGTCATCTTTCTGATGACTCTTGTTCTGTGTGGCCGTTAAGACTATTTATTGTGTCCATTAGGACTGGGTTTTTTTCTGCCGTTCTGACTATGGGTTGTTGCCGTTTTGAGTGTTTGCCTTGGCCTTTTTGACCTTACCTTTTGAGGCCGTTCTGACTTGGGGCCGTTTTGACCCGCTCCCTCTCATATTAGCTTGCGCAGCGCAACTAGGACATGGTACTAGTCTGCTAGGCACATCAAATGTTATAAAAATCTCCTAAAATCTCTTAAGTTATAAAACCCATCTTGCCAATTCTATATTTTGCCAATTTAGAATTTTATCCACCTAAATCCATATACTAAGTGTTGTATTTGCATGATACGAAACTGAACATTTTGATTAGCTTTACATGTTGACGTTTGACAACAAATATGGAAGGCGTGTTATGGAAGTGGACAAATTATTTATCGGGTAAGAAAATGAGACATGCTGGCTCATTGTGAAAACTTTTGCTTTTTTCGGAAGCGTTCACATTTCTGTCGTGAACAACCAGTTTTTCTTTTTGTTTATTCAACGAAACGCAAACATATTTGAACACAATACTCCCCGTGTGACTGTCAAATCCTCAATTTAGATTTTAGTTTTTTTACGCCGGTTTTGTGTGATCGGACTGTTCAATATGGATCATGATATACTTTAGTCTGTCGCGACAATAGAGTCATTTGCTTATTCCCTATGTAAGTAAACTGATAAACTTGATTTGTATATGCGATCATATCCACGATACACATGTTAGGTGTCAGGTGATCATGAGGCTAGTGTTGATGTTAATAGTTTTCCCACAGTAATAACGATGTTACTGGTTACTGAATTTCTTTTGAAAACGTTTCATTTCCTTGCCTGCCCAGATGCAACATTTGCTGACTGACTTTTAGGTAATCACCCTAATTAGCAGCAAAACTATAAAATACTGTCAATACATCATATAGGAAGCTGACAAATGTCAGGCTGTGATGAGAGTGTGTCATGTTAGTTCCATTCTCACTTCTTAGATTACTTTTACCACATATATGCAGATTCCTTTCTCCTGCTATTTATTTTTTAAATTGTAGACTTTAGCAGTCCAAGTATTGTAAGAAGAGGTTGTAATAGGCCATATATATCAGAAATGTTAGATAGAGACAAATTTTACAGTGGTTTAGGTACAGTCGGTTTTCACATGGAACATGCTGCTATTTTGCCAAGCTCATTAAAATCAGATCTTAGTTCTCGCTTCCACTAAACAAAGATCTGAGGACATCCCATTACGGGTCACGTCAGAGCGACCTTTTGGAAACTCTGACCGACCAATGGAATTACAGACAAGAAGTTGACATTAGACTATCAGAAGGCAGCTTTCTCGTGCTTTACGGCACTAATTACAAATTGGCGACTACGCTTCGAAACATATTTTGACAAATTCTCGCTTACAAAATTGAAACCTAAACAAAAGAACATTCTCGAATGGCTAATATATGGTCTAGATTGTATAGATTTAGTCGCTAAGCCCGTAACTATTGTTCGGAATACCCCGTTTAAGTTTTCAAAGCGGGATGATGAGAAATCAAATTTCGACTGTCACTTTCAGGATCTGGTAAGCGACGCTCTGATTGGTCAGATGAAAGGTCGTTCTGACGTGACCCCTAATGGGATGTCCTCAGATCTTTGTTTAGCGGTACCTGTTGACAGTTATCCATATTGTGCACATTACTAGTACCTGCATTTCTAAAGAAAATTCATTCAGGATTTTTTGCGACACACAAATGTGCATCCAGTACTCACAAATGTTAAGATTGGACACCAAAAAAAAAGAATAATATTCAGTGTACCTACAGCACATCAAGAGCAATAATGGGTGTCTGTCATTTCATCCATCAATCATTAACACTGTCTACAGGATCACTGATTCATTCCAGGCTCAAAAAGTAATTATCAAAACATACTGTACACATCACCATTTCAAATCTCTACCTGACCTTTTGATAGTCAAGGTAAATCCTGACATTGTAAGTATGATTCAGTTAGTAAGTGATTAGTCTCTTGGTGTACAAAAGAAAACTTATAAAAACGACTACCTGCATATCATGATGTGTGTGCAAGGTAAATCATGTTCACTGTATTTACATCACGTACATGTTCAAACATTTTACTTGTAGTTCCAAGTTGTCAAGTGACATAAATCTGTTGCTAACCAAAATTGTTATATCCTACAGCATGTCCAGTGATATCATAATTTGACCAAAAATATCTGAAAAGCCTAGATTCTCGACCACACATTTCATGGGCACTTATATTCTGGAGCACATATTTATTCCTGTGTAAACTTGAACAATAAAGAAAGTGCCCATTACATCTGTTGATCTTCCTGATGGATTATGAAAGGCTGCTATCACTCTACGTAGCTTTGGGGAGTATCAATAAAAACAATGCTGTCCTGGATTTCCTTGTATTTTAGTGCCAATGGCACAGTGAAAACATAACTTTACTGTTAAAATAATTTTCCTCTGCTAGAAGTGGACTTAGAAATGGCATTCTTTTAACAAAAATATACCTTGTGACAATGTTTATTATATGAACCCCTGGAAACGTGTGGCAAAGTCGTCTAAGGCGCTGCGATTCCCTGTGCAGAGTTGCGTCCCTTGGGCACGCCAGAAACCTATGATTGTGGGTTCGAATCCCGGTTCACCCCGATTATGTTTCTAGGTTTGTCAGCACCATACCTGTGCTCGTGGGTTTCACCGAAGTGGTAAACGTCTGAGACCTGCATCACTTCAGGCTTTCCTCCCACATTAAGCTGGCATGCCGTGATATAACTGGAATACTGTTAAAAGCAGCATTGAACCCAACTCACTCACTCACTCACTCACTCACTCACTCACTCACTCACTCACTCACTCACTCACTCACTCACTCACTCACTCACTCTCACTCACTCACTCACTCACTCACTCACTCACTCACTCACTCACTCACTCACTCAACACACCTAACATGCCCAATGCAAAGTTTCATACATAAGATAATTGTTTTTATTTAGAAATGAAAAAGGGTATTCTCAATCTCAATGAAAAGGCAGGGGTCAAACACTCAAAATTACAACTGCTTATTTTCTAGCCTTTATTCACCACATTTATCTTCTAGTTGGCACACTTTAATTCCAAAAGCAACACCTAAAATTCTTTCCGATTGCCTTGTGTCACACTTGAAAAAAAGTACATTTCTTTCCTTATAGTCCTTGTTTAAAACATATGTGGCTGCAAACCTGATTAGGGACTGATTTTTCTTGATTATATTATGTATATGAAGTCATTGTTATATCTAATAAACAATGTGTTGAAAAGTTTTATTTATTGATAGTTTTTATTACATCCCAGTGTTATCATGGTTATTGATAACCTAAAATACGGTAACTATAGACATGTTAAATATTTATTAGCCCAAATAGTGATATCATCATCATCATCATAGACCTCTAATTCTGCTTTCCTTCAGGATTCTTATAATATTAGACAGTAATAAGCATATTGTTGGAAAAACTGACTCTAGGTGGTGGGCTTGTGCAAATCTCTATTCCTGCAGTCAATATTCAGTGAATATGTTTAAGTCATTATTTATGTATGTCTGGTCACAGCTGTATCCTTGGTAACTGTGGCAACATGAACATGATGGATGCATTTTGAGGTTCCTTGATACACAGCATGTATACAATGTATTGCATGATTGGAATAATAATAGAAATATTAATTACCTATCCAAGGATTTATTTAGACAAGTGCAGAGGCCAATATTCGACCCCAACTTTTTACAGCAAATGTCAATAGATATTTCCAAATTGGAGTTAATAAATTTCCAATTCATGGTATTTAACTACTGTTTGCACTTGTTGTAGAGGTGACGTATATTACATCGTTAACAGAACCAAAAAGGAGGAAGAGGCTTTTATGCTCAGTTTACAGTATTCAATTCAAAATTATAATGCCTCTTAGTTTCAGAAAATAAGAGAGAAAAATCCCAATTTTAAACAAAGTAATTACTTTTTTCCCTATTTTCCTGCTAATGGCACTTTGTTTGGAATTTTGAAAAAACATTTTCAAAGCTAATTGTTATATTTAATCATATTAATATTGAAATTAAATTGTTCATCTTGCTCATGAAAGACAAAACAGGGGTCCTCAATGTACATGATTAATGCCAATTACCGTTTAGTTGGTACTGGGTTTCCAGAAACGATTATATTGTTTTGATCATCGTTTCAATGACACAAAATATACACCTGGTACATGTATCAGTCAGAAATTTAGACGTTATTGAGCATGTTGAGGTTTACTGCTATAGACTGTGTATCAGGGCACCCCCATAATCTTAGATTATTCAATTAATTACATGAGCATTACAACAACCCCTGATGAAGAAAACTCATTGATTTTGTTGAAGTCTTGTGCTGACAACTGCTGTGTTTCAGGTTGGCAACCGCGATGGTTTGTCCTGGACAATGGAGTCCTCTCCTACTACAAATCACAAGAGGATGTCAACAATGGCTGTAAAGGTTCAATCAAGATGACTGTATGTGACATAGTTGGTGAGTCGACTTTCAAAAACAGCCATCTTTGGTTGAATTTTTCCAAGTTAGCAAACAGCTAAATTGACTTAATTGTTTTGAAATTTTTGTTTACTTGTTGGCCAGTGTAGCATGTGGAGGCATGGTTGGATGCCTTTAATGTGGAGCAGATTGCAAGTGCCTAGTTTTTCCCTGCTGTTGTCAATTCATAATTATTTTGTCTAAATATGTACTGGCCTTAAGAAGGGACACAAACTTTCATTTTTCATCATTGCATCATTCTTGACCACAGTCTTAGCACTAAGATGGGCATAAATGTTTTCAGTCCATCCAACTGATGCTGCCCGACTGGACTTAATTATTCATGGAGAACAACACTATTATGTAAAGGCTGCTACAACCAAGGAGAGACAGGAATGGCTTGTTGCTCTGGGCAGTGCCAAGGCCATGCTCAACAACAGTGGACGAGCTGCAGATTCAGGTAACTGTGACGTTATGTATCAGATTTAGCTATGGTACTGGATTTCATTTCAGTCCTTGGGGCGGTCGGGTTGCCTAGTGGTTAAAGCGTTGGCTCGTCACGCCGAAGACCCGGATTCGATTCCCGACATGGGTACAATGTGTGAAGCCCATTTCTGGTGTCCCCCAACGTGATATTGCTGGAATATTGCTAAAAGTGGCGTAAAACCATACTCACTCACTCACATTTCAGTCCTTAATGCTGTATAGCCACCATGTACGTATGTTGATATTTTGCTTCATGTTCCAGCTGATGAAGTTTCCCCAGGCAGCCTTCGCTCCAAAAAGTCGGAATTGCGACTGTATTGTGACCTCCTTATGCAGCAGGTCCACTCTGTTAAACAAGCCGTAAACACTGACCAGGCAGACACTCAGGTAAGCTATCTCCTCATGTCCACTGTCAAACAAGCCGTAAATACTGACCAGGCAGACACTCGGGTAAGCTATCTCCTCATGTCCACTGTGAAACAAGCCGTAAATACTGACCAGACAGACACTCTGGTAAGCTATCTCCTCATGTCCACTGTCAAACAAGCCGTAATTACTGACCTGGCAGACACTCAGGTAAGCTATCTCTTCATGTCTACTGTCAAACAAGCCGTAAATACTGACCAGGCAGACACTCTGGTAAGCTATCTCCTCATGTCCACTGTCAAACAAGCCGTAAATACTGACCAAGCAGACACTCAGGTAAGCTATCTCCCAGTGTCCACTCTGTTAAACAACCTGAACACACAGCATGTGTATTCCCAGGTGAGTTATCTCCCCTGGACTACCTTCGTCTTGGGGAGTTGTCTCCCCTTGTCTACTTCGTCAAAGCTATTCGTTATGAACAGTGGACGCTGTGACACTCTTTCAGCTAAATGAACCATGCAAACAGTGCCCCCTTCAAATAAAATAAAACAAATTCCCTTGAAATAAACATACCCAACTGCATGTCCTTGAATGTTGCGACATCAAAACGTCATGTCGTATCTCCCCATGGGTTTTCTGAGTCAAAATGGATCCCCAGTACCCAGTGTTTGATTAAAGAGCCAACTAAAAGGAGATTTGGGTGGTTGCTATGTTTGATTAGGCTAATTGTTTGTCAATGACAACATGTGTTGATCATTGTGCTATCTGGTTTTCCTGAACCAAAGTTGATAATTTACATGCCTCCTTGAACTTGTTGATATGGCAGAATTACTGCTGACTGCAGCATAAAACAACATTCACTCAGTCATTCAGTCAGTCATGTGGATTTGACGTGTGAAATGTTCACTTACCCTGAAGAAGGTTTATTATGTTGGAGTGAAAGTATGAACATGTTTTCTGTGCATTTGTTGCAACCAAATATAGTGTGTTTGGAAAACTTTTTATACAATTATTATTGGAAGTGATTAAAATGTGCCGGATAATTTTTAAGTGTGCAGTCGATGTACACAGATGGTAGTATTTAGTTTTCTGTAAGATTGAACTAACCAGCAGGGCTAGTGGAAATGCTATAATAGGAACTAAACAAATTATTGTATATTTTTTACTTATCCTGCATTACTCCTTTATGCATTCACTGCTTACCTTACAACAACAAAATGACAGCATACAGCTGTGGTCTTGGGTGAAGAAATAAAAGTTGTTTTAAAGTCCCACTCTCGCTTTCTGCACTGACCACTGCCGCTGTCTTTGTGACCTTGTTGACAAGTCACCTTCCTCACATCACTGCCTGTTGCATCAAAGCAAGGACATGTCTCAGCGGATCTCTTAAAATTGGATAATTTTAGACCTTCAGCTTGGGATATTATTCTAAAATTTATCTCCGATGGGTAATGAATTCTCTTCATATTACTTTCACTATGTTGTGTAGTTTTATGTGGATTATTTAGGCGTACAAAGACTTTTTTCCCCCCATGTGCTCGTTGTTTCCCGCCATTTTGAATTTGTGTCACAATTGTTTGCCTGTAAGGGAAGTCAAATTGTTTACAATTCTCAGCTACATATGTATAATATATTCTTATGTTTTTAGTATACTAGTAGCTTCAGCGTTACATAAGCGTTTGCATGCGTCAATATTTGTGAAATACACTTTCAACTTGTAAAACATATCTGGCGATAGAATATTGTTTAATTCTATGGCAATCTTCCAACTCCATCTCATCAACAATTCTCTATTTTGTTTAACTTATGCTTGCGCGTTGTACTAATTGTCGTGAAAAAAATATTCCAAGGATCCTCAACCACGTTGTTTGGCATGCACATAGATATGGTCTCCAAACTTTAAATGTAATTTTTGTGCACCTCTTCTTCTGTCATTATTACGCAGCCGTTATCTTCAGTGGGTAATATGGCTTCCGCCATTGTGACTGCAAACGTTCATCATCCGCCGATATAAACAGTACCGGAAGCTTTTGTGAGATTGTACCTGCTCCTAATTTTCAGGCGCCTGGGACATCCAGTACTACTATCCCTGCGACACCGGCACATGCTTTTCAAGCCATGATCCAGCGTTGCGTTTCATAATCACCTCTACAATTACATCAGCCCCAGGCCTTACAGCGTACCCTGTTACGCAGGCGACACATGATCAGCTTAGCGCTGTTCTAACGACTTATCCAGTGCGGCAGATGTACGCTCAGGCTTCACCCCCTGTCCAGAACACTAATTGGATGCAAAACTTTATGCAGTCCATGTGGCAGCAGTCTATGGCATACCTGTATCCTGCGCCTACGCCTATGTACCAACTATGGCACAAGTGTTACCAAACGCATAATGTGCATTCCGGTACAGCGCATACATCGCTAGTACACCAGCGCGTACATGGACATCAGCGCATGACTCCTTGTCACCAGGCAGGTGATCAAAGCCTTCTGATAGAGAAGGCTCTACGCACTGGAGCACAAGCCGTCAGACTTATCAAATGGCGAGGATGGCGATTCCTCTGTAGATTGGAATACGCATCTAGACTTAGCGCAAGTACCTGATTGGGTAGCAGGCCGTCTCATGTCAGTGGCGCCCTCCCCTGGTAATGGGGTGGATAAAAGGGACTCCACGAGGTCACATCCTACATCGATTCTGGTGGATTGGATGTTGACAGACATGATTAGGTCATTGGACGAGGACTTCTCCAAGCTCACAATTGCTCTGTCATTTGAGCCACCCAAGTTTAGGAAGGATGATTTCCCTGTCCATGCGTTTGACCCAGCTCATAGTTTGGATGAGGACATACAAAGGATGACAGGCTCATCAAGGCCAACCACGCTTAAGGTACAAGATACCAGATTTGTCAGCACTAGTGTCGTCATTGCATGCAGTGGATCAGTATCTATCAGGGGATAACCCTAGCCAAACCCTTTCCAACAGCGTCAGATTGACCACATAAGAAACCATCTAAAGGCTTGGTTATTTAGCGCTTTCCAACTGGGACTCTGAGTTCAAGCGCAGGATGCTACGTAATTACCTTGGTCATCTCAATGAACAGATCGCAGACACGCACACCAAAGTTTCCAATTACGCTAGGGATGAGACCGCGCTCAAGGCTCTAGAGCACGTCTCTCATAGTCTATCCCAGCAGGCTGGCAGGTCAGGCAATTATAAGGCTAGATGTGCGTCTCTACCAAGGCAGGGGAGGTGATAAGAGGGGTAAACACTGAAGTGTTGGACAGTCACATCTGGGAACTCCCACCCCAAGTCATTCCAATTGTCGATTCCCCCATAGGCGAGAGACTGAATCTGTTTTGGAAAAACTGGACCATTCTCAAAGACGATTACGCACTCAACGTACTACGTCACGGTTACCGTCTAGACGTAGAGTTAACCCCACTGTTGACCAAAGCTCCTCCGCCTTGAAAATATCCAAGAAAGCAACATCTGCTATTAAAATTCAACATAGACATACTGTTGGTAAACATTGTTAACATTGCAACATTGGAGTTAACACCAGGGTTTTATTCTCACGTCTTCCTGTTTGTTTTCTTGGCGTAAGGTAAGCAGTGAATGCATTAAGGAGTAATGCAGAATAAGTATACAAATGTAATTAATATTTAAAATTTACTAAATTTCCTTTTCATTCAAGAAACTTGACGAAGCAACTTCTCTACTGACGGCCACCTGTGACACGTTTATCCAGACACTGGAAGACTGCATGCAACTCGCCAAACATGTCTCTACTCCTGGGCCGACAGAGCTGGGTCCTTCCCCACCCTCCCCCACACGCACAAACAGAAAGGTATGGACATTCTTCATCACTGATGTCACATTGTTTTGTAATTGGTATTTTGCTATTATCATTATTATCTTGAATTTCCAGATAGGGGGCATGGATGTCCAAATGGTCTAAGGTACAGCAATTCATTGTAGGGAGTTGCTTCCCTTTGCTGTATCAGGATCCATTGGTGGTGGATTCGAATCTCAGCTTCACATGGCTTCGGTCTGTCATAACTGCTTGTGGGGTGTAAATTTCCTCCTACACAATGCTGACATGCCTTGATATGACTGCAAAGTAGAATGATGTCTAAGGCAGTGTTAAACCCAGCTCTGGCACTCATGCATTCTTGTCAATCCTAAGGCGGATATGGTGTATCAGTCGGCCACTGTGGTTGCTGAGGTTAAATAATACTAATAATAATGGGAGTCCCTTGGGACGAATCTCAGCTGTCACTGGTAGATATACTGTTGCCATGATTGTGGATCTCATAATGAATTGATATGTATACTTCTAGGGATCAAGGAATGTTTCAAGGTCCAACTCTGTTGAAAAGTGAGTGTCTTTGGCTGTGGTAAATATGAACTGACAGTTTTTCTTAATCATGACATGGACATGGACATTTTAATTTGAGTCTTATGATTAATAATAACTTGTATAATCTTTTGTTTCAAAACAATATTAATCTTGATCACATGAGGGTTTTCTTCACGAGAATAAGAAAAGCAACAGAGAGCAACCAAACTGTGGAATTTTGATCCTTACGATGCACACTTTAAGAAGATTGTGTCTTGTTTGGAATTTTTGTAACTGTTTCGTTTTAAAGTGTGTATATATTCCACAGTTTGGTTGCTCTCTGCTGGTGTTCATTGGTAGGCCTGAGAGCTGTTCCTGTGGGGAACAAGAACAGGTTCCTAGCAATACGAGCATAACTTGCTGGTACATGCTGTAAACACCTGTGAAGATCCAGGTTAGAATAGGTCTTTTCAACCCATTCTTGCTGTAAAAGGTGACTATGTCATAAGAGGCGACTAACAGGATCTGGTGGTCAGTCCCGCTGACTTGGTTGATGCATGTCATACTGTCCCAATTGCATAGATCAATGCTCATTATGTCGTCATACCCCGCTGAAATATCATTGACTGTGACATTAGACAACATTCACTTCCTCATTAGAGCTGTACACCGCTTAATCATCATTTATCTGTCCCAGGTCAGTGCATCCCAAATTGTCTCCAATGAACTCTTATGATGGTGTCACACCCATGCGACCTCGTACAAGACCAAGATCTGGTTCAGAAAGTTCCTTCTCCGAGTCCGAGCTCACCAACGGAACAATTCGACCACGCTCAATCAATTCAGACTCAAATGTGATATATGAAGTAGAACCTGTGAAGGAGGAGTCAGGAGGTGGTGCTAAACAATCAGAGAACTCTGTTGGTGTGAGTGACAGTTCAGATACCCAACCAAAGCCTTTGTTATCATTGAACCATAAAACAAACTCAGAAGAACATGATGGCTTGGAGGATTTTAAGGATGCAATTGATAGCAAGATACCAACATTTTTCTCAGCAATGAAACCAAGGTAAATAGTTTTTCATATATGTATTGTTGATGCCCGTCAACTTAAATGTTTTTTCATCTCAACACTGCTCAAAGCCATTTTCAGCTTCATATGGTATTAACATGGTTAAAGGATAGCTAATTCCCATCTTCATCTGAGCTGTCAGATTGCCTTGTGTTAACATGGCTAAAGCATTGGCACGTAGCTAATTCAATCATGACAATAATTTCTCAATGTTAAGATCCTGGCTTCTTTATGAACATCATTTTGTCATTTAGATCTATTAGTAACTCTATCTGTGGTTATCAGTTGAATGAGTGTTAGCAGCAGTCATGGTAGTGATCAGTTGTAAGCGTGAATAATAATCTGAGGAGTTCACTTTCTACGTCCCATGAGGATTCTGGGTAGTAAGAGGCACTCAAATGTCATGCCTAATAATGTGTCATTTAGAGCTGAGTATCACCTGAGATCTTGCGATATGATACCTATGTCGATACAAACTGACGATTCCACTGGTATCACGATACACCACAACAAATAGTAAGTAATTATGAAATCACTGAAATAATACTCTAAAATCATGCATTATTGCTCAACACAATCTGCAAATACAACCTATTTTCTGTTTGAAAACTTTTTAAACCCACAATTTGCCCAAACTGAAGACTGAAATGCAATGGGCATGTCGACTTTTACCACCTTGTCCTCAAGTTCCACCATGCTTACAGGTGGCATTATAGTATTTCCCCAGTTACAGAAGGTAACTCCATCCGTCCCTGTTCTGTTTTTAGCTTATTATCCCCCGCCCAACAAAGATGGACTTAGGTTCTGTGAGGGTAGGGTTTGTTTCCGTAGCATAACTCATAAACCGTTCAATATTTTTTCATGAAACTTTGCAGGTACATGCTGAACTGGCCCCCCTTTTGCTATTTAGAAATTTTCGAAATTTTTATTTTTTACGTTTCCAAGGCAACAAGATGGACTTAGGTTCCAAACTCTTCTTTTTTTACAATTTCCATGGCAGAGTAGATTGAAATGGCTTATGTACCGAAAATACCATTTTAATACAGATTTCAGGGATCAATGTAATACCTCAGCTTGACTATGAGATCAGCTCATCTACAGTCATATGTACGGTACATGAAAAATATGACATATTAAACGCTCTGTAAAACATTGTAAGGGCAAACAGTTTGACTACTGGTTCAGTGCAAAGGTTGATTTCAATCACCCGACCTAAAAGGGCAGGCTTATATAGTAATAAGTTACAAGGTCAAAAAGTACAAAAGACATTTATAAATACATGAACATTCTTCAAGATGACAATCGATCTTGGGTCAAAATATTAAGTCAAGTTACCGTATCTGGAAAATCTTGATCACCAGTGCATCTTTGAATCATGCCATTACTATGTTATATTATTGTGCTTTTTATGAGAAACCGGCACAAACGTTAAGGTATCGATATATCTCCGATACTAAAATTGTTCTTCAGCTGATGTCGAGGTTTTGGGGTGTTAGTGAGCCCTCACTTTTTGCCTTGTTATTGATTGTCACAGGAGCTCCTCTGTCATGTGATCGATCCGGGAGATATTGATAATGTAAATATACATGAAAAATGTCATTTTTATTTATCAAATCATAATCAACATGATCAATAAAACCAGAATCAGTGGCATCAATAAATGAAGATGGGAAGTATGTTACAAAATGTTATCATGGTTATGTCAGTCTAATCACACTTTTATGGCATGTATTCATTTTGAAGTTATTTTTACTTTTAGTTTTACTGAAGTAACAAGTTTACCAAATAACGGAATTCCTGTGGAACCATTCCTGGGAGCATGCAGATCCATTGTGCCTATATTTGGTGAGTCAGCAATTTGCACTACTTAGTAATCATGGTAATGTGGAGGTTAGCTGTAGTAAGTAATTATCTTTGTTTTTGATTCATTGATGATGGTACTATGAGTATGACATTCACGAGCAGTTCAGTAAGTTAATGTACCATAACAAACCTTATTCTTTATGTTTTGAGACATTTCCCTCCCCACCAAGAAATATGATTCAAATGTGAACGTGATGATTTCCTCAGAGATTCCTCTTTACCATGTTTACCATGTTTACCATGCTGCTTCAGGTATGATATGTAAACTGTGCCAAAAACACACACTTGTATTACTTTATCTTCATCTGTTCATGCATGGACTGTTCATAGATATCATTCCTCAGTTTTACTACCCAAAGTGGCTTATGTTACAGACTGCTAACTAATACATAATGTATTCCTTGTAATAAACTATTGCAGCTACTTGAATATTGGAGTGGGGTGGGGTGGCCTTAGTAAAACCATAGACAAATTAAATTTGTTTTTAGAGATCAATGGCGATTGAGCAGCAGTGAACAAACCTAGTTCAAATGTCAATGAATATAAAACGTTTTCGGTATAAATTACCATGCATTTATAGGGTTTTCTTCTTCTGTTGTTATTGAAATATATACAAATTAACATTGATTAAGCATGCTTTTAGAGATAGAGGGGGCATGGGTAGCCCAGTTTTCTAAGGCGCAGCGATTCGCTGTGCAGAGTTGCGTCCCCTGGACACGCCAGAAACCTATGATTGTAAGTTCGAATCCCAGTTCACCCCGATTATGTTTCTAGGTTTGTTAGCACCATACCCGTGTTTGTGAGTTTCACCAAAGTGGTAAACGTCTGAGACCTGCATCACTTCGGGCTTTCCTCCCACATTAAGCTGACACGCTGTGATGTAACTGGAATACTGTTAAAAGCCGAGTTAAACCCAACACACTCACTCACTCATTTAGAGATTGAGCAGTAGTGATGCAGTTATATAGTTTACTCCTTCTGTGCAGCTGATTTCTGTTAACAAATGTGTAATATACACAAGAAAATACAGACTGTCATGTAAAGTTTCAGTCTATGTAAGGGGCGCTCATAAAGATTGCCCAGTACTGACAGATTGGTCTGGAAGTTGCTCAGGGGTGCTTCTTGATGCAGGGTGTTTAATACAGCAAATACGATACATGATATAAGGATATGTATTTGTTTCATATTTTGTTATTTAGCTTAGTGTAATTATTGAACTACATTAATAATCAAGTGTTATTACTGTATTTAGAAACACATCTAGTAGGATGCATTGTATCTTTTTGCAGATAAATTAAATGGAACTGCCTTTGCTCCTGTGAAGATGGACTTTGCAGGGAACATCAGGGTGAGTAACTCTGAGTACTGATACATAGGGCTACATACTTGGTGGCTAGCCTTTTCTAATTGCTGTATGGACAGGGCATTCACAGCCCATGTAGGAGGCACTGGTGATTGCAAATTGTGCTGTAACATGCACAGGCCCCCCTACTGACATATTTATTATTTTAATGTCACACACATTAAATACCACTGGTGGCACACACTACATACATACAGCCTATATATATGTCACAGGGACTATGTCAAATCAAGGAATATGGTTAATCCTTGGCATTTTCAGGGAATATATGTAATGTCTGATTCATGCAGGGATTATACATAATCCCTAACATTTTCAGGTATTATACATATTCCCTGATTTAACAACATGTTATTTAGATATATTCCCTGAAACCATTTCATTCAACTTTGTTAGAAAAATGATTCTCTCTAGTATCAACATAATAATGTCAAGGAATTTATTAAAAAGAAAAGATTTATTTGACAAATGTTAAATATAATTGGCATACATCAGTACCAACTAAGTTGAATGCAGCATTGTAACTCTTGCAGTAAGACACAAGTTATCAAAACAAGACATATTATGTCCCTATTGTTTAGTTTCTATTGACGCATGTCAGACTTGAGTGGCACAGCCTGGCGACATGTAATGTTCCTGTCAGTAACAAGATCTTCAATTGCATACAGTACTGTCGCACAATCATCAAACCATCTTCCTGAGGCAAGAGAGTTAACTGACTATAAAAGTCCAGTTTCCACCTTGGCCGAACTTGGCTGGTATTATGGAGTTACATTTTGGCTGGACTAACGAGTCTATGCAAAGTCAAATCAAATCGACCCATGAAATTGAAATCCGGTTTGTAAACTGTCATGCAGATTTCGGTCAATTGCAGGATTTGCAAAGCATGTGCACTGGCAACTCATTGTCAACAGATATTTTCCAAATGTTTTCATGTTTTTAATCAAGGTGCTCACATGATTTGATGCACTTCACAATGTAAGACCCGTTTGATCACAATATAGATTTTGATTATCGATCAGATCGTCTTGACTGGGTGCCGCCATTTTGTTTGAAGCAAATGCAAGTGATACGAAAGGTGGAATCTGATTGGTCCATTGGAGAGGCATAGAAGGGACATTACTCGTAATAACCACATGTGGCGCTATGATCAAGCCCAGGAATTCCAGCCTAGTTCGGCAAGGGTAGAAACTGGACTTTTAAAGTCAGTTAACTCTCTTGCTTCGGGAAAATGACATCAAAGTGGCTACAGGAGTACTTCCCATTCTGTGTTCCACCTTTCACAGCAATAGTGTTTAAACTATTATCACTGCATTCCATCACATCTCCTATTGTGATTCTGGTATCAGAGCAGCACCTTGGGGAAGTGGCATTGTGACATGGTCACCAAATTGCACTGCTCATAAAACATGTTTGCTGCACTTAACCATTTGTTCAGCTTGCTGCATCTGTGCATGGTGTGCTTACTTTCACGTGAATATGAAGGCTTCTTCATGTGATTTATTCAGGGCATTAGGAGTATTGACCAATTCATCTATATCACATGGTGACAGTTTTCCAGACTCGGGAGATGACCCACTTGTGCTGGGCTGATGCCTCAGTCGTTTCTGGAGATGGCTCACTTGGTTCGCTAGGTTCGGTTGAAGACTCATTTGACTTTTCAGTCATTGTAGGTGGGGCTAGTTCTGCCACGTCATCTTAACTCTGAAACTGAGTGATAACTTTTGGGGGCAGACCTGATGTCAAACCAATTTTCCCCATCAGCTCCTAAAAGTGCAGCAAAGTGGGAACACTTGATGCTGCTGTCATGACTACCGTTTTTTCTGGACTTTAACAAATTTCAGTCCTACAGTACAATCACTAGTGATGTTATCTCATAACCATGCAACTAACATGTCCTTGATTTCACAGTTTGTTGTGTTGTTACAACAATTGGAATTCCCTCATTTAGTCGTAAGGAGACAGTCACACCTTGACTAACATTGTGTTGATTACAGTGTTGACTAATTGTTCAATTAAACACGTGTATGTGTTATTTTTACAAACTTTTTCCCTTTTTAACAAACGCTTTAACAGTGTTATATTGATACTTGATACTTGATACTTGATACTTGATACTTAACTAGAAAGAATCATTCATACAACCATGTATGAAATAGTTTCAGGGAATATGTCTAAATCACATGTTAAATCAGGGACTATGTATAATACATGTACCTGAAAATTTTAGGGATTATGTATATTCCCTGCGTGAATCAGACATGACATGCATTCCCTGAAAATTCCAGGGATTATAGTTTATACTTATTCCCTGATTTGACATATTCCCAGTAACATATACACATACATCTAGTCAGTTGTTCTCATCAATAAAATGCCATATGTTATTGTCACTGGTTGATCTCTCTCATTTGAATGTGCCCTACTTGGCATTTCCTGCCTTTGTCTTCATGGAAGTGAGATCACATGTCAAGCGAGAGAAGTTAGATTTGTGACAATGTAAACACCATTCACAATCAAAACTCATCAAAACAGAATTATTTACTTTCAGTTCTAATCAAATGTAACTAAATGAATGGATATTTTGAAAACTGAATTTGGAATCCTATTTCTCCTGTTAAAATCCCTAATCCTGAGTAAACTTTCTGTCCCACACAAATCTGGCTTGGATTGAATCAACTGTACATCATAGTAAGAACTGGGGACTGATCTGTTGTCACTTATACTGAAATAAAGTGTCATTAATGCAATTCACATCATGTAAGACACGTTTCCTTCCAGAAAATCCAGCAGAAGTATTCTACCAACTCGAACAGCTTTGCGACACTCCAAGACATGGTGGTGTATGAAGTCAAGGCCAAACAGCACACAAACTCCAACTCTGCTACAGTAGCAATACTCTGGCTCAAACGGTATGGTGTGATTTTCTTATTTCAGACCATTTGTAATGATAAAGAATTTGAGTGACAATTACTTGTTATTTCAGTTTGACTTTGCAATGTAAATGATAACTTCTTTGATAGGCATTTAGAAGTTGGAGTACTAAGTAAGGAAAAGAATATATGGAACTGTTATACTGGAGTAGAGAAGCCTGTTATGTACACACAAGGGTAGTGATGACAACCACACTCTGTAAATCACTTGCTTGATAACGGTGTTAGAACCTGCACCGAAACGTCGCTCTTAATTGTAATAAAGAAGTTGTTCATCCATATATTCTTATCCTTACTTAATGTAAATGATACTTGATTATTACTGGTCACATAATGATTTTATCGCAGATTGATGCTTACACACATTCATGATTTTTATCACAGATCAATGTCTACAGGGTAAAGATTATCACACATTGATACAAGTTTATCACACACTGATTATCACACATTGGTACTTAACACAGAGTTTATCACAAATTGATACTTATCACACACTGGTTATCAGTGTCACAGACTGATGCTCATGCCATATTGATTATCACAGATTAATTATTATTGCATACTGATTCACAAAGATGTCATGATGTCAATCACTTTTATTGTCTAAGACATCATCATTTACAGACTGCTTTTATATGGCTGGAATATTGCTGAGTACGGCGTTAACCAACCAACAAACAAACAAAACGTTTGACTCTTACAGAATACTGATTATCACAGATACATAGCATAAAGGTCTTCAATTATTGATTGTATTGTGTTTCAGGGGGCTTGAATTTGTCCTGGAATTCATGCGTGAAGTGTGTTCAGGTCAGCTTGACCTTACATTGTGTGCAAGCAATGCTTATTCCCGCAGTCTAAAACCTTTCCATGGATGGGTTGTGAGGGGCGTGTTTGCTGTAAGTTAACATACTGGCAGTTATTTATGTGCACAAATGTCTAAAATGTAGCTATAATGTAAAATGTAATAACCGATGACTGCAGGTATTTGTATGGACGACAACTTCTTTCTTGTTTATTTTATTGTTTTGTTCATTTCGGTGCAGACACTAGGCTCTGTATCAAGCACCTGAGGCATGTAATGATGTAGAGCAAACAGAACATGCAAGTAAAGCATTGTGAAATGTGGGGCAACCTAGTGCTTAAAGTGTTCACTCATCAAGCTTATATAAAATTGTCTAGGTTAGCAAATCAAATGCCACGGACACACTTGCAATTTATTTGTTTGGTCTTGAAAGGCTGAAGAGATGTGATAACCTTGATCTCTGAGACTGGGTAGGTAGTATATTAAGTATTATACTTATCCTGTCTCAAACATTGCATTTGTCTCTATTTCCAAATCAAAAGTTGAAACTTCCCTTGCAAACGCATCTGTTTGCAACTGGAAACACCCTACCCAAACGCAGCCCTTCAGTGACACCCGCAGCCCAAGTCTCTTGTTTCACTGGCATCTTGCTCAAGACATGTGGTTTTACTTCCCTTTACACATCATCACGAAGTAGAGAAAAGGCCTTGATTATCTTGCCATTTGCCAACTACATTTCATCAAACTGTATTTTGCAGTGGATTTATATTCTTCCTTGGCATACTTGGTTTTTTTACGCCACACTACATTCTTCACTCTTGTTTTTCAGTGGATCGATATTCTACCTAGACCTTCATAGTTTTAATGTTAGGATACATTTATTCAATGACTGACAACCTGTTGTGAAGGCTGTTCTACCTTATACATCGCCTCCTGCGGATCCTACACCCTTGCTGTCTCTTGTCTTGGGAGACAGCATGCACTAATGCGTCATGCTTTGTCACTCTGTTGGGGGGCACGAGTGGCCCAGTCGTCTAAGGCGCCGCGATTCGCTGTGCAGAGTCGCGTCCCTTGGACACGCCAGAAACCTATGATGGTGGGTTCGAATCCCGGTTCGCCCCGATTATGTGTCTAGGTTTGTCAGCACCATACCCGTGCTCGTGGGTTTCACTTAAGTGGTAAACGTCGGAGACCTGCATCACTTCAGGCTTTCCTCCAACATTAAGCTGACACGCCGCAATATAACTGGAATACTGTTAAAAGCGGCGTTAAACTCAACTCACTCACTCACTGTCACTCTGTTACTTTGCAGTATTAGACTTACAACAACTCCTCTACCCAAAGTCTGTTACCTTCTCCGACGAGGCAGTCCCAGTCGCCACACCATTCATCCCGGGTCTTAAGGATCGTCTGCTGCAACCCCAGCACAGTCCACCTCCACTGGACACCATGCTGGTTCATTGTTGCTGACACCTCATTCCACAACCTCACATCAGCCAAATCCGCTTCAGTCTTCTCAACCTCCAGCTTGTTGACGTCTCCTTCATTTGGCGACTGCAGTTCATTGTACACATCTCCTCCTTCAATAGGTCACCTTGATGATGACAATGTATTCTGTTTGTTCGCTTAATGTTTCAGCTAATTTCCATCTATATGACAGAGGTCTGTAAATAATCAAGTCTGGACCAGACAATCCAGTGATTGACATCATGAGCATCGATCTACGCAATTGGGATACTCTGTTTTGCATCAAGCAAGTCACCAAGTCTGACCACCCAATCCTATTAGTCATACAACAAGCATGGGTTGCTGATATTCTATCCAGGGCTTTTCACGGGTATTACAGTGTATTATGTTGGATGGTTTCCCAGCTGCCTTTGCATTCACCTCAGAGGTCTGACCCTTCATTGTCAATGTGAGGGTGCCATAGCTGATCGCTGGATATGTCCTTTGAAAGACTTAAGGAAATGACACTCCCTTAAGGCGCCCACCTTCCTGTGTCTTTTTTGAAGGCCCCACAAGTAGTTGACAATGCTCAAAAGTTGAGTAAGAGATCTTTTTTCACATCATTAAGTGTGTACAGAAGGAAGTCAATGACACAACACAGGGGCCAGTAAATGTTCTGCTGTTTCAGTTGACTGTCATATGACTTTAGATGGAACCGCCTCTAAGAATGATCAGCGATGCACCTTCAACCAGCCCTATAGTTTTTCCAACACATACTGACTGCTGGACAACTAGGATCTCAGTTGACACCAACCCCAGTAGGCGACAGATTGCAGCTGTTCTGGCCCACTTGACGATACAGGACAACCCTTCATCATGTCGCTCATGAAGGAGAGGTGTCGGCTGTATGCAACAGCCACATATGCTGTCGTCACCGTCCTTTTTGCACCTGCCAGTTTGTTGAGCCACCATACAGTCACTTGTCCAGAAGTAATTTAAATCCTGGATCCAGCTACCATCGTCCCTAACTTCAACTCACAAATATATGTTGTGCCAAAGAAGGGCTGAACAAGTCTGCATGTTTTGCAGTATGCACATCTTCTACCCCTTTGTCTAGGACCATCCACGACGCTTCCGCTTGGTCAGTCAGGCAGCAAACTATGCACCCAAGGGCGTCTGGTGTGTTTAGGTTTACAGAATACTTATGTACATGTGTCCATACCTCCGTTCTACTGCAGATACACCTGGGACAACATTTCACTGGCATGTCCTGCCTTTGAAATTTCCTGGGTATTTTACGAGAATCACAAAGCCTGTCATCTCCTTCATCCACCGGACGGGAATCAGACTCGTATATATTTGTGTACTTGGACGATTGCTTACAGGTTCACACCCAGAGGGAAGTACTCATCTGGCAGCTGCCCTTCAACCAGTACCTCTATCACTGCCCCGGTTGGCTTGTCAACATGGTGAAGTCTGACCTGATTAAGTCCCAATGCCTGACATTGAACAAAGAAGTATTCAATGCAACCTGCGACTGCCTTCTTCTCCCACAAGACCGGTGGCGGACCATTTCCATTGCTGTCACACACACCTTGTGTCAGCAAAGCTTTCTTCATCAGTGACATTTCACGTCTGACACCTGCAGATCTTCCCATATTAAGCTGACATGCTGTAATACCTTGAATACTGGTAGTCACTCACTCATCAGTGAAAGAAGTTCTTGGGTATAGGCACTCACAATGCACAATCACCTCTGGTCGTTCCTCCCTCGTCAGCAGTCAAACTGCCACTCTTCATCCTGCCTCATCCCCACTTGGGGGGGGGGGGGGGGCACGGTGGCCAAGTCGTCAAAGGTGCCGCGAATCTCTGTGCAGAGTTTGCGTCCCTTGGGCATGCCAGAAAACTATAATTGTGGATTTGAATCCCAGTTCTCCCCAATTATGTTTCTAGGTTTGTAAGCACCATACCCGTGCTTCGTGGGTTTCACCGAAGTGTTAAACGCCTGAGACCTGCATCCCCTGGGGCTTTCCTCCCACATTAAGCTGACATGCTGCGATATAACTGGAATACTGTAAAAAGCGGCATTAGACCCAACTCACTCACTCATCCCCACTTGGACTGGTGGACTCAGCCAGCGCACATCAGCAATGAATGGTGTTTCCTTGGTGATATTTACCACCACTCACCTTTTAGTGAAAGCATCTCGTCAGAGCTCGGCGCCCAACTTATGGACTAGCAAGTAGCGAGACAATGGTCAGACGACGATTACTTGTGGTGCATCAACAACTTCGCTTTTGTGACGGTGGACGTCATACTGGCTGATGTAACTTTTGCTTTTCTCCCTCCTCAACATAGCAGCAGTCCCATCTTCCAAGTTCAAGCATGGAAAGTCAACCAAGTCTTCCCACCCCATTCTGTCTGCCCATCTGGCATGTATGGAGAAATACCTGAGGTCTAAGGCTTATTCAGGGCATGTTGCTGTTGTCGTTGTTCCATGAGACAATTTTATGATGCTAGGTGGTCTTTGAGAAAAACAGTTCCAACAACATCTCTCCTGCACTGTCTGCTATGCCTCAACAGATTGCTGATTTCCTCAACTATCTTCATACCTATCTGACAGCCATTACCTGTGCTGGCTCTTGAACGCAATTCTTGACCATCCCTGATCCCTGTCTACTGCTTGTGGTTAACAACTCGAAGATGAGATGTAAAAGTTTTGTCCTGTATGGTACTTGACGTCTTGCCTCCCTGAAGTACATCCCTCAGATAACTATTTTTCTGCTCGTCTCAGCAACTGTGGCTCATGCCAGCATAATACATGGACTAGATTTCATGAGGATCAATTTCAACCGACACCATCACAGTGCAGTTTATTTTGTTCTCAGATGGGACTTCATCGCTAATAATCAACTCAGGCACTGCAGTCACCCTTTGGATTTTTCTACCATTCTTCAAGCTTCTGCCGATTGCAGAATTACTACTTCCAAGGACCATAAGGCTGCATGAGGCGTGTGAACTCGCTTCTACATTGGCTCTTCATCATTACTGGTCCGTCTCAAGGGGTGCTTCAGGCAGTCTCAGCCTATCTTTGTTGGTCACTACCTTCATATCTCCGTTTAAGATCTTTGCCCTCAGCGGTTTGGCCTCTTGGTTCTTGCACAGCAAATGATGATGTCCCATGAAGATGAATATTCCACCCCAAACATTATACTCGTACACTGAAGAAGCTACATTGTCAATCCTGCTTTATTATTATGTACATGATTTTTCAACTCAGAATTATCATTGTTATTAGCACAAGCGTCTATTGGGGTTGACATAAATCGATTTGTTCGTAGTTGGTGCTGGGTACCTATTGATGTTACACCGATTAGTGATGTAAATATGTGAAGTACATGAGAGGTTTATATTATTACCTCTATCAGATGTTAGTGGACAAATCGACCTCCCTCCATCAGTTAAAGTGTGCAATGTGTGAGACAGGATAAGTAAGAATTAGTCTTATACTCATCCTGTCTCACAGGATATATTGCCTACCCCTCTGAGGATTGAGTCGTCTACCTGTACTTTGGCTTCTGAAGTCTTGAGCCTCGTGCGTCATGGATGGGCGTTGAGGTTGGGTTTTTCAAGTAGCAAACAGTTGTGTTTGCAAGCAAAGTATCTACTTTTTGTTCGGAAAAAGAGACACAATGAAATAATGTGAGACAAGATAAGTATTGAATATTTATTTTAATGTAAAATTAACAATACTGCTACAGAAAACATGGAGGAACCCTGTAGTCCTGCTGATTTTACTGGGTATACATTGGACATTTAGGACATTGTCATTGAGTAATTAGGATGATCGTTAACAACTTATTGTTTGATATATTATACAGTTTGAACTAGCAGACAAACAAGTGGTGCTTGGGGGAATTGAATCAAATAGCTGGGACTGCCAAATAGCTCAAGTCTAATGCCCTGTTTTATAAAACTCTTTCAGGAAGAAACTATAGATTAGACTATTTGATATATGTTGCTTATTCATAAAAATCTGATTATTTTGCTCGTTAACTTTCTGCCCAAACTGTATTTTGTTGTGAACACACAATGCCATGTTGTATTTTGTTGGTTGTAAAACATGTTCTGCATTTCTTAGGTTGCAGTGAAAGCGCTACCATATCGTGAGGTGTTCTTGTCTCAACTAGCAGAGGTGAAGTGTGACACCCAGAGCTCCATCTACCAACACTCCCTTAATGAGGACTGTGAGGTCTTCATCCGGTCTCTCAGTTTCATCACTCGAACCATCAATGACTTCTATGTCAATCATGATCTTGACTGTGCTGATCAAGTTTGATAGGAAAACCACGAGAATATTTCAACACTCCTATGACCAAGTTTGATTTGAGCTGGAGCAATGTACAAATGAAGCGGTGAAGCATACCGGTTAACTCCCTTAGATTTGAGTTTGGATTGAAGCTGTGTATCAGTAATATTTGTATTCTCTCTTTCACTGTTTAGACTTTCAATTTTGATGATGCATCAAAACATGGATGATCATATTTCAATATTTGAGTTCCCTTTGAACAATACTTTTAGACTCATGACTTTGATCAAACAAAGAGAAAAAAAACATCCAAACATTATTTACAATACCATCACCAGTGTTATAAGGCACTTCTTGTTTAACCAAATCAGAGACAAAGGCAGGTCATTAATTGAGATATCTTCAAGGATTGGGGCATGTATTAGGACATTGTACATATCCACTATTTTCATTCCTGACTGGTAAACGATGTAAAAATGCCTTATTATTTGCCCATCATTTTCAGTGTTTACTTCACATTGTACAAATCTTCAGTTATGATGACAAGGTACAGAACACGAGAATTGTGTTACTTACAAGTATAGACTCTGTTTGTTCTTCAAGTTGTTTTCTGTCATGTGTGGAGGGGTCATTCATATGAGTAGAGGGAGATAATGGGTCTATGTATCAGAAGAAGGTGCAAATTACATTTAATTCAAGTCACAGAAAACATTAATGAAAAATCTGTAATGACTTTCCTGCATTATGTATGAATGCATGTTTAAAAACTCAGTAAGCAGCTGTCACTGAAGTCGACATCATCTGTCATGATCCTCCATCATTCGTTATAATCCTTCATACATGTCTGATGAGAGCTGGACCCATTCAACATGTTGATGAAACATATTAATGATCATGCGTATGAGCCTTTGTACATAAGGATGTTAAGGCTTATCTCACTAGTACTACTACCAGTGCCAGTGGTAGCCTTGTTTACTATCTTAGTAGTAATATTGTTTAATCAATTTGCTATCTTGTAGTTACAGGGGCCAAAGGGACCAAAGAGATTCTCATGTTTAATATATGTCAACTTTAGTTGATCCTTACATATTTTTGGGTGAAATAGGCTATCAGCTTATCAGAATTACAAAAAAAGGAGCCCATTTCGACAAGATTTACAGTCTGCGGATCTGTAAAACATGTTTTAAATAAAAGTCGCCTAACTGTATTTATTTGAAGGAAGTATATTGCATTTGGAATCAAGATGTAAACTTGATTATTTGTGTATGTTAACCTATGTTTAGATGACGAGAGGGAACTGTGTTTACAGAAATAGTGAAAGGTCAGGGGTTGGCCATGAGGGGATCTTCTTGGCTGGCATTTCATTTGATGATTTGACTTCCAAGATCAATATGATGACACATATCAAAACTTTAATTTAATAGTCACAAGAAAATGTTCATTATGAAAGTCACAAGTGTCTCGGCTTGAGACAAAGCACAACCTACAGCTGCCAATGTTTCTGGTTATGTGGCATTTACTGATTCTCCATCTCCTATTTCAACCTGGCTTTTCAGTGGTACATTCTTTCTTTGTACTGTCACAGTCACTCAGTCTATGCTTTGTTCTGTCATGACAGTCTATGCTTTGTTCTGTCATGACTCTGTTTTGTCCTGAAACATGGCAGTCTATGCTTTGTCCTGTGACATGGCAGTCTATGCTTTGTTCTGTCCTACAACAGTCTATGCTTTGTTCTGTCACATGGCCATCTATGCTTTGTTCTGTCCTACAACAGTCTATGCTTTGTTCTGTCCTATGACAGTCTATGCTTTGTTCTGTCATGACAGTCTATGTTTTGTCCTGTGACATGGCAGTCTATGCTTTGTTCTGTCATGACAGTCTATGCTTTGTCCTGTCATGACAGTCTATGCTTTGTTCTGTCCTATGACAGTCTATGCTTTGTCCTGTCATGACAGTCTATGCTTTGTTCTGTTATATTACAGACTATATTTATCCTTCACATGTTCATGTTTACCCTAAGCTGTTAGTCGGGTTTGACCCCAGCAATAATGACTGATTTTACATTTGCAAGAGAATATGATTCCTTGTTGAGCATACAGATTACATGATAAACATTATTGAATCAGAAAAATTCATTGCAATTTGAATTCATTACTAAAACATTCAAACATGTAAGGAAATTACTTTTTAGCTTGAGTAAAAGAATTATAGATTATTTGTGTTATAATCCCTGCATAATTGTTTTTAGGGTTTAAATTTATAAGGTGTTTCTTCATGGGTGTACATACTCTAATGTATATTGTTAACAGATAATGCCTGTGACTGTTCATGAGAGTGTCCAAGAGAAGGTAAATGGTAAATTTTACTGTTTCCATGAACAGATTGTGTCAATGTAGCGTTTCATGTTAATACTCTGTATATTTCTTAAAGTGTGTTCGTCACTTTTAGTGGCTGTTGTATTAAATAGTATTCTCAGTTGCCATGGATTGAATAAAAGCATATTGAATAAGCAGCCTGTATATTTTAAGGAAAACATTGCATGAGAAATAATGTATACATAGTGAGAATATGTGCTGGAAGTTGATATGTGTAGTAAAACAGATATATCAGTGTATTGAGAATGTTGTTAAGGTAAAGATATTGTGAAAAGATCGCTTTGTGAAACAGGGTCCAGAGCACCCACCATATGCACTTGATTTGTTTAATTAGTGATGATACGGGGTCATGGAGGGCCCAGTCATCTAAAGCACTACAATATGCTGTGCAAAGTTGCATCCTTTAGGAATGCCAGAACTCTTATGATTGTGGGTTTGATTCCTACATTGGCCCTGATTATGTGTCTAGGTTTGTCAGCACCATAACCATGCTCATGGGCTTCACCAAAATGGTAAACATCCAAGACCTGCAACATTTTGGCTTTTCTCCAGTCAAACTGACATGCCAGGATTTAACTGAAATATTGTTAGGCCACATCAAACCAAACTCACTCATCGTGATTCAGTGCTTTATCCTTTGTTTTCTGTGATTGATCCAAAATAGTCAAAGGTGTACTTAGTATTGTTTGATCAACAGCCCTGCTATCAGTAGTACACAATAATATAGGTGAATGTCCAGAAAGAGCACAAAATATTTTCTGTGACTTTTTGACAAATGTTCCTTCATTGTAATATCAAATTTGTTCACACCTGAAATCTATTTTGTTTCTCACATGATAGTTGGAGAAGATTAATTGAAATTCCTATTCCAACAAACAAACTAAATTTGGGAGTTTATTTTGTGTAATTTAGGCAGCAAAGTTTTGTGATACCCATCATTCAGTGAAGGCTTTCTTTAGAGACACCATATTGCTTGATGGTTGGTTACTTGGGCTATAGTTGAACAGTATGTTCAGGAAGTTCCCACAAAACGTGACAAGCACTAACTACCATGCACTGACACAGAATTGTTCAAAAGGAAAGGTGCATTTTAACAAACAACATGCTAAATCGGTGCAAATAGTTTGTGAAACAACTTGCATGTTGAAGTTGTGTTATTACTGTTGAAAATATTGTTCTACTGGATGCAGGGCTGTTTCAAAAGGCTGTCTAGATTATTTGAGAAGTCTTGCGAACATGGGCAGTGAACATGGGGTAATATGTGGTAAATTGTATACCAACAAAAGATCTTCTTTACAAAAACTTATTTATTCATTTGTTGTAGACAATTGCATTAAAATGCCATTAGTAATGAAAATATGTATCTATGCATCATGTTGTCTCTATATAAGAACATGATTGTTTGGTCCCTGTGTCCAGCATTGGATTGGGTTTGTCTTCAAGACATTCGTCATTTGAAAATACCAGTACATTCCATAGAAACAGGAAAAATGGGAGAATGTGTTTCCTCTAAACATTGTTTTCCATGTATGCATTTATTTATCACAGTTCTCATGACAGTTGTGACATTTCGTGAGTTGAATGAGAGGATAGACCAAATGTTTGTGATATTCAAGTTTGTAAACATGCAATGTTAATCTTCAGTTTCAAATATATATGTTGATTATCAAGGTACCTACGGTATTTACGTTAACACCAAAAAGGCCTAAACATATTTAAGGTAAAAACATGTCATTTTTAAACAAGCACACCTTTTGTTAAACACTAAGTTTGACCTTACAAGAATCCTTTATACAAACATAAAGAAACATGATAATAATAAGCCTAGTGATTGAATTTTGCATCATACTGGCGTTCATGTAACGTGCATTTTCGTACATTGAATGAATATTCTAATTAACATAGTTTTAGGTAGCATGTTTAGTTCCTTCTTGCCTATTTCCTCTCTGATCTCAACTGAATCTTTTTTATTAGTGTAAATATTCACTTTCAGAGGTCAGGCAAAATCATTACAAAGTTTACTGATGTAGCACTGTAGTAAAGATTTGTGAAATACAAGTGAACTTGTTGAAAAGCAACAGTAATTATATCCAACAGATCATTCAGTGATTTTGTAAACAGAGATTGGATGCAGATTTTCGTTTTCATCTCACCTCCTGAATGGGAATTGAACTGACCACCTTAGTTTGGGTTTTTTTATGCAAAAAATTGAGTTAAATCCTTGTCTGAGTTTGGTGAGACTGTGGTGGGGATCTGATTTCTTTACCTGAGACGTATATATATGCTTGATTAATTTAAAATGACATGGCTTTCTTGGTATTGTTTATCTAAAATCTTTTGAATCCAACTTCACAAACTAATATCTTTCATTCTTTAATTTTGAATGTTTTTTGGCGATACTCACCTCATGCAATACATATACTTGAGTCTGATATGATACACACCTCGAAACTCAATTTGCACCACTTATCACATGAATTTCTCCACTTGCCTTGCGTCTCAGCGAAAAAATGTTGTCACTATGAACAAGTTTGTCTAACTTGTATGAATGGTTAATTTGGGTGTGCCCTGATAGTTTTTGGTAATCAGCTTTAGCATTTTGTTTCGTGATACAAGGAGAGATAACTGTAAGCCTAGTAGTCATCTGGCCGAGTTATTGCACAATGCAATGTCACATATTCCTCTTTGAAAAGTGATACAGAATTAAAACACTAATTGTAACATGGGATATTGTGTATTGTATTATGTGGTACAAATTTGTGATGTATTGCTGAATTGTGACAAGCCTCCTAATTTCATATTTCAAAGTAAATTCATAAAACTCTTACTGCATCATCAATAATATTTCTTTGTTTGTTCAGCTTGTGTAGATATTTTACGCACCCTAAAATAATAATCAACACCCCCTAGTTGACAAGTCGTAGTGTTTATTATGCTTTTTCATTGAAGGTCACACAAGATATTGTCTATTTGAACACAATTTTAGGTATGTTTTGCACTTGATATTCATTCAAGTATGAATGACAATTGCTATTTGTGAACTGTTCTTAGAATATAGGGATTATTTGCTTCCTTTATTACTATTTCTTGTTTGATCAAAAGTTTCATAATGTACTTGGTATATTTTATTGATCAAATACAGTCCTGATAATGAATTGTCAGAAAACTTGTAAAACCGCCTTCACCATCATGCATTAGTGCATGCTTCTTAATATTAAGGATGTCTGCTGGTTTAGATTCAGGGTACATGTATTTCACTTTTTTCTGATATCAAGCCGTTTTGTTTCAGAAAATACCTGTTAAAATGGAGAGAAAAAAGGGGTTGCAGCACATCGCATTTTAACAATAGCTCCAAATTCACACTTTCTTGTTTGTAAAATATTTTAACAACACATGAATAAAATGTTCATCTATAAGAAAGATATCAGAAAATATATGTAAGTGAGGTAATTAGCTAGGTAATGGATATAAAAAATAGCATGCACATTAACATTATTTGGATTAAAAGTCAATTTTCCTCATTTTCATCAGTGCCAGCAACACACAGTGCCACACAAGAAAGTTAAATGCCTTAATTATTACACATCTTTGAAGTGCTTATTCCTTTCATTTTTGCAGTAAGCAATATGCAAGTTATTAAATAAGAATTGTTCACTTCATTGTCTGATACATTAACCTTTATCTTTGACTTTTAGTCTGATTCTCAGCTTCACCTATTCACATTGGGGATAGACTTAGAAATGGAGGTTGCACAGCGTTACAAGACCATGTTACAGAAATACCAATTGCATAATATATTAGGTAGCATTCTAATTCTCTAAAAGGAAGTACTTATAAAAATATGAAGATAATTGAAAGTTAAGTTCCTTTTGATATCATTATTGGGCTTTCATCATAATTTTTCAGACCCCGTGATATGTTTTCATCCACTTTAAATTTTCATTCACTGAACAAAGGATCAAATGGCTTGTCAAATGTCACAATTCTACATACTGTATGTTCACTTGCGTGATAACAGTGTAAGAACCAAATGTTATGTGTTTATTTACTTGTTTTTGCATGATTTTGTTAAAATTGGTTATATATATATCTAAATGTTGTATATATGTTGTGTTCAAGTGTGTTTAACATTGCTGACCAAGAGGAGAAGTAGACCTGGAACAATATATTGCTTATGTCACTATCAACATCCCAGGAAATGTTTTGCAATTTCTGTTTGGCAGTTGTATTGTTACCATTATGTTCTTTGAATTGTTGCACTGTTCTGGCAGCATAGGTATTCTATATTCCTTGAAAGTCCTGTTCTGTGAACATGACTGACTCCAAACATGCATGTAAATATGTATATAATAATATATGAGGACAACATTACTTTACTATGTGGTGTGAAATTTGGGAGGCTGTGGGATTTTGAATGAAATGTGGTGTTTTGTAGGACAGCTTTGTTGTGACTTTTCAAGACAGGAACACCATATTAAACAAGACTGTTTATATCAAACCAAAATTAACTTAGCTAAGTGTGTATCTCTGCTTCATTACTGATGCAGGACATTCATCAAAAGTACAACAATATCAACAGTGTGAGATTGTATTGATTCTCTGGTCTGTCAGCATTGTCAAACACGGACCTAATTAATGTTTCTACATCATTGTACAGAAAGTTTCTGAAAGGCCTGCCATCTTCCCATTTGGTGTTAGTTACAACTGCATCCATACAATATATGATTTCAACTTTCTCATGAGTCATGTAGTTTCTTTTAATAGTCAAGAATGTTCCATTGTTGTCGGCACTTTTCACATTTTGGCAGAACAGCTTTTCCTGTCCACAAGGACATTTTTCATCAAAACATTCCAGCTAAAATATATATAGAGAATCTCACTCAAGTTCCTTTTGATATCAAATATATCAACACTCATTAATAAAAGTGGAAAATATTTGATATCAAAAGATACAAGAGTGAGATTTTATTTATCATCCAACATCATTCTTCTAACCTTTACCGGTTCACCCCATTTTATGTTAATAGGTTTGTCAGCACCATACCCGTGCTCATGGGTTTCACCGAAGTGGTAAGCGTCCGAGACCTGCATCACTTTGGGCTTTCCTCCCACATTAAGCTGACACGCCGTGATATAACTGGAATAGTTTTAAAAGAGGCGTTAAACCCAACTCACTTACTCTAACCTTTTCAGTTTGTAGACAGTAATAAGAAGTGACATCATGGTCGCTTGATCTCACATGCGCCATATCTCCTGTGGGAGCCAGTTTGGGATGATAAATTGAGTCTGCACCAGACAATCCAGTAATGAAAGATCCACACCGTTGTATGCAATCAACCGGATTAGTTTCGTTGCATCTTACATTTTTGGACTTCTTCGAACCCCAAATCCCCATGGTGGTCAAGATATGAAGAGGAACACAGCCTTTAAATTCCTGTAAAAAAGTCTCATAATTAGTTGAGTGAGTGATTATGTGAGTTGGGTTTAACGCTGCTTTTTACAGTATTCCAGTCATATCGTGGCGTGTCAGCTTAATGTGGGAGGAAAGCCCGAAGTGATGCAGGTTTCAGACGTTTACCACTTTGGTGAAACCCACGAGCATGGGTATGGTGCTGACAAACCTAGGATTCGAACCCAAAATCATAGGTTTCTGGCGTGCCCAAGGGACGCAACTCTGCACAGCGACCACCATGATGAGTTGACCTGAAGACAGATGGTATGACAGTTTCTAGCAAACAATAACAAACAGTGACTAAAATGATTCAACTTTTAATACAAAGATCAAATTGAAAACAAATTTGTCTTGGAAAAATAATAAAAGTCTCCTGGACAAGTAATGTCAAGATTGACCAAGACAGTACAATATATAAAATAAACCTGGTCCTGTGAGATATACAAACATCTTGTGCAATATTGGCACAAAATCATGCAAAATAAATGCAGGTATTCATATAGAATCTAAATTTTGTCAACTCCTTCAAACAATGCAAACATATAATATTTTTCCCCAAAACCTATCAAGTATTTGCTTTTGAACTCTAATGTTAAAATACTGTTTTCATATCAATCACAGAACATTTAAGGGAATAAAATGAAGATATTTATGCCCTTGTTTTTTGGTTAACGTTGGTTACTATTTACCTATTGCACACTTGTGTACAAAATGTGTTGTTTTCAGAAATGTTTATATGATGCTATCTAATCTTTGGCTTTAAGTCCGTGAAATTGAATCACTGAACACTGGAATGTTTAAGAGTGTCTTTCAGGAATGTCTATCTTCTTGGAAGGCAGTCAATAATTGACACTTCTGTAGTCCCATCAGAGGTTACAGCAATCACATCTGAACATTTCTAGTAATACCAAAATAATCACTTGCTTTACAGAAAAGCCTGTCCCTTTTTTTAAATTTCTAAAAATAATTTTTTAAATTCCATTACTTGTAATCCAAAAATGTAGTTACATTTAAACATTTTGCTCTTCTAAACTCACTCCTGGAAAGACTCCATTTGAAGCAAAGGATGACATTTTTCTTCAAGACAAATTAATCAACCCAAACAAGAAAATACAAATATAGGCACAATGCAAAAACAAATTTAGTCAGACTTTTTTTTAATTCTGAAAAAACATGTTATTTAATTTTCTTCTGGTTTTATTCCTGTCCTCCCTTCAGATATTTTTGGAATAAACACCTGTTAAATGAGGGAACTGAGTTATGCCTTGCCCATATTAAAATAACAACTAAAGCCATATAATGGCAGCTTTAAAAAGCTTTTAAATACCCAAATCAGCATCCAACATTACCTTGGCAAATAGATGGATGTGGATGTTTTATTTTGATGCAATTATGCCATAAATATATTAGTTTTGTTCTGCAATGATGTAGTGAAAATGACATATTTCAAATATCCCGGTACATGTATCTGAACTTGATAGAGGCAGTGCTAAGACACTGAACAAATGCTGACTGCTAGCATACCCTACGCAGGATTCATGACATTTCTAATCATGACAACATCATAAGTCTGTATAGATCATATAACTATTTGAAGGAGTTGACAAACATGTGGATTGACACTGGTTAACATGAGTTGCTGTAATATTAGTTGATGAACTCACTCAAATAACAACATTGACACTTGTTAAATATTTTGTTAATAACAATGAGTGACACTCCATGTTCATTGTGTTCTCAAATGTAATATCAAATGTACCATGGACAAAGATTTCACGTCACCATTTATGTCATGTGTTTGAAAATTAATTTAATCTCATGAAAATCAGGTCTTTTACTCAATATGATACCTCTCTGTGGGAAGATCTGAGGGCTTCTAAATTCTTAGTACGAGTGATTGAAGAATGCAAAACAGCATATCTGTTTTCTATATCTTGAAAATGAACTAAAATGACAGGTTCTGAAAGTGGGAAGTATAGCGGCATCCTAATATTGTAGTGGATATTTTCATACATCCTCATTTGTGAGTATCGCTTCTTGTACAACCAACAGGGAATTACCATACTGCGACTATGCTTGTCGTAAGAGGCGACTAACGGGATCGCTGTCATATAGCTGGAATATTGCCGAGTGCGGCTTAAAACAACAAACAAACAAACCGAATGAAGAATTGTGTTGTGTGGTCTTCAGTTTTACAAACAGAAATTTCAAAATCATGGTGGTTAAAAAATGAAGCCAAATCATTTTAGAAAGCTGTCTGCTGATGGGCCCAAGAACAGATGCAGTCTTCATTTCAATTGGTTCACCTGATGCAACCTTCTATGTAGGCGTCCTCAGATCTTTTTAATGCAAGGAGGTATCGTATCAAAGTAAATGATCTGAATTAATGCATGTGTAGGTTACTTGTAATTGGCATGACATTAGTTACACTGTGCAAACATGATTAAGACACTAATAGTCTGAGGTAGCATCAATCTGGATGGTTAGGATTCTACCCATAGTTAATAATGGGATACTCCCATTCCTAATAAATCATCAGTCTCGCAACACATATTTGATCCGATCAACTTAGTTAAACCTCACTATGTTAAACCTGAAGGGATCGTTAATAAAATCGGAAAATCCATAGACTAACATAAGCAATAACCCAAAATGACACAAAATATGTGCAGAGCATTGTTAAAATTGCTCTTGTGAAAGGAAAACTATTCAATGTGACAGCCTTAAATATTTTTGAGCTTCAATGATTTTCTTGTTCTCCAGACGGAGACCCACTTACAGGTAAAAAGCCCAACCCCAAAATTTGACAAATGAAAGAGAAGCACTTGTACACTACACAATGTCAGTTTAAAGACTCTGGTTCGACTTCACTTTGAAACATGCATGTTTGGCCCATTAATTGGTCAATAACTTGCCACTAAAATGGACCACATTAGAAGGTATGTGGACTGTTGACTTAATGAGATGCATTCAAGATTAAATGTTCAAACCGCTGTCCACTTCATCAATTCAAAGTGGAAATCTGACAATTTATGTATGTTGACCGTTGTGCAACACACAATATTGACTTGAAAGACTCCATACAGTACATACTCTGATCAATGGAATGAATAAAAGAAAAGACAAACTTGTAAAGCATACAAGGGAGTGTTCAAGATTGTGTTATCTTGAAGTCCAAGGTTAACCAGTATCAAGCCCTAGTTTGACACTATACAGTAGAAATGGGTATATTTATCAACGTGTAAATAATACTGTCTTACTTTGGCACGATCACAGACAAGTCAAGATGAAAAAAAGTAAACAACAAAATGTCTCACAATTAAATGTACACTTGTAGACAATGGAAGTGGACTGTGTCTTAGTTTGCGTCTCCCATAAGCACTAAAACAAACACTCAATATGTACATATAACCAACGTGATCTCGATGTAAATATCACTGGTAGGATAATCAAAGGGAAAAATGATAAATCAGTAATTTGCAAAGTAATAAGTAAATATTTTTCACAACTTCAAAAGTTGAAACATTGAAAATGGTAATGTATAACTGTAACAAATAGGAATTGGGGGTAAACAGTAAAGAATATGTGTAAATGTTTGTCCCTATTTTCAGAACATTATGTCACTGGATTTGGCAGGTAATATCGTAAAGAGGCACTATTCAAGTGAATACTTTGACAAAAACTACTGTCTCAGTAGACGATGATCACAGAACAAGGCAACAAGATTAAATTACTTGGAGACAGACACATAAAGATATTCTGTAGATAAACATTCATGACTGAACACATATAATCTGGTGTGTTCATGCAATAGAATTTTAACACCGTCAATTTTGGTAATACATCAACTTCTAAAATCTGGTGGATGAATCTTGATCTTTCACTAATGCAGAATATGAACATTTCAAAACAGGAGCAATAAACAACTGCATCTCATTTTCAGAACTGATGATTTTGATAAAGAGAAATCATCATTCTATTCTATGTTTGTCATATGATAAAATGACCAACATTCTACATTATGCTGATATTCTACATTAGAGAAGTCAAACACTGAAAGTTTCAATGAAACCTGGATAATAACACACAATCGAGAAGTATTTGAGTATTTCATATGAGATTCTGGTTCTACTAAAAGCACAACCTCAATCCTATGATACTATTGCAAGTAAAGTAATTCCATGAATTCTGTAATCTAGTTCTGCACTGAACTAAAATGTCTTTAATGTTAATCATTTTGATCATGAAAAGGGATAGAAGTTGAGTAATACCAAATCAAGCACTTCTATTTCAAACATCAATATTGACAAGACACTGCCGTTTTTCTCATCCTTGAAACTTATTGGGACCATAATCAAACAAATACGCAACAAGCCAATGGATTTTCATACATACTGAAGTGACCAGTATGAGATTTTCTCATTGCTTTGAGAAAGTAAAGTACCGGGTAGACTGAAATTCTTCACAAACTTGTAAAGACAACTATTTCTGTCCAGATATGGAGTAACTTCACCTTTCCAAGATGAGAAAAAAGAAATTTGACGATATCCATTGATGCAATAGAAGAAGCTGCATACTTGAAATTTAACTGCTAACTTTTCACTGTAATGAATCTAAGAAGCATCCTTGTATAATCATAAACAACAAAAACAATTCACAAAGAAAAGCAAACATTGAAAGTATGTTACGTATGTTGCTACATAAACTTTGCAAACAAGCATTTGCTTAATGTAGTTTTTTTTAAGGAACGTTAGCCATTGAGAAAGTTACAATATACATTCAAGCTCTTAACTCTGCATGAGGTTTACATACTCAAAAGTGCAATTAGGCTAAATACTTTCAGTACAAGAAATCTTAGCTTAGAGCAACACAGTAAACCAGACATTCTGACATGAAATTAATTGATTGAAATAGCTTTATGAAAGAAATATGATGAATGGCAAAGATTAACACAACATCAAAATGTAATACACCACCATCACAAAATAATAAACTTCCAACAAAGTATATTAGCACATCATTTAGATATATCTATCAATCCACAAAATTGCATCAACGGAAGTCATAAGGCATGAAAATAGTTGATATGTTTTAGTTTTTACCAAAATTAAGTACATATACTTACTGAAAAAAAAGCCCTATTAAAAATTTGATATGATATATGCAAGTTCAGACATAAAAGTTATTCTTCCTTGGAACATGTACCGGTACTTGTAATAGTTTGTAGTGTCCAAATGTGTTTACATGTAACTTGTTAATGAGAACTTTGAGACAATTCTATATATACCACAAAACATCTTAAAAAACAAGGTATGACACTGTAACCTTAAACACTCATGTCAATAAGTGTTAAATACTCATGTCACTGAACAGTGAAATCAATTTATCTTGGCCGATATCATTGAGAGAGTAGGGCCACTATTACATATAGATACAGAGCTTACATATATAAATAGGACATATATTTTGATTAGGTGTATGTTAAGAAGTTTTACTTTTCTCCACTTAGACAGGATATATAAAAGATAAAATATTGTAAATGATTTGAGCATAGTATTCGTTGTAAATTGGCATAAGTTTCATTGAGGAACACAACTGTATTGCCAGTAAGGCTGCACTTGTTTGAACAAAATTTACATCATTCTGTAAAATCCATTTACATGGATAAATGTCATGAAAGCTGCTACAAATCAAAACCGAGCAATGTGCTTGTACTCATCCAACTGTCTCAAGAGAAACCTTTGTCATCCTTTTCAGGGATTAATGTTAGTGAAGCCAACAAAGTATTATGAAACGAAAATTTAGATGATACAAACTGAAGTTCTTCTCTACAAAGCAAATAAGATCCTACCAAGTTAGATACATAGAACAAACCAAGAGCTATGTATTGTCATAAAACAGGAAACCTTTGTTATGAAAAAATCCAACTCTTTCAACAAACAAACCGATGCACCCTTCCTACTCAATACAAGTGACCAATCCTCTGTTGTCGTGATAGGTATTAAGTAGACAATCACTAACAGAAATACTAAATCCATGAAATACATCACTGCTGACGCTGTTGTGCATTCGTTTGGACTCCTTAGAGCCTGGCCTTTGTTGATGTTTTAGGCCAAAAAAATATGTTTCCTGAACAACCCATATCTGGAGCCCCAACCCTACGCCCCATACCTCTTACAGACATTCTGGTATCACCCATATATTATTTTTGGATTGGCTGAAATAAGAAACAGATTTTTGTTTTTGCGTGAGGAAAATCCAACAGGAAGACAATTGTTTGATTGCTTTGCTGGACAAACATATTAGATTTAACCCTGATTCAGTGGTCTTGAGTAAGGCAAAGATGAATTTGAATTTGTTTCATACATACGATTCTGTCAAAAGGGTGTATATGACTCCACACTATGTGACTCTAACGGATCACAGATATATATTACAGGGTCATGTTCAGAAAAGAATTCAGATTGTGTATATCAATGTATATGATTAATGCACTTTAAAAGAAAAGCACATTAAAAAAGTCATGCTAAAACTGCTAAAAGCATCATTCACTTTCATGAATCATTTTCAGTTTCAAAAACCCTGTTCAACACAAATAACCTGTTCATAAACATGAAAAACAAACCAAAAAGCACCAACATTTCTTACAAGCAGAACAAAAGCGTTCCATATTACGAAAACATTTTTTTTGTTTTTTCCAAAGCATTAAGTACTTTAGCAATATTAGCATCAAGAGCAGCTATGCCCTCTCTGAAAGCTTTGTCATCCACTGTTGACAGTGATGTAGTCGATGTCACTGCAGACACCACAGATCGAACATCCTCTTCAATAGTACTGAGACTAAGATCTAACTCTGTGCCCTTGAAAGCTTCACTTTGTAGTGAACTAGAGTCTTGGGGGGCTACCTGACTGGGAATGATGGGCTTGGAGGCGCCAGGGGTTCCCTCTGTGTCAAGCCCACTGTCACTCGTATCAAAGTTGGGCTGTGGCAGTTTCATCACCTGTCTGCCACTCCCTGTGCTTGGCTTGACTGGATCTCTGATTTCACGACTTCTACTTGAACAGTTCCTAAGCAACATCTCAGTCACTGATCCTCGGTCACTCTTCGGGGAGGAATTGAACGGTGACATGTAGCTCTGGAATCCTTTCTCAAGAGCAACAAGGTCTTCAGTCTTTGGGGTCTCTTTACGTAGTAGCTTGTTGTGTTGATGTAGAGCTTCTTTACTAAGAGGAGAAACTTTACTTTTCCTTGGAGATGACACAGGATTGTTGTCAAACTTCAGGTTTTTCTTGGCACTTGCCACAGCTTCCTTATTTACTGTTGGCTGGCCCGGATCAGACATAACACTCTTGGCAGGACTAGAACAACCAACAAACGACCAGATTCAAATATTCTAATGTTAATGAAACAAAAATCATAACAGGGAGGTTATTGTAAATTTCAGTTCTTCCTAATTAGCAACATTATCAAATCATCAGGTTTAATGCGACTCCTAATCTCATTAAAATCAGATCTTAGTGCTCGCTACCACTACACAAAGATCTGAGGACATCACGTTACAGTTCTCATCAAAAAGACCTTTCATGAACTTTGACCAACTAATGAAATGACCAACAAGAAGACAACATTTGCCAATTACAACACAGCTTTCACATGCTAGTTTCACAAGCTAGTTTCATAATGCTTGTTTACAGCACAGTTTCAAATGTTTATCCCATTGCAGCAAGAAACAGACAATGATTTTGATGGAATCAGTCGTACAAACTGCCATTCAGATTAACTTGTGTTAACCTTTCCAAGATTGCATGATAAGAAAAAACATTCTGAATGTAGCTTTCCCAATCTGGTGACACTCTGACTGGTCGGACGAAATGTCGTTCTGAGGTGACACGTAATGGGAAGTCCCCAGATCATTTATCAGCAGTAGCGAGAACTAAGATCTGATATTAATGAGATTGAGTGATCCAGAGAGGATGAATTAAAATATATTTGAAACTTTGCTATTTATACTGAAGTAAAACAATCAACAAATGACAGAACCTACCTGTAGCCTGATCCCTGTTTATTTAGTAGAAGTAGCATTTTCTGAAGACTGAAGCTGTTTTCTATCGTAGATGCCCCATTTGCTTGACCACCATTATCCAAACTACGAAGAACTTCACCTACACCATCTTTTAATGTCCTGGGAAAGAAATACAAAAGAACTGTAAGATAAATAAGGTGTACATCCTTGATTATTCCATGATCTCCCCTATCAAAATCCTTCCTCACAAACCCAGCTTCTTGTCGTCTCTGCTGTAATATTTAGAAACATATCTTAACCTACTGAAAATAGCTTGAATCAATAACCTCAAAATACTTATCCCAGTATAGAACCACTACTTGTAGTCTATTGATCGCCCTGGGTCAAAGTTCTGACCCGAGAGCGCTCTTTCTCTATGGCAGGGGTTAGGGGCCTGGTCCTTTGGCCCACTGAGCGGTATTGGCCTGTTGGATGGTTAATACTTTTCATCACCTGAATTCTTACCCAACTAATTTGTGGAGAGAACTGATGACATGTCACTCATTGTATTTGCTGTAAAAAGCGCCATGACCGTTTACATAATTGACAGAGGGGAGCGCACATTAAAACCACATACAAGTTAAATGTGTTGTCGGAGATCGAGTGATACTGCAGAGCCAAACTTGGGTCAAACATTGATGAAACTCAAACATTGTTTCATAATAGTTACTTGGCAATAAGATACCCTTTCTACATTGCTGTTTTCTGAAGAAAAACACAACAATAAAAATAGTAATATACACAAGAAAATATTGACAGTCAGGTAAAGTTTAGATCTTAGGACGTGGTGCTTTACCTAAGCATAACATATAGACTGGTGTAGAAGTTGGTCAGGTGGCATGTAATATGGCGAATATGGCCTTGAGCAGATAAACAACCAATACCAGAAGAATATTAATTTTACTATTTGTCCATATGGATATGATGAAAAATGACCAACCAGGCCAGCATTTTTTTCATGTGTAAGTTGTTTCTAACATCTTAAAAAACAACATATCCCAACAATTAATCCCACAATGCCAGAGAGCATGACTTACTGGACCAGGTCCTGCAGCCTGGTGATCTCCAAGTCCCGCTGTTTTAGAGACACCTGCAGGATGCGGTTCTCACTCTCTGATGCTGCATGTCTCAGGTGACTTCCCTCAGTCTGTTTCCGGGCAAGTTCCAACTCAAACTGCAACTTCTGAGACTCCTTGCACGATTCCTCCCTGGTTCTTGTACAGTCATTCTCCTGATAATTATATGAAATACCAGACATACTAGATGATCTTTTCCTATTTACACAACATATACAAGAATAGGCTTTAATGCCAGAGTTTCAGCTGTACTTAATTTGCACCACTTCCGACAACACCCTCCAAACTCACATAACTAGGGCCATTGGAATCACTTGTACGTACACTTGTTACTGAATAAAAGTAAAATTTGTCAATATCTTTTTTTGAATACTTATGCTGCATTACATATTGTACTTACTTCTGTTTCCTTCAAAAACAAAGACTGGAAATGTCATCCCTTGAGAGAAGAACTTGTCCCTGAACATAGTTGAAACTGCTCACCCAAACACATCCTGCATTCACCGCACCAGTCAACTTACATGTCACTCTTCTTGTTGAGAAAACAGCAATGTCCACTGAAGATACAAGCAGGGAGGCAGCACCATCTCAGATGGGCCCATTCGTGATGTAATGCAGGATAAGCATTAAAATAAAATATATTGATAAATTAATACTTAATCCTGCATTACATATTGCATTTTATCCAATGGTTGTATATACCTTTAGTGTAGACTGTGTGTGTAGGTGTAGTACCATCAGGCGAGACTCCTTGCACACCAACAGCTACTGCAAACTGCATGCAGGTGGAGACTCAAGCAGGACCCACAGGGGCTTGGTATACTTCGTCACAGATCTTACCAAGTCACATAAGTCGTATTACTGTCAAATAACATCAGTACAGCGGAGCTAAAGAGATGTTAAATGAACGTATTTCTGAGTTTGACGGACAAAAATGAATACGTTGGTTAGAGACATCATGAATGTCATAACCTCGATACTCCTCCAAGAGAGGGAGGGAGTGAGTGAGTGAGTATGGTTTTACGCCGCTTTTAGCAATATTCCAGCAATATCACGGCGGGGGGCCCAAAAATGGGCTTCACAATTGTACCCATGTCGGGAATCGAACCCGGGTCATCGGCGTGACGAGCGAACGCTTTAACCACTAGGCTACCCGACCGCCCCTCCAAGAGAGGGAAGCTCAGGTGGTAGCATCCGGGTTCCACCAGCAGCATCGTTTGGGGTTGGCGATTTGCTGAGCACTTCAGCATTGCCAATTTCTAGTGCTGTATAGTCCTTGCCAAACTACCCAATAGTTACAGTATCATAAGGACTAGTAGAAATTTACCATTTTTAAGGGTTTAGACCAGTGGACTAAAATGTTACTTTCGACCGGTGGGTACATATTCTATTTTGCATATTTCGCTTTGATAAAGAACAGACGAGTTGAAATAAAAATTATTGTAAATATTTGATTCTAGTGACCATGAAATACAAATTCAATTCATGAAGGGATACAGTTCGATTCACTGAATATGCAAGTGAATCGTAACAGCCCTAACAAACACTAAATATGAGTGTAAACCCCCAGCAAAGACCCGACAGCATTTAGTGAGTGAGTGAGTGAGTGAGTATGGTTTTACGCCGTTTTTAGTAATATTCCAGCAAATGTGCTTCACACATTGTACCCATGTCGGGAATCGAACCTGGGTCTTCGGCGTGACGAGTAAACGCTTTAATCATTAGGCTACAAGACTGCCCCGGACAGCATTTAGAACGAAACAAGTTCAATAATGGTGGGAAAGGCAACACATGCTACAGCAACAGAAATTGGCACTCATCCTATAGCAGCGGAAGAAAGTAACATTTTCAGTCCACTAGTCCTTATAACATAGCAAGACCCTTAAAAATTGCAATTTTCCACTTGTCCTTCTGTGCCGGGTCTGGAAGGGTCAGATAGGCCATTACTAGCTTGGTGAGATGGGGACACAGAAATACCAAATGGGAGAACTGCCCATTGGTAGTGGACATCATTGAACTGGAACCTGAGGAACTTCCAGTCACTGGGATGGATAGGGATATGCAGGTAGGTGTCCTATAAGTCGAGACTAATCGGGGAATCGTAAGTATTGGTTCTGGTCCTGAACACTCCAGTAGCACTCATTGAACATGGAGAGATTGTGAATCATCCTCATCTTCTCGGAGTCCTTCTTTGGTGTTAAGGTTGGGGTGTGCACAATCCCCATGGCTCTTTTCTGAAGCAGCATATTTAAGTTGGCCACCAGAAGTGGATGTTGCTTCTTGGGGTAGAGCCATCATGGAGGCACCATGGTCAACGGCAATCAGATCAAGGCGGTAACCGCAGCATGTTAAAAAGGGTCTTTTAAGGCGATCCAGGTCACCCACCCATTTGGGTGTCAAAGACTTGAACGAGTGGGGGTGAGAGCTTTCAGTCGTGGTCTGAGTATTATTCATTGCCTTCCCTCACCGCCTCTGCCCTGGGATTTGCTACAGCAGGACTGATACCGTGTAGTTGCATGCCTAGGAGGAGCAAGACATGCTCCAGAGCTTTTAGGGCTGTCTTACCTCAAGCATAACTCAAGACCTTGGCATAGGTATCGGAGATCTGGTTGATGAAAAGAGATAAAGCCGATCACGGCTGACGAAGGAGACAGTGCTTAAACTCCAGATCCCAATTTGAGGTGGCCAAATAAACCAGATGGCCGGTTGCAGCGATCTCGGCGAGTTGGCAATCAACCACCGTCTGCAGATGGCCCATCCATATGGCATTGGACTCGGTGAGGTCAATGAGCACCTTATCTCAGTCTCGATGAAAGCCACCCGAGTGTCAGGGATCCTGATTGTAAACAGCTTTGACGTCTGGGACATTTTATGAAGGTCTTCTACCTAGAAGGCATGAATGGGAAAATCATCCTTCCTAAATCTAGATGCCTTGAACGCTGGAGAGAGTGTCAAATGACCAAGTTAAATCCAGCATGGGATCAGGCGGGGTTTTGACCAGATGGTATCTCTTTTACCAACACCAGTAGCTGAGAACCGCGCTACCGCAGTCAGACAATCAGCCATCCAATCTGGCATCTGGGACAGGCTGAGGTGAGTGTCCCACTCTGGGGATGTCTCAATTCTCTATTACAAATTCCTCCGATGAATCTGAGTGGTAAGACTGTGTTAAGTGAATAGACGAGCGATTCCTGGATTGGCTTAGACTGTGTAACTTAGACGTCATAACATCCCAGTCACGTGGTCTCATCTGCTGGGTCATGCCTAACACTTCAGTGAAACAACTTTTTTCATCAGCTGGAGCCCTGCAGCTTCATGCCAAAAGTAAGCCGGAAATGCATTAAGGAGTATTGCAGGATAAGAAAACATTTATGTATGTAAGAATACCCAAGTGAACAAACAAACAAACCTGTACTGAAAGAAAACAAATGTTTGATATCAACAACAAAAAACAAAGGATAACATTCACAGAAGGTTTGTACTCGTCAGCTAAAACAAGAAGAGTGATGTGTAAGTTGACTGGTGCGGTGAGGGCAGGATGTGTTCAGGTGAGCAGTTTAAACTATGTTCAGGAACAAGTTCTTCTCTCAAGGGATGACATTGCAGTCATACAGGACTAAGTAAAAATTGTAGGAAATATTTATGTGATGGACATATGCACTGGTCAAAAGGACCACAAACAGCTTATGTATACAGCTAGATACATATGATGCAGTTCCTACCTTATCACCAAGTACAACAATCAGCCTCTGCCTCTCGTACTTCATGCGTTCGAGCTCCTGGGACAGTCTGTGGGTCAGCTCCTTCTCCTCCTTCAGCTGGCGGTGCAGAGATGCATTGTCAGTCTGGAGGTGCAGCACTGAAACACAAACATTGAACCACCTTCACTGCTGTCACTGGAGTGTCATGATTTTAGCTCTCACGTCACACAGAAACAAGCACGGCTTAAGGCCATTTTAAGCAATATTTCAAGTCCTATCACAACTGGGGACATCAAGAAAGGGCTTCACACATTGTACCCATGTTGGGAATTGAACATGTTAAAGACTGAACACCTAGGCCATCCCACCATCCCTGCATGGAAATGACAAACCCAATCAGGACTGAAAGAGCCTACGACTGGCGTAAGTCCATGTTAAGGTATGGGAGTTACGATCACCTTAGATCGCTTTGTACAACGCGACCCGGGTTAACTGTAAGTGCTCATCCCCAAGGAAACTGCACAAGGAGCAATGACTCACTTTCAAAGTTGATTCCATGGTTTGTGTTTTCCTTCTCTTGTCTCTCCCTCTCCTTCAGTTGCTGGTTGACAATTCTAAGTCTCCTGCAACACGATCAGACCACCAAATGCTATTATTGCTCTAGTGATAAGAAGCAATAAAAATAATGACTATCAACTGCACATGTAAAATCACTATACAGAAAAAAGCTGATTGTAATTGTATCCTCTGCCTCCACAAAACGAAACTTAACAAAAGTCCCCCTGCAACATACCATTTCCATGAACAAAATCCACAGAAAAAACAGAATCCATTCAGTAAATCAACATGATCAATGGTAGTGAAAGCAACCATGGATCAATCTGACCATAACATTGCAAAACCTAGGCAGAATGTTCTACCTTCTGAGTTGACTGTTCTCTGAGCGGAGAGGCTGAAGCAAAAGGTCAACCTCTGTCTGGAGATTGAACGTGGGTTTTAGTTGAGGGATTGCCTCAATGCACTCCTGAATGTCTTCAACCACATACTGCAGCTCAGACTCCCCTGTTAAACAAATATAGTGACTATTCAATTCAGATATATAGTGTAAGACCTACCTTGTTACTTTATCACTGCTTATAGCTCAGTATCATAAACCATTAACACTGGATTAAATAAATACTAAATCCGACTAACAATATCAGCAGTGTTTGAAATTTTTACAAACCTGTAGAGGTTATGAATTCTCTGATGAAATCCTCCTTGGGGCACTTATTGCATTTTCCTGGCTCAAGAAAATCTACATGACATAATTGTAACCATTTTCCTTAATAAAAATATTACCACACAAAACTTCGTTTTCGTATGATATACGACCACCCTTACGGTGCCTCACCCTCCACGGCGTGACACGCCAAGGGAAGCAACTCTCACCCAAATCACTTTCCATATGTCTAATGCTGACGGAATGTTGGGAGGTGGGTGGCCGTGCCCCAAGGAGGATTTCATCAGAGAATTCATAACCTCTACAGGTTTGTAAAATTCTCTTTCAGATTAAATCCTCCTTGGGGCACTTATTGCATCCAGACAGACTCATAAAGATAATCTAGGAAGTGGCATCCGTCAGCAACAAGCATAATAAATACATCGTATTTTGAATATTCAGTGAATAGACTAAGAGTTTGATAAAATGGAACCAACCTTTATCGTGAGGCACCACCGTCGAGAGGCGGGGGCTGGAGACAGGGGTGGTCGACCATATACTATGATATTACCCTTTATTCGTGGCTGATCATATTTTGAGAACTAAAAACACCCCCTCCCCCCCACACAACTTTTTTTAGCGAGTGATATAGGGGCGTAGATCACGAGAGACTATAACCGTGCTGAGCTAGGCCAGAGAATCTCCGAGGATCTGAGGAGTGCTGTGCAGTACGAGTATTATCGAGTAGTATGGACGGATAATTTATCGACCGTAGAAGATAGAATCCGGACCGTTACTGAGCAGTTGTATAACCGGTACGGGGCGATCTAAAATCTCGAAGGCTCAATCGGCTAGAGATTAGAACTTTGCCCAGTTCGGAGAACTGACTGACCAAACCGAGCGCGCTCGCTTGAGTGCTTGTCGAGTTGGTAGTGTTTTATGAACGTGCTCGGCTGGCTCCAAATAGCCGCGGAGCAGATCTCCTCAATGGGCAGAGCCGCAGCGTACGCTTGTGACGTGGCTACCGCTCTAACCGAATGAGCCTTCAACCTGGTAGGGGGGTCCCTGCCTTGAAGTGTGTACGACGTACAGATAGTAGAGACTATCCACCTGGAGATAGTTTGTTTGTCGCCTACCTGTCTGCCGGACGTTACCGCCACAAGGAACGCCATCTTCCAGCTCAACAGCTGAAGAGAGAGAGACGACAGATCCCGAAAGGAAGGACCGGACAGCCAATCAAGAACGATTGACAAGTCCCAAGGGGGACTGATCCGCCGTACAGGCGGTCGGATCCTGTCCACACCTGCTAAAAGGCGCTGTACTAATGGGTGCACACCCAGAAGTGCCCCGTCGACAGGGACGTGAAAAGCTGCAATAGCTGTAGAGTACCCCCGGACTGTTGATGCGGCCAGTCCGTCATCTAGTCGCGACTGGAGGAACTCAAGCACTGCTACGAGATCTGCAGAAAAGGGATCTGCAATCCCTCTATCGACACACCAGCGCGCATAGCAGGCCCATCTATCCTCGCACTGAACGTTTGTCGAATCCCTCCGTGAAGCCAGTATTGTGTCTGCAACTCGTGCAGGAATACCGCTCTTCTGGAGGCTGTTCCTGACAGTGGCCAAGCCACCCACTGAATCCTGGGATTCGGGTGGAGGGCCTCGTTCTGAGATAGAAGGTCCGGTCATAAAGGTAATAGAACAGGAGGCTGAGCCAGAAACCTGAGTATTACTGGAAACCAGCTCTGCGCCGACCAAAGAGGTGCCAGGAGCACAAGTAGTCGCGCAGGCTGAGTGGCTAGCTGAGATAGGACCTTGGGGATCAGAGGTACTGGGGGGAATGCCCATAGTATTCTGTCCGTCCAATCTAGCTGGAAGGCGTCCGCTGCCACCGACCTCGGGTCGGGGACTCGGGAACAGAACGTTGGTGTCTGGTGATTCACCCCAGACGCAAACAGATCCACCTGGAACGACCCGTATAATTGGGAGATAATCCCGAATATCCCCGGGTCGAGCCTCCACTCGTGAGGAGCGAGGATCCGGTGAGACAGAGCGTCCGGACGGACGTTGTCCACCCCCGGGAGATAAACAGGTATCACCCTGATATCGTGTGAGTCGCACCATAGGAGGAACTGCCACGCCTCTTGGAGAAGCGACGGTGACACCGTTCCGCCCTGCTTCCGGATGTAAGTCATCGCCGTTTGGTTGTCCATCTCTAGACGAACCACTCGGCCGCGAAGCAGATCCAGGAAGCGTTGGAACACCAACCTGACCGCTCTCAGTTCTAGCATATTGATATGCAGTTTGATCTCCTGCTGGGACCATAGTCCCGAGGCTGTGTGATCGTTCAGAACGCCTCCCCAGCCGGAGAGTGACGCATCTGTTTGAACTGTGAGAGACGGAACGGGAGTGTCGAGGGGGGAGCCCCCGGGACAGATTCCCGACCTCAGTCCACCACTGAAGGTGTGTAATGTTCACCCAAAGTTGACGTAGTGCTTGTTGAATGGGTCTCATTCTCAAGCGCACCCGCCAAACAACATCCACTGTCGCCGCCATGTTGCCCAGTAATTGGAGCCATGTACGAGCAGTGTGTCTCATGGACAGAAGAAACTAGGAAGTAACACTTCTGACCTTGAGTATGCGGTCTTGTGATAGAGATACAAGTCCGCTCACTGTGTTGAAGTTCGCCCCTAAGAAGACAAGATTCTGAGTAGGGCTCAGCTCTGACTTCTTGAGATTGACTATCCACCCTAGTGTGATCAGAATGTCTATCACAGCTTGTGTAGCTATCTGACTGAGGGATTGCGATAGAGCTCTTAGAAACCAGTCGTCGAGGTATGGGTGGCAGAACCGACCCTTCGACCTGGCTACTTGGGCAGTAATCAACATCAGCTTGGTGAACACCCTCGTGGCCGTGGCGATCCCGAATGGTAGAACCCTGAACTGATAACACCTCCCGTCGAAAGAAAACCTGAGGTATTTCTTGAACTCGGGGGTGTATGGGTACGTGGAGATAGGCGTCTTTTAGGTCTATTGACGTTAGCCATTCTCCTGTCTCGACCGCTGAGATCACTGAGCGCAGTGTCTCCATCCGGAAGGACGGTACCTCTATAAGATTGTTCAACCTTCTCAGATTGTCTCGACCGCTGAGATCACTGAGCGCAGTGTCTCCATCCGGAAGGACGGTACCTCTATAAGATTGTTCAACCTTCTCAGATTGAGAATAGGTCTGAACCCTCCGTCTTTTTTGGTGACTAGGAAATATGTCGAGTAGAAGCCCTCGCTTTCCTGTCCCACAGGAACCGGTTCGATCGCCGCCTTCATAAGAAGTGCGTCGACCTCGGCACAGAGAAATTCCGCCTTCTCTCAGGTAGCAGGCACCGGAGTGTGCTTTATCCCGGAGAAGGGGGGCGGATGATGTTTCCACTGAGGCAAGTGGCCATCCCTTAGAGTGGACAGTGTCCAGGGATTTGAGGTGACTTTCTCCCATTCCCTCAGGAATAGAGTCAGTCGGCCGCCTACGGGGACATCCGGTTTTAGGCAGTGGACCCCTACTGTCTGCAGTTCAATAACTTGCGACTGTGGGCCCGCCCGGGGCGCTTCGGGCGCTAATGGGAACCCGATGGGTTCCCGGCCCCGCGAAAAAGCTGCTGGCCTTGACCAGCTGCCTTGCCCCGGCCCCTGCCTCGCTTGCTCTTCCCGGCGCCCTTACCTGAAGGAAGCGGCTGCTTCCAAGCAGGTGCGGACTTCTGAGCCGGCGCATCAGCGTGGGAGAAGTCAAGCGGAGAAGCCCGCCTTAGAGTCCTTGATAGAAGCATACATTTGAGCGGCCTCTCTGACCACCTGCTGAGCCCCAGGGAACAGGGTAGAACCCATCTTATAAGGCAAAGCTAGGAGATCCTGGCATGTGGACGTCGAGCACATCATCTGCGAGGCACAGCTACGAATAGCGTCCCTCGCGAGGTGACTATGGACCTCCGTCAGTTGCACCGCCAACTCCGAAGAGTCGGCCGGCCCCTCTCCCACTAGCTCCCTCTGTACAGCAGACAGATACGCGGAGTGTACGGATATGCAAAGCTGTTGGCATGCATTACGGTATTGCTCCTCAAAGCAAACGTGAGCAGCCTTCAACTCCGCGCCGCACATGGGAAAGGGGGGCAACCGCCGGCCCTGCTTGGCCTTAGCCAAGGCGGGGGTCGAAGACCCCCCCCAGGGTGACAGAAGTCCAGACGCACTCGTCGACCACTGGCACCTCAAAATCACCGTCCTCTGCTAACGGGTACCGCTTAATAAGTTCGGGTAGGTCGAACTTCCTGCGGGCACCCGAGAGCAGAGGTTTGATGACCTCGTGTGTCAGGGAGGACAAGATACCGAGCCGCACCTGGGGCGCCTTGCTGGGAGCAAAGGCGTCCCTCGGAAGGCGGAACTCAGTCGGATCCGACTCGGGCATAGGCGCAGCCACCTGAGGCAGTACCTGGACAATCTTGTCCCGACGTGCCTCAATGAGGATGTGATGGAAAAAATTCCCGAAGCCTCCGAGTCATCCCCTCCCTCCTCCATCCACTCCTCATCTCTTGATTCCGAGCCGACCGTAATCGACTCGTCCTCAAGAGAGTGAGCGATGGAGGTAGGAAAAGGATGCCCGAAGGCCTGGGCCTTCGCATCCCCGGCCTGCCCCCGTCCGAAGCCGAGTCCCGGTCCCGAGGTGCCGGGGGTTCAAGAGAACCCACCTGGCTCTGGGCCATAATTCCGCTAGCGGGAGCCTCGGCCTTGGAGAAGGCGTCTGACTCCGCTAGGTAGAAAGGTGCGGAGGTAGTGAACGAGCCAGCGCTCGCCACCCCTCCGCTGGGGAGCGACCTCGAGCCGGAGCCGAAGCCCGGTCTCGGGTCGTCCCCGAGGTCAAGTGGCCTGCCTCGGCCGACGCCGGACATTCCACAAGACCTCGAAACCGCGCCCGGCGTCGATGACGGGGAAGGCCCAGCCCCAGCCCGCATCTCCAGACAGTGGAACCGCACAATGGACGCCATTACGGACATTTGAATTCACATGCACCGTACACGTGGCGTTTCTTCTAAGAGAATTACAACGTTATAATTTTACAATGCGAGGTATTACGACTTTGCAAGGTAATAAATGTACCATACATACAGTTTGGTCAGCCATGCTGTCTCAGGTCACGATTTCGTACTTAGAAACTTTTCTCAGAGTAGCCACACGTCTTGTCAGATGAAGGACATAAAGGAAAGTGATTTGGGTGAGAGTTGCTTCCCTTGGCGTGACGTGCCGTGGAGGGTGAGGCACCATGAGGGTGGTCCCATATCATACAAAAACGAAGTTTTTGTGTGGTAACATTTTTATTAAGGAAAATGGTTACAACTATGCCATGTAGTTTTCTTGAGCCAGGAAAATGCAATAAGTGCCCCAAGGAGGATTTAATCTGAAAGAGAATGAGGGGGTCCTGGGGGGTCCTGGGGGGTCCATGGTGTTTTCTCCAATAACAGTTGAATCTAGGGACCACTAAATCTTAAAATTTAACATTAGGGTTATGACAAGGAACCCAGACTTTCATGCTTAATTTCAAAAACTGATTAGTCAAAATATGATCAGTATATCAGTATATTGTTCCAGTCTTGGAGTTTTAGTAGTTTTACCTCACAAAATAGTACATAATATAGCCTTTTCAGAGGACAAAGCTGAAACATAACTTGGATCATATGGACTGTTGTCAGTTAACTATTAATAATGGCTTTGCTTTAACATCAAACAGTAGAATGTATTTTGTGTGATCTTGGAAACAATATAACACTGGTTACATTTCTTTCTTACTTACCTCCAACTTTGCAGACTTCTCCAAGCTCTTTGACAAGGTACCTGAGCTTCCTAGGTCCCGCAATGGCCTCCAATCTTGCTGGTAGTGTTGGCTGGTTCTGTGATGCAGGATGTATGGCCTGTGGAGCCGGGGTGTGGCCAAGCAGAGCACTGGGACCTTGGTGCTGGGATTGGTTTGGAGCCGGAGTGGAAGGTGCCCTGTTGATGAATTTTGGTTCCTGGCAAATTCGTGCTGCAGGAGAATTGACAGGGGTCATAGTCCACTGAGGATCAGTTTGCTCTGATTGAAATGGAGCAGTTTCTAATTCGTAATTTTCAAATCGTTCTGCTTCCTCTATTTCAGGAGCATGATTGGCTTCATCCTGGAACCTTCTCTCCAGATTATCACTTGCCCCTTTACGAGGCCTTATGTTGTCTGCATATAGATGGGGATCATGGCCCTGAGCTGTCTCTCGAGTCATCCTCCTGAGAGTAGCCTCCCTTAGGTCACGAGCTCGGTTCCTTGGTGTTAAACTAACAGGTGAATTTGCTGGAGTTTCTAACATAGGTAACTGAGATGCAACAGGTTTTGATATGCACACATTTGAGTTAAGGGTGGACGGATTAATCAGAGATGAAGGATAGTTTTCCCTCATATCAATTTCTTGAGCTTCATCTTTGTTCAAGTTAAAGTGTGCAAGCCTGTTGGACATGTCATAAGATGGATCGCATCTGTCAGACTGTCTAGCTGCATCCCAATTCACATCCTGATCATCACTCTGCCCTCTCTCATAGTTCACAAATATTTCATTGGGCTCAGCATGTTGTTCAAAATGCTCAACCTTATTGCTGTTTAATTCCATAGATGTTGGAGTCTTCCCAGTGTGGCGTCCTAATATTGCACGTGGTTCAACAGGCATGGTTCTAACAGGACTTGACACTGTTGGTTGTTGCATTTCCTGGACTGACCGATCCTCTGTAGATGCATGTCCAGTCAACTGATGAGGAAGTTGCTGCACACGATCAGTGTGTCTGGGAGTAAGTCCTGTTCTTGCTGTCATTTCTTTCTTGTCCACTTTCTGTGAAAGGTTGTACTGGTAGGCTTCATTCAGAATTGGACCTTGAGTCTCTTCAAGGCTATTATCCAAATCACACTGTTCATCTCTGCTGCTTCTCCGTCTGTAACCAGGGCCAAACATTTTCACCTGGGAGCTGTTGAACAACGGAGCAGAAAAGTCCTCCTGCTGGTCAGTATCATAATCATGATTCAAATAATCTCTGTTATGGGGATCTGGACTTTTTTCAGGGCCTTGCTTCTCTTTTGAACTTGTGTACCCTTTATCCTGCACTCTAGGCTGCACAGGTGGTGCTGGGTAAACCTTTTCCTCAGTTGCAGATAATCTGTTACCAAGGAATCCATGTTCCTCCTGTCTTGGTTGTTCAGATGGATCAGGATCATTACTTACAGACTCTGTTATTGGCTTATCTTGACTAGATGGGAATAAAGGTGGAGAGAACCCTGTTGACTCTCGCTGGAGATAACACTGAAAATCACCAATACTACTCTTCCTGTTATGGCAAGCTGGGAAGGAATCTTCAAATCTCTTCACACCTTCAATAAAATCATTTTCTGTATGGAATGAAACAGGTCTGAATGCCTTTTCAAAAGATTCTCCTTCTTTCAGATAGTTTTGGTTGTTGTCAATTTTCAAATCTGCAACTTCTTGAACGATATTTTGTTGAGGGAGAGGCAAACTGGGTGTATAAGTGATAATTTTTTCCTTGCCATGTTTAGATGGGTGTGTATCTTTCTCAGGTATCATCTGAGCATATCCATCATCATCAGCAACCTTCTCTGGGTCAGGAGTGGACGAAACAAGGCGCTGGTTAAAAGGTGTGCGAACCTCCACCAGTGGAGCACGAGATCTTGCCAGTCTACCATCAACCATATTGGCTACCTGTGTATCAGGGGCTGCAATGAAAATAATCACAATGTGCCTTTTTTTAAGAACCATAATGTAGAATGACAGAGAAAAGAAATACTATGTACACACAATTTAGGTAATAGAAACAGAAACTGCGTAATCATAAACAATACCCCCAACTTCTTGGAAATATGAATGAAACCTATGATGTAGTTCGCCTGGCAAGACTCTGAAAATGCTTGGGGATACACATTGAACAAATCAGCATATATAACCAAAGGGATAGTTTGGTTAGTTATTTTCATTCATTTTTGTCTAAATCTGCTGAAGCTGAGTCCCTATCATTGAATGATGCATTGAACAAACTAAAGAATATTATTATCATCATGACTACTATCACCATTAACACATTTCATTTGAATTTGTTTTCAACATTTTTATTAAATTCAATATGACAACTATCTTCAACAAACTATGGCCCCCTTACCATCAGGAAAAATTACAAAAACAATTTTTCACCATCCATCAACTGATCAAGCAATTCTGGATTGGAAGTCTAAAATATATAAAGTTTATGCTGGGTGACTTTGGCCAGATGAGCTTAACCATGTCAACAGTGAGTGATCAATTATTGCTTAATGTTACATCAGCCACCCTGCAGCTTTTAGGTGTGAGAAATGTCTTTATTCCTACCATTAACATATCCCAAAAGTTAAAATATTTTTTTTTTATCTTCAGTATACAGAACAACATCATTACCTTATCTTATTGTGACGTTCGTAGACATATAATCAACCATACAATAAGTCACTTACAATCATCCACAACAGGTTCTTATAGTTTCCTCGGATGAAATCATATACATGTACCGTATATCACCATCTATAAAGTGAACCCACGCGTAATGCGACCCCCCTGTACAAGCCATAAAAAAAAAGGATGCTAATTTATATACCCCGTCTATATAGCGAAATACATCGGAATGAAGCATGTCACCAGTGTAAACACAATCCCTACATTTGCAATAAAAACGTGTGTCTTCTGCAGAAAAAAATTACATCATATGCCTTCAGCAAATCAGGGAAATGAACAGATCATAACAATTAAACTTGGTCAAGGCAAATTTGAAATTTTAGATAAAAAAACACGAGACATCATAATTTACCGATTAAATTGTATTTCCTGCTCTGATAGGCATTGTTTTTAATGCAGAGATTAAGATTACTGTCTATATTTTCTAGTAAACTAAGCTGGAAGTAGCAATCAGCTGTAAACACGTTTATCAGAATCTACCGGTGATTCAGTAAAAATTTACCCACTAATATAACTTTAAAGAATTTTGATACAATGATCAGAAGACTTGTATCTGAAACTTATTTTATCAAGAATAATTTATTCCGATATCATGTTACTTTAGTTCAGCTTTACTATATATATTTGGAATAAATTAATAAGCATAACACTTTGGTACAGCTGATCAGGATTGTAGGATATTTTGTAGGAACAATTTGACCAATCACCGTCGATGCTCCCATGCTCGCGATAGTGAAAATTTTATGTTGACATATAGTTGTCAAACTACAATGAATATGAGTGAGTGAGTATGGTTTTACGCTGCTTTTAGCAATATTCCAGCAATATCACGGCGGGGAACACCAGAAATGGGCTTCACACATTGTACCCATGTCGGGAATCGAACCCAGGTTTTCGGCATGACAAGCGAACGCTTTAACCACTAGGCTACCAAACCGCCCCACAATGAATATGACTTTCAGCGAGTCAATGTATGGCATTTATGATATATATATATGTATATCCATTCTCTATCCACCGAAGTTCGTTTCAAGGCCTCAAATTCTAGGTAAAAAGAAATTGCCTTATACACAGCGATATACAGTAAAATAATGATACCAATCATAGTAAAATACTAACAGTAAACATTTTTATTCATCATAGTTCTGACTGCATAAGAACTGATGACTTACACTCAGTGCCAGCTGTTGGTATGAAAACTCGATCTTTCGTCTGTGTAAGTGGTGTGCATCTTGAGTTCACAAGATCGCAATTCTCATTCCCTTCTCGGCTAAGCATGATCACTGGCTTTGCCCATTGGTTCCCTCCTACAATTATAAACATAACTACTAGTGACAAGTATCTTCATCTAAAGTACTGTTTTCCTTCAGCATGTTCAGAGAGAACATGTCCTCTAAAACATGGCAAAATGATCCGAAATGTTAAGCCTCACAAAAATATCACATGAATACAACATTGAGTCGGACTGTCAGACTGATGATTCAAATAATTGTCAGCAATATTACTGCTGCAAAACAGTGTTTCTTTCTGTTTACCAGTAATTACCAGTTTTATAGCAGTAATATTACGCTTGGACGGGTAATTCATGTGACACAGTCCCTGTGGACCGGCAAATACAGTACCGTATAAGTCTTTGTTGCTGAACAAAACATTGGTGATAATCATAAAGTATATCTTTTGAACAAAGTCAGCTTCCCTTTATCATCAGGGTTTCTTGTTGTCTATATTTAGTGCAATGAAATAACATTTTGCTTTGCTTCAAGGTTTAACAGCTATTTGTAGCGACTTAGTCTAGAACCAAAGTGAAATATTCCGGGGAAAAAAGAGAAAATTGTGACCAAACCTTGTGTGAATGACATGTAGATCTATCAATGTTACTTCAGAGATAGATGATATGCTTGAATTTGACTGCCATGAACATACACTACATTAAACATGGTGTTGAAAGAATTAAAACCAAGTATTTTTCATCCCATTTTTATGTCTCATTTGGTACTGACCAAAATTGGTGGTTGCCTGTCCACCAGGAGTGAGAGTTCCAAAAGCCAACGGTAAGACTGTGCCAGTGGTCAATAGTATGAGCATAACTACTTCAACTGATTAACATGACACAATCCACCACAGATAAGGGTGGTGCTCCCTACCATTTCAGATACTATTCATACTCAGCATTGTACACAGTAGTCTCTGAAACCACCTAATCCCCATCTTCAATATCTTCTGCCCCAGAAAGCAGCAGTGATGAGCAACATCTCACCTGACAGCCTGATCCAATTGTGTCACCTCTGGCTTTTATGACAAGCAACAGAGTGCTGGGGACCTATTCTAACACAAAGCCCAATCTCATAAAAATCATACCTTAGTTCTCGCAAAGACCTGAGGACATCCCATTACAGGCCATGTCAGAACAACCTTTCGCCAACTTTGACAGACAAGTGAAATGACTAACAAGAAGACAACATTAGCCAATCAGAAAGCAACTTTCTCACGTTATATGGCACTAGTTTCAAACTGTCGACTTCCATTCCAGACTATGCTTAGAAAAATATTTTGACAAAGTTCTCGAAGCAAAATTTGAAAACTGAACAAATGAACATTCTGGAATGTCTAATAGATGGCCGAGAATGCTGGTCAAATGTTTATCCCATTTAAGCGAGAGACAGATGGTGACTGAAGGAATCAATTGTACAGCCCATAGCTGTCATTCAGATACTGTGTTAACCTTTTTCGGGAGTCGCATGATAAGAAAACATTCCGACCATCATTTTCCTGATCTGGTAAGCCACGCTCTGATTGGCCAGATGAAAGGTCATTCTGACATGACCTGTAATAGGATGTCGCCAGATCCTTGTTTAGCGGTAGCGAGAAGTAGGACTATGTTCAAGTCAAGTTCCAGTCAACTGACCTACTAATCATCAAAAACCCAAGTCAACTGACAAGCAATGTTTTGTTTTCAATGCATAACTGAACATGTCATTAATGAATGGATCACCTTTCTTCCTCTGAATCAGGTTAGCTAGGAGTTCAGAACATTTGTCAATGCCACAATTGAGAGATGATATCTGATCCTCTGAGTCCGAAGAATAGAGAGAGTAGCCAGGCTTTGGACGAGGAATTTTTTTGGTGATCTTCTTTCCAGATTTAGTTTGTCTCTCTTTGAAACATCCTGATCTGTAAATGGAATAATTCAATAACAACATGTCTGATGACCAAATGATGGATGATGAAATACTTGGTTAATCACGAAATTAATTTACATTGATCTCAATCCCTGACAAATTGACTAGTGAACAGTTTGACATCAACAGTCAGCATTGTTTTTAAAATATCATGATGTGTAGACAGCTGCATGATAAGCAATTATGATCAAACAGTGTCCTCGCACCCTCTATCATCAAGGGTATCATATCTCCATTCTATTATGATAAAACACCATGGAAATATATTAATAGGAATGGAGATAAAATGAACAGAGTAATTGAGGATGGTGTCCTTTTGCCGTTTTATTACAGTAGTTCTATGAAAATACAAATACTACCATTGCTCCTGAGTTTGACAATGCTGATAATAGAAACAAATTATCTCTAAGATATTTCACCTTTTCACCGGGGTAGATTTTATTCCAGGTTTCACGGAAACTGATTTGGCTTTTGAAACCTGAAAACACAAGCATAACTATACACAGAAACAGTGGAACTTGAAGAATAACTAGTCAGTGCTGTATTCGGAAACCAAACAATAAAATTATGTGGTCAATGTTTGTAAATTCTGCAACAAAGTTTGATAATTCTGCAAACTTGTAAGCTTAGTTTTCGTGTAGTTCGTACTTTTACACCTATTTGACTTGCAGCATTTTTGTGATAATCTTATCCACGGCTAGAATAGATTATTGAAGTGAAATCTGGAGATCACTAGTGCAAACATACAGACTTGCACTTTCGGAAAGCAGTAATACTAAAGTCAACTTCACTTTAAAACTAAACCATGTAAACCAGGATATTGATTTTATAACCAGAGTTCCAGATAAGCTTCTGGTGTTGTGGGTATTTTACCCATGCATTTTAAAATCATTGGGTATCAGTAATTCTATCTGGGTATTCAAATTTCTGTTACCCACTACTTTTTACACATGTGGGTATTTAAGTTAAATATTTAAAAACACTATTCATCTAGTCCCTGCAAACTGGTGTCGTGTGGCTTCGAGAGCTTTATAGGACTCAAAAATAGCAAGACACTTCCACAAGAAAGTGTGATGGCAAATGATAATGATGTAACTGTCATCGTGGAGTTTGGCAAGGTTGACGTAATGCCCGTTTATAATTTCAAAATAAGTTGCTGATTTGCTAATCAAATACGCAGGGTTACTTCACAATATTTTGATGAAACGCACAAGTTATATTTTTGTAGCGTATCTGTAATGTTCGTTACGTATTTGATACGGTTGGTTTTAATTTTACTGCGTATTTCTGCATTTCTGATGCGTATTTTACGCAGATACGCAGCTTATCTGGAGCTCTGATAACCATTTCTCAAATTGCAAAATATTTAAAAGATTGCTTGTAAACCTTTCTTTTCCATATAACAACACCTCAAATAATTATTTAGAATGATTTCAATAATAAAATGCACAATTCAAATAACTTTGTTTCAGTAAACATATGCAACCATTACACGTTGAAAAACAGCTTTTACCTCACGTTACAATTCTGCAATGTATTTGACAATTCTGAGGCAGATACATGCAGAATTCTTCATGAGTTCGGCATAAAAAGGGATTTTCTACAAAATAGGTAAATTTCTGCACCAAGCGGGCATTTCTGCCAAATATTTTGAGAACGTGTAACTGCGGAACACAGCAGAGACTGAATAAACCACAAATTTGAAACCAAATGTTTGATAATAGAAGCAGACCTACTATTCATCAAAGATTCTAACGCAATTGTAATGAGGCCAACCTTATCTACATAAAGGTTGTCATCCCACATATTTTATCACATAAAACAAGTCACCTGATCTTACAGTGTATAAAACTCTTTGTGTTAGCATTGATAGCATTACTAAACATTATCATGATTACAGTAGTAAAGAGGAAAGGAGTACAGAGTTGTATTGAAACGTGACTTTCACCTTGCCCCTTCCTGCTGTTGTTGCTTTCCTTCCTTTTTCTGACATCTTGGTTGTTCAGTTTGTCATATTTCCCATTGGCATGACGAGATACCTGTTTGCAGACAGAGACATCAATTTTAATATCTGAAATTATTATTATTTTTAGCATTAATTATTAGCTAAATACAATCATTTAATGTGGAACCCACTGCCTGGTGATCATTTCCAGTCTTGATTTGGATGCTGTATTTAGTCCCATACATGTGTGACATGTGCAATATTAGTGTACCGGTACTCATTTACCATGTAAACCACTTGATCAAAAATACTTACATCCAGTCTAAGTTAGTAGATTAACAAAGTGGGTTCAAAACATATTGAATGACACAAATCAAAAGTTGATGAAGGTGTTGATAATCATTCTGATAATCATGATAATGGATGACAAAAATAAAAAAATAATTTACATTGTTAAAACTTGACATTTCAGATACAGTATACTGCAAACAAATACTAAATCAGTCTGTGCCAATACAATTTTACACTACTCGTCTGAACTTGGCTCTTTCAGTAGAATTAAGTGATTATGTGCACCATTATTAGCTGAGCTTACTAGACCTCCACAATTTTACTTAACTCTGGCAACTAACTAGTGGCAGAAGTCGCAGACTTCAAAATGATATCGGGTCCATTGTGTTTCATTTTTACGAGGCAAGTGTGTCCACTAGCCTGTAGCAAAGTCTAGTTTCTAGTGGAAACTTTACTTTGATAAATAGGTTAGTGGACGCTCTTGCCTCTGGAAGGTGATTGTGTTCATGACTACTCATGTCCAACTGGCTATCATTATTTGACCCTGAAGGGATTCTTGTCGTCAACCACCAGGAGTGAAGTAGCAGTAATCACACTGTTATCATGGTCATAAAATTTCATAAATGCCAGCCATCCAATTCTTTTATAATTAAGACATTTTTTACAGTAAAGTTACATATGTGCAGTGTAGCAGTTTCATACCAATTACTGCAATGTTGACTCATACATTTTTTTTGTTATTTTCTTTTTCTTCTTTCTTCACAATTTTAAATCCTTTCTTCTCATAATGCTCACAAGAAAAGTAACCGACTTCATGGTCACTATGTATCTATCTTTATGTTATTTCCTTCCACGATCTATGCTTCCTAATTTTCCAATGCAGAACAGTGTTGACAATTAAGCATGAAAATCAAAGGGTCCTTGTCATAACTCAAATGTTAAAAATTAAAGATTTAGGGGGTCCATCAATTCAAACATCATGGAAGACGCCATGGAACCCAGGATCCCAATGCAGAAGTTACAGTGTTCTCAACCATGAGAACATGGACTCAACATTGTTCTTGTGGGTGTCTCATTGGTCTGACACACATAAATTTAAGTAATAATGTGATAAACAACAATTTAAATAACCATTGTCACAAAATAATAAATATGTATAGTTACAACATGATCAAACATGAGCATGTTTTGCCAATATTTTAATGTATAAATTCACTTATCAGAACCACCAGTCATGTGCAAACATTTTGAACTATTTCTAGAATATATTTCATTGTCATGATAATATCGCACTTTCAATTCCTCCTAATAATCTATCATTGAGTACCCTATCGTCAAGTACCCTATTTTTTAGGGTTATAGCTAAAACGGCACCTCAGCAAAACATTACCGAGTGAAAACGGCACCGATTGGCGAAAACGGCACCTCACCTAAAGCAAAAACGGCTACTATTGCCTGGAGAAAACCGCACCTTCATTTTTTTAAACCTTGGTTTATTTTGTGACTAGGTTTCAAACTTTCAATAACTTTTTTAGTTTTAATGCCAACCTGCAAGAAATATGTTGAGAACTGTGCACCAAACATGTCAGTTCATTCATGGAATTTCTGCTAAAGCACCAATCCAAACAGGCTTTTGCAAATAGGTGACATCACTCATGTGCAACAGAAGTTTACAGACGAGGCAACAGAGGTCATGCTGTTTATCGAGGATTTGTTTTCTCTCGGAATGTAGCTAAATTCTACTATTGAAGACATCACCTACTGGTATGTAGCAGAATTTGAGTTTTGATAGGATATTATCACCAAAACCAGAACGGAGAAATTTTGGTAACAACCCGGTTCACACATATTACTTACATTGAATTAATGCTTTTGTCTCTTTTGACATGCATGTATCAAGAATTGGTTATGTGAAGGGTTACAATCTGTGTTGCAAGGCACACTTTCACAATCAATTGATAGAACTGAATGAAGAGACAATTACGTTTTCACTACACGAATATCACATAATGATATTAAAAAAATCGTTTACATTAGATTATAAGGTCCAAATTAAAGTTATGCAAGCAGTCTACAGGAACGAGCACTATCAATCAGCATGAATTCTGAGGCATATGATGTAGGATAATGCCATAAATGTGCTAGTTGCTTCACTACACTACCTAGTCCGCAACTCTAATTGACATGAACAGTTGATGATGGCAATCATTTTGGATGTGTGTTATACGGTATATATGAAGTCAATCAATATCTAAAAACCTAAACATGACCATTTCTAATCAACACGGCGATCTTCTTCGATTGACATTCAGAGCACCTGCGTGCATGGGCCTGTTGTCAACCGTACAGACACAAAATATTGTAATCACTTGAATCATATCGATCTGCAAATTGTTTTCTGTATTGTACAAAATGTGCACCGCCTCAAGAATTCAAAATACTGTTTTGCAAACATTCTTAATTACCTACTAAGCTCATTAAGCTCTGTCTTAGCACTGTTTGCGAAATCTTGCCGCTTGTGAAGTCTGCTCACGAAACGAGCCTAACAACAGTCTTATTATATCTGAAACCGACTTCCGGTTTGTACGAAATATAGTCTGTCCAAAATTACGTTCATTTAGATCTATATAATGTGCTGAGTACCTGAACTATGCATGATAAAGTCATTATCTACAAGGTGTAACCATGAATAGCATGGTTCTTGTGATCCGGTGCTCGTCATTTACTGAAACAAGCCGGCGAAAGAATACAAATGAGAGGATATAAAAGTCGAAATGACACATATTCGTACAGCGGTTTTGACAGTGAAGGGTTAGAGGATCTTATCCAAAATTCTTTGGCACATACAAAAGTAACAGAATACACATCCAGTTGTCAGTGGAATATTTATGATTTCAATTTTATGACGGTCAAGACACACACAAAATAATGATAAAATAAACAACTGATAACTGTTTTTACAGGTAATGTCTAGCACAGGACCATGTAACTATAATAATAACAAACTCTCGTCTACGAGTTTTTTTGGAAATTTATTTTGTTTTCATTTTTTTTAATTATTATTATTGTTATTGTTGTTGTTGTTGTTGTTATGTGTGTGTCTAGTCACCCCATCTGTTATGAGCAATCGTTTGATTTTATTGACCCAATATACATTATAGTAACGCAAATATACAAAACGCAAAAGATATGTCAAAAGGCAAAACTATAAAGCATATTGTTAATTTCATGAACATATATCTATGAATATAAATTATATATATATTCTAAAATCGGTTTCGCAGAAAGTGAACTCGAAAAAAAGGGGAAGAATGCTCTAGCGGAACATATACCCAGAAATATGGACTTTCCTTCCCACGTCTACCTAGACCTGCATCACTTCATAGGCTTTCCTCCCACGCCTACCTGGACCTGCATCACTTAAATCATAGACTTTCCTCCCACGTCTACCTAGACCTGCATCACTTCATAGGCTTTCCTACCACGTCTACCAGGACCTGCATCACTTCATAGGCTTTCCTCCCACGTCCACCTGGACCTGCATCACTTCATAGGCTTTCCTTCCACGTCTACCTGGACCCGCATCACTTCATATGCTTTCCTCCCACGTCTACCAGGACCCGCATCACTTTATAGGCCTTCCTCCCACGTCTATCTAGACCCGCATCACTTCCTAGACCTTCCTCCTACGTCTATCTAGACCTGCATCACTTCCTAGGCCTTCCTCCTACGTCTACCAGGACCTGCATCACTTCATAGGCCTTCCTCCCACGTCTACCTAGACCTGTATCTCTTTATAGGCTTTCCTCCCACGTCTACCTGGACCTGCATCACTTCATAGGCCTTCCTCCCCCGTCTACCTGGACCTGCATCACTTCATAGGCCTTCCTCCCACGTCTACCTAGACCTGTATCTCTTTATAGGCTTTCCTCCCACGTCTACCTGGACCTGCATCACTTCATAGGCCTTCCTCCCACGTCTACCTTGACCCGCATCACTTCATAGGCCTTCCTCCCACGTCTACCTAGACCTGCATCACTTCATAGGCTTTCCTCCCACGCTACCTGGACCTGCATCACTTCATAGGCTTTCCTCCCACAGCTACCTGGACCCGCATCACTTCATAGGCCTTCCTCCCACGTCTACCAGGACCCGCATCACTTCATAGGCTTTCCTCCCACGTCTACCTAGACCTGCATCACTTCATATGCCTTCCTCCCACATCTACAAGGACCTGCATCACTTCATAGGCCTTCCTCCCACGTCTACAAGGACCTGCATCACTTCATAGGCCTTCCTCCCACGTCTACCAGGACCCGCATCACTTCATAGGCTTTCCTCCCACGTCTACCAGGACCCGCATCACTTCATAGGCCTTCCTCCCACGTCCGCAGAACCCGCATCACTTCATAGGCTTTCCTCCCACGTCTACCTGGACCCGCAACACTTCATATGCCTTCCTCCCACGTCTACCTGGACCCGCATCACTTCATAGGCTTTCCTCCCACGTCTACCTTGACCCGCATCACTTCAAAAGTTTTCCTCCCACGTCTACCTGGACCTGCATCACTTCATAGGCCTTCCTCCCACGTCTACCTGGACCCGCATCACTTCATAGGTTTTCCTCCCACGTCTACCGGGACCCGCATCACTTCATAGGCTTTCCTCCCACGTCTACCCAGACCCGCATCACTTCATAGGCTTTCCTCCCACGTCTACCTAGACCTGCATCACTTTAGGGTTTCCTACACTTGGACCACTGATTTCTAACGTCTTTATTAATGATATATTTTACTGTTTGGATACGTTCACTCTGAAAATTACTCGGATGACAACACGCTATCATACTCGCATACAACTCACGCCATTCTCGTGTACACTTGAGCTGTACGGTGCAACCACCCTAAGATGCTTTGACAGTAGCGGCGAGCCAGGGGAGGGCCATATGCCTTGAGATAAGAACCCAGCCATATCTTCAAAATTTCAGTATCGGAAGTACACATATCTCTCGCAATGAGAGTGTTACTCTTTTTGTGAAGATACGAGTTAGAATAGGTCCTCAGCAACCCATGCTTGCCGTAAAAAGTGACTATGCTTGTGAGAGGCGACTAACGGGATCGGGTGGTCAAGCTCGCTGACTTGGTTGATTTGTCATCGTAGATCAATTGCGTGGATCGATGCTCAGGATGTCAATCACTGGATTGTCTGGTCCACACTTGATTATTTACAAACCGCAGTCACATAGCTGGAATATTGCTGAGTGTCCCGTTAGTCGAATCTTACAAGTATCGTCGCCTTTTACGACCAGCATGGGTTGCTGAAGATTCCTTGACTGAATCGTGTTGAGAGTTCCCATATCATCCCTTGTGATCGAGTACGACAGGCGATCCTTCCACAAGGGAAGTGAAGGCATTCTCTTTGAAAGAATATTTTCTCAAGATTTGAAGTTGTTATTAATGTTTACCATACCCTGTTTATATGAAATCATAACACGGAACTGCAACTAATTTCAGGGAATACTTAATCTGCTGACATTTTAAAGCGACAGTCATCTGCCATTACCACCAAATAATGTCGTCTTTGGTTCAATTAGAACCCAGGTTTTTGCTTGTACCTCTTAATGTCTTTGATTTAACATCACTGAACAGGCTTTAGCTTAGATGCTTAAAGCTCGAGAAAAAAAGGAAAACGCAACACTGAAACGATGTTTGCAAACTAACCTCTGACAGAGAAACGCGTTCACATCCCTTGTACACGATCACAGGGGCGCATTTATATGCACTTGATCAGTATATGCTGAGGACTCCATCTCATCAATTCTAGTATTTATTTTATATTTTTATCTTCTATCCAACTCCACGTACCTCCCCCGTCATCTGTTCTTTATTTCATGCTCTGTGTGTACATTCCTTTTCTTGTTTCGATTTGTTTTGTACATTTTACAAACTGCTAATAGCTTAACAGCTAATGTTCTTTTACTATCCGGCGTTAAATAAAGCTTCTTGTAGCTAACATTCCCGTGTTTCTGTGCGTCATCGTTTCTCGGAGGCTTCATGCTGTCGGTTATTTACAGACATCCGTGATCTATTATACTGAGGTATTCACTCACGTACTCGTGACGTCACGGGCGATTGATGTGACACTGGGGATCAACTCGTTGATTTTGACGACACACCATAATGTGACCAGATAAATAAAACTCTGTGTTTTAGCGCACATTTGACAGGAATGTAAGCAGGGATTTTATGAAGATGCTATAAAGATGAACGTTGTACCGGAACTGAGGTCACATGGCACTGGGTCTATCACTAAGTGTGAAATTTAATAACGAATGTTATATTTCGTGGTAAAAAAATCTAAAGAGCAGACATTGCAAAATGTTCATAATACATTAACACTTGAGCATCGTAACATGGCATTAATTCTTCACGACAATGTATCTAGTGAATTGAATGCACGGATGGACGTCTGTGATCAGTTTAATATGGTTAACTTCGTAAATCAGGAATTTGATTAATGTTCAGATGGGATGGGTCGCCCAGTCGTTTAGGTGCCCCGATTCACCATCCACTGTTGCATCCCTTGATTTTGCCTGAATCAATTTATGGATTGTCCCTCGTTTCCATAACCAAGCTTAGTGATGTAGAGTTTACTTCTAAGCAAAGTACACCAGAAATTACAGTATCATCCTCAATAAAGCATATTTAACCTTATATTCCCTATGGATATTCCGGGTTAAAACAGATCCCCTGTAGCCTGTAATTGTCCAAGATAACTTGGTCAGGCTCGGTGACGTGGTTGATTTTGTGTCATCGTACCCAGACGGCATGGGTCTTTGCTCATGATATCACTCACTGGATTGTCTGGCCAAATTACACGTCGCCGTCATATGCTGGGATATTGACGAGTGCGGTGTTAAACAACAAACATTAAACAGAATGAGCTAAAGCCTAACTCTATAGCGTCCCCCTGGCTATTCCCACTTCAAACAGGAACTAACTCATCCCCATCGAAAGTGTGTCACTCGGTGGGAAGGAGCTTAATCTGTTAAAGGTCAAAGGGAGATAACTCCATCAACAGTTTCATGCACTCATCTCAGTGGAAACGGCTGCGGTATCATGGGCGGCACACCGTCGATTTCAGTTTCATTCGTGTCCAATCGGCTTAATCCATAACCAACATAATAAATCAGTGCAGCCCATGGGATTTGAGAAGCCGTGTGGTTGATCCATTCGACAAACCTCAGCAGAATGGCCGATCGAGTTCAGTGTGCCCTTGATGGTCAAAGTGAAGTAACTGTAAATCCTTCCTTGTTACCATTTACTAAGACTGGTTCCTGGATCCGCCGTTTGGTGTCGTTGCTCTTGGTGTCTTCCAGTCTGTCGCAGGAACTAGACTGGTTCCCGTTCGTTCCTGCGACAGACTGGAACTTTGATTGAAAAGCGGAACAAGTGCAGCGACACCAAGCGGAGGATCCGGGAACCAGTCTATCGCAGGAACCAGTCTAACCATTCGCTAAACAGACTTACCTCCCCTTTGGACAAGGGACATAACTCTTTATTAGTTGTACGTGGTTATCTCCCTTTGATTGAGGTCGCACGCAGTGCGTGAAGTTCATAAAGAGATTCTGTGTGGAGTTCAGGGAAGGGAGTTAACTCTTATAAACATGATTACTTCCCCTTGATCAAAACCAAATCAAGCTCCTTTTCCAGCGCATGACACCTTCGTTACACTCACGGTAAAATCGCTGCCACCAGTGTGGGCGCGGCCATTACAAGAATCTTGAAATTTGCCCTCTAACCCCAAATGTAGTAACGTTTATACTTTTGTTTATGTCTTTGGGAATGCCATCATATTTCATTTTGAAACGGTTTATGACTGACTATGTTTTCCAGATGAATTTACTTTGTGTTTTAATAATCAGATAGGTTCGAGATTGCAGACTAACGGAAAATCAACCCATTTCTCCCTTGCATTCTTACTATGTCAATAACACGATAGTTTAATTTAGCAGCGATAAGTGTATTCGGCGTCACGACAGTCGTCACTTGTTCATTCGGTTGCGGGTTCAACTCAAAGCATGGTTGTGACCACCTATCACAGTGGAGAGTTATGGCTGGTATAGAGAGCTACGCGGGCGGGCTATCGCTGTGAGGAGCTTGAAACCGAATAAATTGTGTATTGACACGATTACCTCCCTTTGACCATAAATGAAACCTTGTTAACTCGTAAGGACGAGAATATATGGATGTCAGCTTCTATATTATGAGAAACAAAACGTTTCGGAGTATTTGCTTCACCTGATGACAGAGTAAGCATATACTCCGAAACGTTGTGTTCCTCATAATAAAGAAGTTGACATCCATATATTCTCTTCCTCATGTGTATCACGTCTGAATGCGACCGCCTCCGTGGGCTAGTGGTAGAGCGGCCGCCCGGAGAGCGGAAGGTCTTAGGTACGATCCCCGGCCGCGTCATACCAAAAGACGTTAAAACAAAGTACTTGTTGTTACCATGTCTGGCACTTAGCATTAAGGTGCTAAAACAAGGACTGGTCGGCTCGGAGTCAGTATAATATGTCTGAGTGGGGTATCCATGTTAAACTGCGGTATGGTATATATATCAGTGGGCTAGCCCTTATAAATCGGCATCAGTCCGGACAAGTACAAGCAGACACACACACACACACACACACACACACATACACACGTGCATGCACGTTGCTATATAAGTGTAATATAGTCATGGACGCGACGTTAAACACCATTTCACCTCACCTCCCTTTCAAAGTCAGAACTCGTGTATAAACACGATGACCTCCCTTTGACCATAAATAAAAATCACTCCCGACGGACACATGGTCCTTTGCGATTTTGTTTTCTTTTCCAAATCCAATTTTAGGAGAAAAAGATTCGTGAAGGAGGAAGAAATTCAAACATGTACCTTGAGGTTTAATTCTGGCGTTGATTTAATACAATATTGCATTAATGCAGTCTTGCATTTTGGGACTGATAATTTATTAAAGGGTTGGGACTACATATCATTAACTTCATGACCCTCCCACAACTTAATGTCACATTTGTTCATGTTGATATGAGCAACGTCCCTCTCTCTTCCTTGTGAAAAGCAATGTGTGAAAACTTATGGACCACAAAATAATACTTCCATTTAAATGTAAAAAGTGTATGGTAATTTCAGAATATTTTCAGAAAGACAACACGAACGTTCCAATTTTAAAACATAATACCGAAAGAGTTTCAAAAACAGCTGAACAGGTATTGATTTATACAAGTGTTTATCATAAGGATATTGCTGTTTGGAGCTTTTTGCCCGTAATTAAACTAACTCTCTGCTACGTGGGGGACGAGTCCAAATTTACTACCCGGGTACTCAACCCCCTATTACCCGACCCTGCCCGGGTACCCATTGAAGGTCCCAAGATGTGGGAATTAACACAATGTCTGAATGGGAATTGTTTTACCGCAGCCCTGGCATGAACTGTTTAGATCATGTATCAAACGATCAGGTCATGCGTACACTGAAGTTGACTGAAGCTTTAGCTTTACTCAAACATATACAAGTCAAAAGATCAGCGACTTGTAGTGTTACCACTGAGCGAAGATGTAAATATCTATATACATCTTTGCACTGGGCTATAGTGAGTTTTGGTCATTAAACAATATATCACGTGGCTAACCACGGGTCCAAGTAGCCCTGTGGGTACCCGGGTCCTACCCAGCATCCACCCGAACTGAGTACCCGAGTTACCCGTCCCAGCCATACTCTCTGTTCTCTGTGCCGCGACAATGTAAGGTTTAGAGAGAAAACTTGTGTACCAACACCAGTAGCCTCCCTTTACCCTTTCCACTAGAGGGCACTGCTTGATAGCGTGCACAGCAACGGGACCTCGAACTTGTCAAGAGTAGTGTTTCCACCAAAAAGGACCTGTCAAACAGATAAAACAACTGGAATTTAATGGAGGAGCAGTTATAACAATGGTTTCACCAATTGTCTGTGCCTGTGTATTCGCAACTATTCATGTTGTTGGTGGTAAGTAGAAAGGGCACCTGCTGAAAATCAAATTGCAGTATACCTTATATCCGATGGCTTTTGATATTGATCACAGCATGCGAAGCAATGAAAATCACCCATGCATGTTAAAAACGACTTGTTTAATGTTGATATATATATAACTGCCATGATCGTATTTGCATAAGATCAGTCTTGGACTTGGTTAGAGGGTATATTAAAACAAAAATAACTGGCCAGCATGCAGGCAAATTTAGAGTTGCACCCGACTCGCCTAAAAAAATCTGACCCGACTCGCCTAAAAAATATATATAATATTTTGGTATGCGTTTGGCAAATATAACTTAGGATCACAATTACTAGTATTTTCATACACAAGTATGGAAATAATGTTAAAAAAACAACGTATCATCCATAGAATTTGTCTTATGTCATATTTACATCTGCACTTCATGTTGAGTCAGTGAGTCAGAGCCCAGTCGGTTACACTATTGGGACCGAGACTACAACACTTACATTTAGGTACATTATGTGTATAAAATGCATTACTAAGTATTTCTGAGAGTTACATACTTATTCTAAAATACAAAAAAACGACCGTAGTTCTCTCAAAATAAAATTAGGCGAGTCGGGTCAAAATCTTTTTAGGCGAGTCGGATTTTCGGCGAGTTGTGTGTATCCCCAAATTTATCACCGAAATAGGAAAACGAATTAAAGGACCAAATGTCATCAGGTCATGACACACAACTAACAAACCAAGATGACCATTTTCCATCTTAACAAATTACATTGCCTCTATCAAATGAAAATGTTCAGACTCGTATTTTCTTTGGCAATGCATTTTTTATATGTTTAGGTGTACATGGCAGTATGGCTTAGACCAACTGCAGTTGAAAGCCACATAAACATAAAAATAAAAATTATTATTGTTATTGAATGTATTTTATTGCAGTATAGACCATAACTTCAGTTTTTCAATCTGCCAATGATTGTTAAACACATTACCATGCTATTACCTTTTTGCAGGCAGTTTATCCGACTCTCTGAGCTACTATGAAGTGATTGACCACATCAACATTTTCTCAAGGTCCAGACGAAGTGTTGATGATGTGGAAGAGGGTTTAACAAGAGAATTTATCTTCCATGCTTTCAACAGGTACTTGGCAATGTTTAAGATGTATTTCAAAGCAGATATCTTTCTGAACTTTATGAAAGATGAACAGTCTTTCACCTGGGGGTGAAAATTGTTCACTCATATCACACCAGGTTCGATTCTCCACATGGTTACAATGTGTGAAACCCATTACTGGTGTCCCCCCACCGTCATATTGCTGAAATATTGCTAAAGCGTCGTAAAACAAACCTTGGGTGTTTTTCAAGCAGCAATTTTCCATTTCCACTTTTATAGAAAGGTTACTGTTAGTATAGGTAGGGGCATTGTTACTATTGTAATCACTGGTAATGGTATTGTCATAAGCATGATAAGTTTAGGAGTGTCCTTACATTCCAACAGCAATGTTTTCTTGCATTATTCAACTTGATGAAGCCAAACGTGTCCAATGTGTTTTAAGGGAAGTAACTCTGTTTATTGTATGATATGATCTTGTTAAATTATTGTATAAACAATCGCATGTCTGTGCATGTTGATCTATATAAATCTTATGGAAAAGTTACTGTTAAATACTACATGTATGTTATTGATCTGACTTGTTATCAATGTATTGGCAAAGGCCCTTGGGCAGTTGCGATTTATCAATAGTTTCAGCAATCATTACATCCCCAGAACCCCACGGGTCCCTAAAGGGTTTAGCTGAGCTGTAATCTTACTTTTGAAGAGCACTTACAACTTACAACCAATTGAAATGTTACATGTCTGATTCAAATCTCACTTGAAGCAGAAAAGGGCACCTACTGAAAATCTAGTAACTGTTGGTGTGTAAACATGGGTTTTACTTGTGCATGTACTGCAGTGTTTTTGCATTTGCTTAAATATTTGTAATAATTTCTTTAGTTCCTTTTCAGCAGTATTTTAGCATCTTAGATATTATTGGTATACTGTGTGTCAAATTGTGTACATTTACAAATTTTCTTTCAGAACGTTCACATGTCACCTTCGTCCCCGTACTGAGATATTTTCTCCCGGGTTTAAGATCACCGTTATACATGGAGACAATAGCAAGGAAACTGTTGGTCTTCAAGAAGGGAACTTCTATACCGGAAACGTTGTTGGTAAGTGTCTGTCAAGTCTGGTGCTGTCTATGGCCAGTCTTGCACCCTGTTTGACCAAGCAATCATAGCCCTAAGCAAGCTGAGATGATCATCATACATACTCCAAAGTCTGAAGAACATTATCAGTCATTCAGATAGTCATCAAGTGCAAGCTTGAAAGACATCCCAGGGCTCGAAAAATCCACTCGTCCGCTCGTATTGACGAGTGGTAACTGATGTCGGGCAAGCTAAAATTATCAAATACTCGTCCTGACGGACGAGCAGATACTCACAGCAGTTTAATTTATATTTGTTTTGATGTGCGATATATTGACACGGAAATCACGGCCATTCAGCCGATCGATATTTATGTCGCGTATAGCATTAACAATTAGGCTGAGGTTTGTCTCTTGATGTATCTTTGCGCAGGCTTTGCGCTGAAACCAGTCTTTATTTATTGATGTAAGCGGCCGGTTGCTAACTACCGGTGATTCGGTCAAGACACACCCAATGATATAACTTTATAGGATTTTAATGCAAGGATCGTCAAAAATTGTATTTGAAACTATTTTCTTTATCAGGAATAATATATTCCAATATCTTGTTAAATTAGATGCAGCTTTTACTCAAATTATAAAAATAATAATAACCCTAAGCGAAGCAGCTGATCGCTATTGCCGGTATTATTTTTTACATGGAACCAGTCTGACCAGTCACCGTCAAGGCTCCCGTGCACGTGATCGCGAGAATTACGTGTTGACATAGAATCGTCCAACAAAAACAAATATGACTTTTAACGAGTCACAGTATGGCATTTATGATATATGTATCCGTTCTCTGTCAACTAAAGTTCGTTTCAAGTCGTCAATAGCGGTAATCTGACCGTGGTTGCTGTTAATAACGTGGGGGTTGTGCGATCTTCCGATCACTTCACACACGATTTCGCCGAAATTAATTAAAACAATATTAAAAGGAATTTTGAATAAAATAAGTTACAAACATAAGTCCAGATATACAAAGAACACTTTTTATAGCCAGACAGTGTAAATTACATGACTAATTTGCGTACTTCAGTATGGATTTGTTGACATGGTATTTCCGGTGTTACGGGCTCACGGTAATGTCTTTCCATGGGGGAAAAACATCCAAACTCATTATTTCGTGTATAATGCGCACCCCCTTCTACACAGCTGTGTTTTTTTTTATAAAAAGGTGCGCACTATACTCAAGAAAATACGGTAAACCCAAATGGCGGATATGAGAAAGATTTTCTTGTCGGAGGGTCGTGCCGACAAAAAGTTGACTGCACAGCGGAGAAACGAAAACTTAGTCCAAAACAATATGGTTGAGTGAATTTGAATGGGCAAAATTTGACGATGATGACAGCGAGTTGTATTGCACTGTCTGTCGAAAATACCCCAAACTATCTGATCCCAAATGTGGACTCGTAACTGGTTTACATCATAATTTCAGAAAAGAAACTTTGAAATTTCACGCTAAAAGTAGGAAGCATATTCAGTGCTGTGAACATGATAAAATTTTTAACAAACCCCAGACTGCGCAGTTTGCCAAGTCAATGCAAAAAGTTGACGAAAAAAACAGTGAAGTTTATGAAAAGCTATTCACAACAGCCTACTATATTGCAATAGAAGGGGAACCATTTTCAAAATTTCCAAGTTTTTGTCAGTTGCAGTATAAGAATGGTGTAATACTTCGTACAAATTATTTGAATGATCATGCTTGCAAGGCATTCACCCAATCTATAGCAGATGTGTTAAAGAAAGAAACTGCTCAGGATTTGGAAAACAGTAGGTTTGTCAGTATTTTAGCAGATGGTTCAATTTATTTACTTTGTTTTGAGTGGTTACATGGTACATGATACATGATATTGTCTGTTCAGCATTGAGCAATAGGGCAAGTGAAAATTTGGCAGGACGAGTACAAAATTAAAAGTACTTGCCCTGCAGGACAAGTAGGGTTGAACAAATTTTTCGAGCCCTGCATCCTAAAATTAAACAGCAGACAAAAAAAGTTTTTTGAAAGACTTGTATCAAATCTCCTTGGACTGCCAATTGTCCTGAGCCTTGTGCTCCTTCCATAGACTTGGGACAGTCATAGTGTTACGATACAAGGTGGAGCCTGGCAGTTTTAGGCAGTCATCCCAGTGTTAAAGCTCCATTCTGATAAATAACCAGGAGCCTTTTGATACCATAGCTTGGTTTTGAGCCAGATTCGATTTATACATGTAAAAAAATATATGTCCAGTACTTCGATGAGTGAGAGAACATCTTTGCTGAGCTAGTTAGATAAGATAAGATAGAGAAGGCAGAATCACTTTCGAAAGGAAACTGGACGTAGGTAATTTTCACACCAGCAGTTGAATGGAATGGACATTTACACTGGATAAGTGAAGATGAGTAGCAGACATTATATGCACAGCACATTATATACCCAACATGCCCAATCCCATCTTATGCAAATGATGCTTGCCTTACAATTAGTCCAAACTTCATGCACTTAGCAGAAATTCTGCATTTTGATGACATTTTGACAACAGATATCTGGATATACATGATGTAGAACTTATTCGATTGATGGTTTCATCCAAGGTGTGGAAGATTCCGAAGTGCATGGCTACTTTGAAGGAGAAATGTTCACAGGGACTGTGTTCATAGAGGGACAGCTGTTTGTCATAGAGGTATGTACAGTTGATGGCATCCACCAATACCACACAGGAGCATGATTGCAGCATTGTTGGTGTTATGAAGGCACCATGGAGGACATATGATGCATTGTTGATGCGGTATGTGATAGCATCACAAGAATAATTGCTTGACAGCCTGTTGGCATCATGTTGACATGTTTTCTTCACTACAGAAAATTGTGTGGATATTAAAGTGATTATTTTTTAACTTATCCTGCATTACTCCTTAATGCTTTTACTGCTATTTCTTGACTGAAAGACGAAACTGTGTGAGGTCCGGCTGAAGAATGGCTGATACCATTGCACAGCACCCACATGACCACGGAAGTGATGGCATCACTTATCTTCACATTACCATGATGACTTCTTGTCACTCAGACTGACTAGTAGTGATCAATAAAAACTCCAGCAATCTACTGGAATCCTCTTGTTTCTTCTTCAGCATTTCATTTGTGATTTATATCATTCCTATGGTTAATAACTTCATGTCTTACCACATGTTTTTGAATTTATATGTTTTGCTTGATGGTGGCTACTCGTCACTGTAAATATCATGCGTTTTGTTATTCCGATTCACCATTTTAATTTCAATACAATGTCACATTCTTGTGTCAAACATCCTGTCATTATTCTTAGTTGCTTGTTAATTCTTTCATATTGCCTTACCTATGCTTCTCATTTTGAAATAAAAGGGTTTTTTCATTTTTATACTGCATAATTTACTGCCCAGTTGCCAGGTTTAAAAGTACCTTAACTTTCTCGATGTTATTTGTACCTTGGCTTAAATTGCAGATTTTTTCCCTGTTGTAATCATTGCCACCCCATCCCTTGTGTCTGGAGTGTACCAACCCTTGTTCAGTGGCTGCTAAGTGTAGCCTCCTGTGCCTGTGGCTTCTCCAGCACCTACATCACCTGCACCTCCTGCGTTTACAGGAGCCCATCTACTTCCAGAGCTGCATCATCTCACGGTTCAGCGTCTCCTGGATTGTCCTCTTGATGCAGCACTAAGTCGTCAAGGTTCAGGAGCCGTTCCCCTGTCCACAGATCATACAACTATCACTCATCAGAAGGCTCCTTCATTTCTAGTTATGAGGGTTCCTTCCCAAAGAAGAACACCCATTTAAGCCTTAGCCAGTGACCGGATACAGCCTAGCTCATTTCCACCGGACCCGATGTTGAAAGACACAATCGTAGCATTGGACAAGTTCTTTGCTATGTTGTTTCTCCCGTCAACATTCAAGCGGATGATTTTTCAGTTGGCTCCTGTAAGGCTACGACTGTCAGAATTCCAGACTCGCGGATGACATTTATAGAGGCAGAGATTCAGCACTCCCCTTTAACCCTTGTCTGCTCTTGCATCTTCACCTCGAGCCATTGATCCAGACTTAAAAGAGACTAATCCCAATCGTGTGGATCATCTGAGGACAGCTTTAGCCTTCCAACAACGTCAGATAGATCACATGTGCAATCATCTCAAGGCTACTCTTGCTGAGATCACTACGACTCAGCACCTTGGCATCCTGGCTTTTAACTGAGGAACATCCAGTTTGAGTTATATATCGAAGATTGCCTACTGAACCACCGGGACTCGGACTACACCAGGATTTTGCCACGATTTCACAAGGCCCCTTCTCCATCAGCTGGGGTGGATTGTCAAGGGACCAGGATCTCTTAACTGTCCAGAGGGACAGATGGCACAAGATCCAGCTCATCAGCTCCTGGCTCTTCAACAACCCCTTACACTTCCCTCGTGGCAAGTGCTTCTGGGTCTACTCACTTCAGCGCAGGATCTGACATCCAGAGGATGCTTACATCTGGGGCCAATTCAGAAGTTCCTAGCGCTGGTCATCAGGCACCAGGATCAGTCAGTCTCCATCGACCTACCGCCTCACCTCAAACCTCATCTCCAGTGGTGGACGTTTGAGTCAAGTGTCTTAGAAGGAGTCACCATGACCAAGCTATCACCTACTTTGCGCCTGTTTTAGACATCTCTCTTCAGGGTTGCGGCACTCACCTGGATGACCAGACGGCCTCAGGGCTATGATCAGTGCACACGGCACATAAACAACTTGGAATTGGAAGCGCTCATTCTAGCAATATCCCGTTGCCAGAATAATCTCCAGAATGCCAAGGTAGCCATCTCTACAGACAATATCATGGTGGTTTGCAGTGTTTGTGTTATCGCAGAAACCTGCGTTTTTCACGCATTAAAATCATATAAACACGCAAAAAATATTTGTACAGATTGTGATATACTTAATTTTGTATTAATACCATAAAATAAAAAAACTATTCAAAGCTGATAGCCTGCTTACGATGTTCAGACGAAAATAAATCAAAACCTGGAAATTCCCATTGCTAAAAATAGAGTGTGGCCAGATGGCGCTTTGAATCACGTCCTTTATATTTGCCATATATGGTCTTTGGGCAACGGAATAACTAATCTCACACACAGGACGTTATTCGTTAATCTCATACACAGGACGTCATTCGTTACTATCGATGGAATTCCCCGGAAGTCGTTCGTTTCATCCAATCAGAGCCCAGCTTACAAGTAATAGTCGGTAATACGAACGATCATAAACAGAGCGACGGAAGAAAACTTCCACGCATGGGCTAACAACAGTCATATTTATTTTATTAATGATTGAACTCGACCTTAAGTTAAAGCTTGGTCATAATTATTAGCTGTACTAGTACTGATTTTATTGAAATCATAACTTCACACGCAAAATATTTGAATTGAAAATTTATAATTTCATTTCTGCACGCACTGTACAAAAACCTACCGCGAACACTGGGTTTGGTGTCTGCACAACCAGGGGATGACACATTCTTACTCCCTGCTAAGTAAATGTTCCGGTTCTTCCATCTGGTAGATCGGCTGGACTTGCAATATCTCGTCCAGCACATCTCAGGTTGTCAGAACATCCTAGCGGATGCTCTATCACCAAACCCTTCTGTCTGGTGTGTCAGCATCATGTAACCAATATTTAGGTTATAGTCAATTATATAATATTGTAAAACAACTCAACTGAGATACTGTTCAAGGCAGCATTGAGCACAGCTCACTGAACTTGCTTCAGATATTCAGACACGTGGGCACTGTGCCAGGGGATTAGCCACACAACTAGTTGGAACAACTTCTTTTTCAGCTGGACCTAACACAGCTTCGTCTTTCTGTAAAAAACAGAAGTAAATGTATGGAGGAGTAATGCAGGATAAGTATTGTTGTACATTTGTTTTCCTCAGCCCCTATGGCGTCATGTTGATGATGCAATCAAACTGAACTACAAGGGCAGGATGGTTGTGTACAGAGGCTCTGACATTAGACTCGACTTCAACCAACATAAGGCAGGGAAAAGGTAATGGCAATGTGAGAGGTCCTGCATGTATTTAAAGGAGGCAGGGTGGGGCAACTGAGGGTATATATTGTAACTTTGTGAGTAAAATAGTAATATTATTTGTGATTTTAGTTAAAACAAACTCCAAGGGTATGTCACATCAATTCATTATGACAACAAACATGTTATAAATCCTTGTAAAATACAGAAAGAATTTCAGATTTTCCCTGATACTGCAGGACACTAGATTAGTGTTCTAAGCTCTTGTCTGCATAATGATAACATTTCCGAGAACATTCTATGTGCTCCAAAGATGCCTTTTATTGCTTTGCACATGTGAATAATATTTTACAATGTGACCGATATTTGAATGGTTGTAATGAACCAGATATGACCAGTGATTGATGATAAGATGCCAGCTGATTTCTGACACCAATTGTAAGACAGCTTTTTTGGTGTTCTAGTTTGTTTAGTAGCATAATGGCACTGGGATAATGGTAGCCTGAATATCAATCTCTCCTTGTATCCTACAGTATTATTCCATCTGAAACTAAGCTGCTTTGCGTTCCAGTGGGACATTTTGTGGGTCGGTCCATGCAGAGGATGAGGTTGACTCTGGGGATGCTCAGGAACCACCTACATCACATAAAGGTTGGTACCTCTAAGGGGATTCCAGGGTAGATTAGGTCAATGCTGGTTGTAAGTGGCAACCTAATGAATTAGGTGCTCAGGCCCGGTGTCATGGCTTTGTACAATGACTGTGGGGATCATGCTCATTATATCAATCACTGGATTGTCTGGTCCGAACTCAATTACTTTCCGTCATAAAGCTGGAATATTGCTGCTTGTGGTAGTAACGAACAAAACAACACACTAAAGGTTGGTAGGGCATGGTCCAATGGCCTGCCTCCTTTGTCTTGTGGAAGAGCTTCCGCCCGGATAGCTGAAGGGTCGGGGTTTAATCCCCGGCCACGTCATACAAAAAGATGTTAAATGATGGTACTTGTTGTTACCCTGTCTGGCTTTCAGCATTAAGGGGCTAAAACAAGGACTGGTCGGATCGGAGTCAGTATACTGTGTCTGAGTGGGGTATTCATGTTAAACTGTGGCATGGTATCTCTGTGAGCTAGCACTATAAATCGGCATCAGTCCAGACTAGTACAAGCAGCCACACACACACATATATAAGTGCAGTAATCTTGGACGCGACTTTAAACACCATTTCTTGTAATGGCAGTCATTTGTTTATGCTTGTCGTATGGCAGACTAATGGGATGGGGTGGTCAGGCTTGCTGACTTGGTTAATGCATGTCATCGTATTATAACTGCATGGATCGATGCTCATGATGTCACTCACTGGATTGTCTGGTCTAGACTATTATTTACAGACTGCCGTCATATAGCTGGAATGTTGCTGAGTGCAGCATTAAACAACAAACAAACAAACAAATAGTATAAGAGTGGTGGGCAATTGTAAGCCTTCTACCTTCCAGAGCTTACGATCTCAGTTTTGTGACCAGACATGTGCAAGGCAGTGGTTCTGTATCCTATTAACATATTAAAAGGAACCATGAAATAAAATACAAAAGACAAATCAATGCACACATGAGTCTATTAACCTATAGTGCCACACCTATCAATTGTCGACTCAAGCCGAATACGTGGACAAAATGGCCACGGCCCGACCATTTACACAGTACCCACAATCAATGTGACATCGACTGAAACAAGGTATCCAGATTAAAAAAAACAAAGAGGCAGGTAATAGCACTCACCGGTGGCAGTGCACACAAGCACTCTCAAAACAACGAGCCACAACGGTGCATCCACATGCATGTCTATCAACCGTATTACAATAAGTATTTGGAATGTCATTACCTACAACTGTGCCAAGTTTTGTGCTTTGATCACAAAGTGCACAGTTGACCCTATATATGTCGTAAAACGGCTCCTCTAAAGTATGTGAGTGAGTGGTGTTCAAGGCCGCTTTTAACAGTATTCCAGTTATATCACGGTGTGTCAACTTAATGTGGGAGGAAAGCCCCAAGTGATGCAGGTCTCAGACGTTTACCACTTCTGTGAAACCCACGAGCACAGGTATGGTGCTGACAAACCTAGAAACATAATCGGGACGAACCAGGATTCAAACCCACAATCATGGCATGCCCAAGGAAGGCAACTCTGCACAGCGAATCGTGGTGCCTTAGACAACTGGGCCACCCTTGTCCCCCACTAAAGTATAAATTAGAGGATATATTCTGATATTCTAATTATGTTAAACATTGTTAAAGTTGAATAATATGACTGTGGTAATGGAATGGATCATAACTGTATTAGGACACTCAGGCACTGTATTCCTAAGCCATTTCTAAAGTTACTTTAGGGAACCATTGTTTCTACTTCTATCATTTGAAGTATGACATTATATGATGAAGTAATTATATATAATATATATATATATATAGAACTACAGATTTATATAGCACAGCTAGGAAAACACAAAGCCTCAATACCCCAAGAAAGATTTGGTGAAAAGATAGGTTTTGAGTCTTGATCGGAACAAGGTAGGACTGTCAATGTTCCTTATATCCAATGGTAGCCTATTCCATAGCTCAGGGGCAACTTTGGCGAAACTCAGACCTCCAAAAGTCGCCGTTCTAACACTAGGCACAGAGAGTAGGGACTGGCAGCTTGATCTGAGAGATCTCCCAGGCACGTACTCTTCAAGAAGCTCGCTGATATAAGTTGGTTTTTGATTGTGTATCCTTGTGTGTTTCTCCACAGTAAGTGTCATATACAAGGAATAAAAAGTATGTATCATGCTCATCATAGGCACACAATTGTTATTCCTGATGTATACTATTCATGATACCAAAACAAACTCAGCAAATAATCTCGATTTGTGTCTTGGAATTATATGTTGCTGGTGACCATATCTGTAAGTGATGATACCTTTTCAGGATTTGCTGCCCGTAGTAAGAGATCCACTCCAAGCTGGAACACTTGTCGGCTGGTAGCTGTTGCGGACTACAGGTTCTACCAGACCATGGGGGGCCGAGACATTTATACCACAGCATCTTACATGGTCAGTAGGTGTGATACAGGTCCAAATAACCACATGAGGAAGATGGCATAAGAACTGAATCAGATGGTCACATGAATGAAGGAAACTGAAAGAAACTATGTCTTGGCTCAGGCCCTCTGATGCCTTAGCTATTTTAGTCGGTCGAACACAACTTTTTGTGTCAGCTAGTTGTTAATTATTACACAAACTCCAAAGAGACAATGTCTGAGTTTCACATGTCAATAATTTACAACATCTAGGGCTAAGCTGGACATTGTCATCCAACTGTGGGGCTTAGGTCCCGATGAGCCACTGACTTGTTCTTTTCGTATAAATCCATTTCCCTGTGTGATAAAATTGTTAGTATGCCAACCATGCAAACATTAATATAATACAACATGTTTCAAAGTTTATTTCAAACTATGTATTTTGTCCCCTGAAATGATGACTGCTTTACCACCAACTGTTTTTCAAAGCATAAGCATTGTGTCCTCTCAGGCTCTCTCTTTATATATATTCTTGTTGTCAGGCTGGTGTGATAGAGAGAGTAGACGCTCTATACAAGAGAACAGTGTGGAACAGTGCTGGGCTCACAGGCCTTGGATTTGAGATTGCTTTGGTAAGTAGCAATTTGGTCTCTGTGAATACTTGATTACTTGAGCTCAGGGCACACCTTGTGTATCGATAGATATTGCAATACTTCCGATACAGTATGTATTGTGATACCTAATAGGTGCTGTTTTTTGTAAAATTCCCTATGTTTCATATTTTCTGGCTAACCAGAGGTTGTTGCTATGAACCACTTTGTGTAATAAAAAACACCCATCCCCCAACCTCAACTGTCCAGAGGTTGGTTGTGAACACCCCTATCCAAAGTAGGAGGTTATCATTCTCTCTTACAGATGCAGATCCATGTGAGCCCCACTACTGTGGTCGGTGATGCTGTGCACTACAACATGGCCGGGTCGAGTTGGGACACACTCCAGCTACTCCGGGTTTGTGATGAAATACTGCTATCATACACAACAGAAATGATAAGTAAACCCACTCAGTCTAAGCTTATCCCTCCACAACAGTATTCAATGTTCCTTCTTGCTTTTATCATAAAACAGTGTAGAACAATGTAGAACATTCACCAGAACATTCACCAGAACAAGCCCTCCAACCACCCCATGCCCAGCATGCTCCTGAGCATATTTCCATGGCAAGGGCAGTAACTCAATCTCATTAAAATCAAATCTAGGTTCTCGCTGCCGCTAAACAAAGATATGAGGACATCCCATTACGGGTCACGTCAGAATGACCTTTCGCGAACTTTGACCGACCACTGAATTGACTAACAATAAGTCGACATCAGCCAATTAGAAAGCAGCTTTCTTAAGTTTTATTCCACTTGTTGTTTCAACCTGGCGACTTCCATTTCAGACTACGCTTGAAAAATATGTTGACACAGTTCTGGATTAAAATTTTGAAAAGTGAACAAACGAACATTCCGAAATGTCCAATACCGTATTTTCTTGAGTATAGTGCGCACCCGAGTATAATGTGAGTGTGTCAGTAGTGGTAATCTGACAGTGGTTGCTGTTAATAATGGTGAGTTGTGCGATCTTACGATCGCTTCACACACGATTTGGCCGAAATTAATTAAAACAATATTAAAAGGAATTTTTAATAAAATTTATGAAATAAGTGACAAACATAAGTCAAGATATGAAAACAACACTTTTTTATAGCCAGACTATGTAATTACATGATTAATTTGTGTACTTCAGTATGCATTTGTTGACATGGTATTTCCGGTGTTACGTGCTCACGGTAACGCTTTCCGCTGGGAGAAAAAAACATCAAAACTCAATATTGCGTGTATAATGCGCACCCCCTTCTAAAAAAGTGCGCACTATACTCAAGAAAATATGGTATATGGTTGAGATCGTATGGCAGTTCTTCCCATGTACTGTGCAACGCCTCCTTCGTTCAAAAGTTTAGCCCACTGAAGCGAGAGACAGATGATAATTTTGACAGAATCAGTTGTACGGGCCGTAACTGTTGTTCGGAATACCCCATGTTAACGTTTTCGAGGTTGCATGATTAGAAAACACATTCCGACTATCACTTTCATGATCTGGTAAGTGGCGCTTTGATTGGTCGGATGAAAGGTCGTTCCGACGTGACCCGTTTCGGGATGTCCTCAGATCCTTGTTTAGCGATAGCGAGAACTAAGATTTGATTTTAATGAGATTGGCATTAACTGAGTGTAAAAGTCCAGTTTCCACACTTTCCGAACTAGGCTGGAATTTCCAGGCTCGATCATGGTGCCACTAGTGGCTATTAGGAGTTATTTCCTTTCTCTGTCCCTTCTACTGACCAATCAGATTCATTCTCTCATATCACTTGCAAAACAAAATGGCAGCACCCAATCAAGTGGATCTCATTGATTATCAAGATCTATATTGTAATAAGACGGGTGTTTCCTCGCAAAGTGCATCAAATCAATTGAGTACCTTGATTTAAAGCATGAAAAGATTTGCAAAATATCTGTCGACGTCCAGTTGACAATACACATGCGATGCCAATCCTTCAATCAACCGAAACCTGCATGTTGAAATCCATGTTTTTTACGAACCAGATGTCTAGTTCATTTCGCAATTTTGATTGGACTATGAATATGCTCATTGTTCCAAGAGCCTCCAACTGCACTCGGAGGATGTTTTTTGCAGTCAGATACTACCTTCGACAATCCCAAGGATGTGTCGGTTGAAGACGTCAACAGAGTACACCAACTAGGTCCTTTCATCTTTGCTCAACAACTAGTCTCACCTTCACATTGCCATTGATTGAAAGAACGGAGCGACTGGCATCAAGGATTGTCTTAACTCAGTACCGCTGGGTATTTCGTATCATGAGAGCAACCACGGCTCCCCTTCTTTTGAGTACTTCCAGCAACATTATTTCAGACCGAGCCTTACCTGGAAACAGGCATGGTGCTGATGTATTATGGGAAGTTAAAGACACCCAAGGGTTGAAGACGAAGTAGTTGTGCTCTGGCCCCACCAGCATAATCGCAGAGGGAGAATACCGTTGACCCAACCCGCTGTCCTCCTGTGGGATAATTGCATACTGTTAAGGAGGGATAATTTAAAACATATGAAATCAGAGTGTTCCCTTATTTATATACTTACACTGACACAACAGGTCATGTCTGCCTGCCTGTCCTGCCTCAAAATTTTGGATTAACTTGTCACATGTCTAACATAGGAAAAGAGAAACAAGAAGAACTATTGCATACTTTTTTGTCAGGATATTTATATGAAGGAGGGGAATACTCTGATTCCCTTTGTTTGTACAATACATAGAAATATATTTTGACATCCTTGTTAACCACAAAATCATACAAACACATATCCTTAAAAAAAGGCTTGGGACTTACAAGTTTAAGTTGGGACGTCATCAGTAATCCCTCTGAGGTGAGGTTCTTCTCTAAATATCATGTGTTCATATTTGTCTTCTCAGGTCTTCGGCCGAGACCTGGACTTCAAGGATTATTGTTTGGCCCACTTGTTCACACACCAGTCATTTGCCAACAACGTACTCGGACTTGCTTACATTGCCTCACCCAAAACAGGCAGTGTTGGAGGAATCTGCTCCGGAGGTAGAACTTTCAACTTCAAACACAATGTACAGCATGGTACAGGTTCTGTCTCTGCATCTGTGTTTCTGTGCATGGTGAAAATGTCTTTGGAGCAGAGCTCCAAGGAGTCTGTTAACTAATTACAGTAATGAAAAAAGCTTCATTGAATTGAAAAGAAATTTATAGACAACACTCTTTTATGGTGTCACCAAACTGACTATATGTTAGGAGATCACATGATTATTTATAACAACAGACTATTTGTTTCAGAAATCAACACCAGTCAACCAAATAATTAAACAAATAAAATGTCTGATGAAGATAATTCTAAACATGTCCTTAAGTTATTGGTTCTGTTCCAGTTCGCTCAATCGATGGTGTTCCCACAAGCCTGAATACAGCACTCAGCAGTACCAAGAACCAGAAAGGGAATGTTGTTCTGGCTCAAATGGCAGACCTTGTCACGGCTCACGGTCAGTTGTTGTCATGTCTCAACATCATGGAAGCCCATGGTGAATACATGTTAGAATTGCTCCCCAGCAACATATGCTTATCATACGAGGCAGCTTAATGGATCAGGTTAGGACTAGGTTGATTGTGCATCATCAAACCTTGAAGGCGTGACTCGTTGCAGACAAAACATCATAGATATCAGGGATTGATTGATTATATCCCAGTCGTTTATGTTTGAAGGTGAAGATAATAGAGTTCATGTTAAAAAATATAATACAAAAATATGATTTTTTTACTTATCCTGCATTACACCTTAATGCATTCACTGCTTACCTTGCGACAAAGAAACAGGACAGCGTACCAGTGATGGTCCTTGGCGAAGAATTAATAAACTGTTTGAAGTCCCACTTTTCACACCCACCGCCACTGTCCTAATTGTAAAGTCCAAATTAGAGAGTTGTGGGTCAGTTTGAGTTACAGTAATTTATCAAGGAACTGAGGGGACCGGGGGAAAATGTGGTTTTCACCAAGATCAAAATTTGACAGAGTCCAATTTAGACAGATTCCTCTGTACTCTCCACTGCTCAGTTTTAACGACCAGGACGCCTGCTTCGGCCTCAGTTTCTTTTATTGCATTTCAGCCATTTTCTGTCTGCACATCCATTTAATCAGCATGTACACAACTTATGCCTTTTCATATAATCCCTGACATGCATTCATTGTGTGGAATAGGACCGAGGGCAGCAGGTAGTTTGTGATCGTTTAATGTAGCCAGATAGGATGTAAGTCATAAAAAAAGCTAGTTACAGATTGTTACCACAATAATACAGAGTTGCCCCCTTTACTGCTATAATATAGTATACCATGCCACATACAGAATTTGTTTCTTTTCATATTTCTGTACATGATGCTGTGACTCCTCCTAAATGCAAGTAGAACTTGGTAAGTGTCATGAACATAATATCAAATTCTGTCTTAATGTGCTTTTATACCTCGTTCTTGCGTTTGAATTGTTCATTTTCCTGTTATTCAGTGACACTAAGTACTGTTGTTTTGTCAAAGTGCTGATGTTACATCAACCTACTGCTGTTTTTGTCAAACTTCTCATGTATTCTTAATTGACGCACAGGGGCGGTTGGGTAGCCTGGTGGTTAAAGCGTTCGCTCGTCACGCCGAAGACCCGGGTTCGATTCCCGACATGGGTACAATGTGTGAAGCCCATTTCTGGTGTCCCCCGCCGTGATAATGCTGGAATATTGCTAAAAGCGGCGTAAAAGCATACTCACTCACTCACTCACTAATTGAAGCACACGAAAATGTGAAGAAACTGCATATGCATATGCATATATATAATAAGGCCTCACTGTATTTTGGTTAATAGGCAGTAATCCTAAATTAAAGAAAAACAACCTTAGTGTATTGTTGTTAATTTGAATCGTTGAAACTTTTAACTGTGCATTATTTCAGGACACAACTGGGGCAGTGAGCATGATGGAAGCGAATGTTCTCCATCCTCCATAATAGGTGATGGCAAGTACCTCATGTACCAATACTCCGTCAGCGGGGTCGACCCCAACAATTATGTGAGTTCTGCAACTGCTTACTTCTAGTAGATCCCATGGGGGTTGCAGGTGAGACTACATCACTTGTAACCTACCAGTATACACTTTATAAGAGTCCACTACATGGATCAGGTGGTCAGACTAGATCACTTGTAACCTGCCAGTATACACTTTATAAGAGTCCACTAAATGGATCAGGTGGTCAGGCTAAGTGACTTGGTCGATTGTGTGTCGTTCAGGCAGCATGGGATGTTGCTCATGGCATCACTGGTTTGTCTGGTCTAGATTTGATTTACAGGCTGTTTTTACGTAGCTGGTGGAATATTGCCGACATTAAACAAACAAACAAAAAAAGACTTTTCATGTTTTTGACAAGCGAATGGAATGTTATTTCAATTTTCAACTGAAGTATTGTTTGGCAATGAGTATTTGTAAACTTGGTTGTGGCAGCCCATGTGAAAACTCATAATTTTTTCATTGAATGTCCTTTTTTCAAATTAACTGGAACAAATTGATACACTCATTACTATTAATTGTGAAAGATACTTGTGATGTTAATATTGACATGACGCTAGTTGGCGATAGAGGGCCTTGCGAAAACAGGTTTAGGAATGTACATATATATATAAAGAAAACAAACAGGTTTGAGTAAGTAATGTTCATATGTTTCTCTGTTTCTCTTCTTTCCTTTCTGTTTTGGAGGTCACTATACTTTTTATTTCACTTTATCGACATGTTTTCAGCAATTTTCGCCATGCAGCAAGGTTCTGATCAACAGTGTTCTGCAGTCAAAAGGCATTGCTTGTTTCAAAGGTATGTATACTGGTACTGTTAGATAGAATACAGTGAAAGGTCCTGGAAAGGCATCTAAGAGTTTGATATGTTACCAATGACAAGTTAGTAGCATGATCAACTGCAAAAAAATTCACAAAAAAGTTGAAGTATTCTGACCGTGACACCAAGTGTCGTTAATCTGGTTAGATATCATATGTACTAGGTGAAAAGATACATCAGTGCATCATTGCTTTCATGCCACAATAGGATACACAACACATTTTCTTGTCGTATCGATACAAGATGATACAGTTGCTAAAGTAATTTCCTACTGCTCGTTTAATGACCCCTCAGCATTTTTGTCAGTCAAATGCTGAAAATGTGTTGTAATTAGCGTTTCAAGTTCACTACAGAAAATAGCCTCTACAAACATATGTCCACAGCTAACTTTCTTTTTATCCCCCGCCCTAACGAAATTGGATGGGGATATTGAAATGGGTTCCGTCCGTCTGTGCGCCTGTGTGTGCATGTGTGCGTGTGTCCTGAAATCGTTTCTGGAGCATAACTCAGAAACCGTTAAATATTTCTCTCTCGAGCTTTGCATGTCTATCAGACTCATGCTGAGCTGGTACCATTTGCTATTTAGGAATTTTAGACATTTTTATTTTTTTTACGTTTCCAGGGCAACAAGTTGGACTTAGGTTCTATAAGGGTGGTGTTCATTTCCGGAGTGTAACTCAAAAACTGTTAAATACTTTTTTACAAAACTTTGCATGTCTACCAGGCACATACTGAACTGGTGCCTTTTTCTATTTAGGAATTTTATAATTTTTTATTTTTTATGTTTCCATGGCAACAAGTTTGACTTAGGTTCTATAGGGTGAATTCATTTCTGGAGCAAAACTCAAAACCCATTCAATACTTTCTAACAAAACTTTGCATGTTTACCAGACACATACAGAACTGGTGCCTTTTGCTATTTAGGAATTTTAGAAATCTTTATTTTTTTACGTTTCCATGGCAACAAGTTGGACTTAAGTTCTATAAGGGTGGTGTTCGTTTCCGGAGCGTAACTCAAAAACGTTGAATACTTTCTTACAAAACTTACTGAACACATACGATCTGGTGCCTTTTGATATTTAGCACTTTTAGAAATTTTTATTTTAGAATTTCCAATGCAGCTATTTTGACATGGGCTAGGAGAAATGTTGGGTCAGTTACCTGGTTTGGGACCATAACGTGTTAAAATGGGCAGGGGATATAGATGACTTCGTCGACTATACGCTTGTTGAACCTGCTCTGAAATATATACAATCAAGAAGTTTCCACGAGATTTGAATATGTGTATCGCGACATGTATCTTCATCTCAGCCCTATTAAATGTTGAGATCAAAATTTAGGGGGTCCCAAGATTAAAATATGGGTACTGTATCCAAGGACACCCAACCTCAGACCCCAAATGACAAAGACAACTCAGCATGTTTTTCTGATGTTACTAGCAACCCCAATGGTATGGGATGATGAGAATTATGGTGCTTTGCTCTTGTTTCCCAGAGAGGACAACCCAACTGTCATGTGGTAACGGTCTTGTCGAGAGTGAACTCGGGGAGCAGTGTGATGCTGGATACCTTGGGAGGTTTGGCCTTGACCCCTGCTGCAGTTCCACGTGCCAGTTTTTGGGAAGTGCAGTGTGCAGGTACGACCATCTTACACAACTCTTTTAGTATCTGATGCCTGGATTGTTTGATATTTGATAGTTTCATGAACGACTTGACAACAGATATTAACTGAATATATTGATGTTACTTGTGTATTTGGTATGTGAATTAGCACATATTTTTTGTGCTATTGACACTGATTTCATTGTTTACTGTAACTCTGTTTTGAAAATGATCTTTAGCTTCCATTTTGGTTCATTAATGTTATGTTATGCTATTGATGTACTCCAGCCCTGTGAACCATGAATGCTGTGTCAACTGTCAAATGGCTAGCTTAGGCCACGTCTGTGTGGCCGACACCAATGTCACCTGTCTGGATGCCAGCTACTGTGCATATCCTTTTGTAACTTACTGTACAAACCAGAAGCCACAGGTCAGTCTGTGGGCAGGAGACAGGGCCTTGTTTCACAAAGAGATTTACCGCAACAGTTTCTGAAAGTCTGTGTTAATGTATGGTAATTACAATCATCATAGCTAAGAGAAATCTTAACATGAACTCCAGGGCCCAAATGGGAAAAGTGATTTCAGTGCTACATATATTGTAAGCCTGTGTGAAAGTGTCAGAGTTGTACTGCTAAGATTGGTTTGTGCATATGGGCCAAGCAGTTGTAGCCCCCTTGTTTTGGATACGGCAATACTGACCAATAAGGGGTGGCAGTTTTAAGAGATTCACTGCATCTTCTAAGCTTCCCCTATCGTGATAGATGAATTTCAAGTCATTTTGTGAATGTTAGAATGAATTTTAGACCACAGTCAGCGTTCTTCCATTCATATCATTATGATAAATCTTTGGTTAATATCCGTTTGACATTTTCTAAGAGGAAGGTATTGACTCCTTAACTTCATCACTGGCAATAGCTTTGACTGTCCTGCAGCAGAAAAGAAGCCAGACGATACTCCCTGTCTTGATGAGTGAGTATAGACCCGATCTCGTTCAAATAATAACATTTTACTCCAATGAGATACCTCTATAGGTCCTATCAATGAGATAGGACATCGCATCAGTTGAACCCTGGGTAAACTTTGACCATCCAATCAAAGTATGAGTGGACTCTTGAGACAATCAGATATGTCTCCTCTGAGTGCTTCGCTAACTTGTACCAAGAATTTGGAAAGTTAACCTGACTCTACCTCCAATAATATCGTGATATGCCAAAGGTGAGGAACGGGCTACCAAACTGTGAATGTCACATGGGAGTGAATTAAATGGTCGAGGATGTGCGGGTGGTAGTGGGCTACTAAGCTGCTAGTTAATTTCACAAAAACCTACTGATGCCATGGCAATTAGCATTACCAATAGTGATTAGCAGTTACCACTGCTGGCCTAAGGCAACTACTGCTGCCCGGCCCTGGTAGCATACTTAGTTATAAGAAACGTTACCATCGCTTGGAAGATAACTGGTACAATGACCGACTGGAGATGAAGGAACAAGTAGACTTGTGCCCCGGGCAAATGCTTTAATCCCCAGGCTACCCCACCGCCCATGAAGTTAATTTGTATCATGTTGTAGGGTATTAAAGGGTTAGAGTTAAAAAAGAGTTATTAGCTGTCACAGGACATCATGATCTTAACCAAAGAATATCTAGATCCCTAAATTTAATCCGTTAGATGTTGTTAAGCTTACCATATTGCCGCAGGTGAATACATCTCCCTTAGAAAGCTCAAAGGTAGCCTAGTGGTTAAAGCGTTCGCTCGTCACGCAGAAGACCCGGGTTCGATTCCCGACATGGGTACAATGTGTGAAGCCCATTTCTGGTGTCCCCCGCCGTGATATTGCTGGAATATTGCTAAAAGCGGCGAAAACCATACTCACTCACTAGAAAGCTCATGTTCAGTGTGAAAATGTTTATGGTAAGAGGAAGAAAGTGCTCAGAACATCGTCTGTTTTTTTATAAGTTTGTCCGTAATATGAGATCAGGAATATACAGTGTATACAGAAATGGGTAAATGTGATCTGGTCAAGTTTTCCTCTACATTTTCACATGATGTGTTTCAGAGGGATGTGTAGAGACGGACAATGCCTGCCATTTTGTGAGGGAAGGGGACTCATCTCCTGCATCTGTGATGGAGGTATGTAAAGACTACAGCTGTTTTTATGGAACTGAGGCAGTAAATTACATGTCAGAAAGGCTATGGTCACTGTGTTTTGCAGTGGGTAGATGTATTAATGAAATGAATGGTATTGAACAGTTATAAGATTTTAGTACTGTTGAGTTAACAGTGGAGAGTTTTTTATCCCCCCCAAAACGGGGGGATATTGCAATCAGCAGCTCCTAAACCGTTAGATATTTCTTGCTAAGATGTCTCGTGGTAAATTGGTGGATTTTGATGATTTGGGATTTTTATTTGTTATATTTGTTTATGTTTTCATGACAACAAGTTGGACTTTTCTGAAATGAGGGTAGTGTTCGTTTCCAGAACTCCAAAACTGTTGAATATTTCATATTGTTTATCTTATCCCTCCACAACAGTATGCAATATTCCTTCTTGTTTCTATTGTATACCAATGTAGAACATTGGGAAAACAATAATCCTGGATCACACTCTCCGACCACCTAGCTCCCAGCATGCTCCTGTAATAATGTTTTCCTTCATCACCCATGGTTATCAGATGTGTTTGCTTCCTCTCCACATTTACAACTAGATTTGTTTGTCATTTCGGTTTGAATTGAATATCTTCATCTACCTAGCCATTCCTTATCAATGAATAAATGAAATAACAGCGACTTACTTTCCTCACAGATGTTCACACACCGCCATTGTTAAAAAGCTCAGTCTCGGTTTCTGTTTCTCATGTTTCAACTGCCCTCGTGTAAACACGAACAGTTCTGTTTCGACGATGTGGTCATTTCGGAGAAGGTGTCGGAGGTTGACAATGATGATGAAAGTTCATTGACTGCTATGGGAAGAAATCGACTCCTGATCCCCACTGTCTATGCCCTGACTGCAGGGTCCCCTGCTCCGTGGACCAGTGATGCTCTGAATATGCCCACTTATCCTCCCACCTTTTCAACGTTTGCCTAGCTAAACTCCGAAAAAGGGCTCACCAACAACTACAGCACCAGATTTCAAACCCTCTCAAAAGCCTGTGACTGGATGTTGCCCATCTCTCTTGTTTGATCTGTTACACCAAAGCTTGTCATCCGAGAAACTATTCAACAACAAGGTTCAGTAGGTTTTCAAAAAATCTCTCTCCACTGCTGAGGCTGAAGCCACTGTTCAGGCATTGCAGATGTGTATAGCCCACCTGTGTACCAAGTACACATGGAGGACGCTCTAGCAACCTAAGGATAAATACCTCTGTTGTGCTCCCGACGTGCCCTCAGTAATGCTCCTTACCAGGTGGGCGACTGGGACCACCAGTCGTCACTCCACACGACTCTTCTGTCAGCGGTCACCTCCAGCGAATCTGGAAAAATTGGGATCAACTTTTAATTACCTACATTGCACAGCCACATCTCACTGTATTGCCACTCCAACTACCATATCGGGATGCGCACTTGGAGCCGCTTCAGGACAACATTCGAATCTTTTTGGACAAGGTGGCTTTAAAGCTCCTTTCTTGTTCCAACCTGTGGTCCAGGCAGGGCTGTCTTCAGGACTCCCAATTCACATTTGGCCACACTTGCTCGGCCTGCTCACATCAACGCAGGACCCTCGAGTCAAACATCTTCAACAGGATCTTTTTGACCGACCTCGTTCCCACTCATTACCTGTTCATGGATGCAAAAAACAAGGGTGAGGGGCCCATCTCGGGTACCCCGGGCCTCAGGATTTTGGCCACCCCGTTTCTCTATTGGCACATCAGCTCTCTTGAGTTTCAAGCAGTCCTATTGGCCATTCAGAGATGGTGGACGATCTTGCGGGAACTCACCTCATGATAGCAACAGACAACATCACGGTCACTCATTACATCAACCGGCTTGGATCCACTCACTCACAGAGTCTCTTGGACCTCACATTCACTTTCTATCATCTCAAACACAACATCCAGTTGGAGGTGAGAGCTTGTCATATTCCAGACATTTCCATCGCTGACGCCTTCTCTCAAGTCAGCCCCCACAGAGTGGAAGCTGCACCTGGATGTTTTCTGGACGATTTGGCAGATCTTCAGTCACCCAAATGCCAACTTGTTCGCCACATGTGACAACCACCGGCTTCAGACATTCATATCACAGATACCGGACACTCTGGTTTGGGATCCAGATTCTTTGGATCAAGCCTTTTGATCACACCATTCTATTGGCTCATTCTATTCTATTGGCCAGAGAGCCAGACTTACAACGCCCCACATTTCCTTGTCTGCTCAGAAATCCACACACTCGTCACCCATACCCTTGCCCAGAGTCGTGGGATCTACGCATGTGGCCTATTTGCAGAATGCATTAATGGCCAGAGGTACAGTGGCGACTCTTGCTATTCGTCAGACACACCGGCCTTCTATGGCCTCCTTTTATGACCAGATATGGTTATCTTTCAAGACTTATTGTCGTCAACATGATATGGATCCTACTGTGGCTTCTACTCTTACATAGCTGATTTCTTAGTCTACTTACGCGAGACCAAACATTTTTCAAGTGGTACCATTGCCAGTTATGTCTTGGCCAATCCTGTTCTACCGGTCTCCGCACTGCTCTTGAACTCGCTGCTATCCTACAGGTTACTGTAAGGTTGATCCATGATTAAAGTTTCGGACCTCCAGCCTAGAACTGGTTCTTGATCACCTCCTCGTTTCTCCCTACAAACCTCTCTCCGATGCGGAATTGGTGACTCTTCTGCAGAAAACTGCCTTTGTCCTGTCCTTGACCACTGAGGCACATGTCAGTGAACTACACGCTCTCAACAAGTTTGATCGTGGTCCACATATGGAGGTACATCTTGGCTTAATGTGGGATGTTTTTGCCAAAAATCAATTGCCTGATCACTTTCACCCTGCAGACAAACATTGTTGGATCTAGTGACACAGAGGACATCTCCCATTGTCCTGTTCATGCGTTACGTCATTACATTGATGTCACTCATTGATTTTGGCATCAATGTTAACACCTTTTCCTCACGACCACCAAGGAGGGGCGCAGGAATATCTCCAAAAATACCCGTTTGGGTTATGTTCCACCATTCTTCAGGCTTACACCCATGCTCGTCTTGATTCGCCTAGAGCTTCCTATCCTCATCAAATTTAGGCGTTGGTGTCAACGATGGCACTACACACAAACAGCACCATCACAGACATCGTCCAAGGTTGTTTTGGGCATACCGATTCTACTTTTGCCAAAGTCTACCTCCGAGATCTGTCTGTTGAGGATGTCAAGGGCATCTTCACACAGCAACTCGTTGCCCCTCGCCATCACCACTGACAAATTGGAACAGAGCGCCATATTGGATGCCCATATTCGAGTACCTCAGGATGCGACGTAATTTCAGACCCAGCCTTTCCTGTAACTAGGCTTGGTGATGATGTATTATGGGACTAGTGAAATTGAACAACCCTGGGGTTGAAGACAAAGTGGCAGTCTAGTCTAGTAGTCTAGTCCGTGCACTGGCCCGACCACTAAATCTCAAATAGGGATATGCAGTTGTTCCAACCCGCCATCCTACATTGAGTAATTGCATACTGTTGTAGGGGGATAAGTTAAAAAATATAGAATCAGAGTATTCCCCTTTTTACCGTTTTCGACGTAAGAAGCACCCACGGTGCTCTTAAAATTAGGAATAGGGGGCTCTTATTAGAATCTTATTTTGGAGTAAAGAAAACATTTGAAAGATAAATTTTGTGGTATGCTGACAGCCTGAAATGTTTATGTACGACAGATATATTTTTGTAGAATTTCATTGCCCATAATTAAGGGTGCATATAACACATGAGTGCGTATTATACGCGAATAAATAAGTCTTGTGTATATTGATCAATAGGAAAGGGGGCTAATTGGGATTGTTCATTCACTAATATATTAGCAAATATCGCCGTGGGCGCTTATTAGAGTGGGGTGCTTATTGCGTCGAATACGGTATATACTTATCCTGACACAGCTGGTCATGACTGCCTACCTGTCGATCCTCTCAACATTTGGATCCACTTGTCACCTGTCTACAGGCGATCATAGGAAAAATCAATGAATATTTCAGGTGCATGCTGGGAGCGAGGTGGTCAGAGGGTTTGTTGCAGTGATTATTGTTTTCACAATGTTCTATACTGTTATATTATCGAAAGCAAGAAGGAATATTACATACTGTTGTGTCAGGATAAGTATATAAATAAGGGGAAAGTTCTGATTCCCTATAATGAAACTTGCTATACAGATCAGTCTAGTGGTGAACTGGTGCCTTTTCATGATTTGGGATATTGAAATATACTGTACAGCATTGTTTTTTTCCTCACTGAACTGAAGGTATCCAATGGCAATGAACCAAAAGTGGGGTATAAGTAGCCAAATTCCATTTCCGAATTGCACCAGATCGAGGGTATATGTCATCTCCTGATTACTCTTGTCTGTAGCGTAATGTCTTTTTTGGTTTATTTCTTGATTGTTTTCTGTTCAGTGGATACATCCTGCTACAGATGTTGTCGTGTGAATGCTTCATCTCTGTGTGAACGCTTTGACCCTGCCTCTCTGCTGCCAGATGGGCGGCCCTGTGTACAGGGCTACTGCACCCAGGTATGTGGGAAATGTGAAACTCTTCCATCACCTACCATGTTATGCAAAATGTGAAACTCTTCTATCACGTACATGTGAAACTCTTCTGTCACCTACCATGTTATGTGAAATGTGAAACTCTTCTATCACCTACCATGTTATGTGAAATGTGAAACTCTTCTATCACCTACCATGTTATGTGAAATGTGAAACTCTTCTATCACCTACCATGTTATGTGAAATGTGAAACTCTTCTATCACCTACCATGTTATGTGAAATGTGAAACTCTTCTATCACCTACGATGTTATGTGAAATGTGAAACTCTTCTATCACCTACCATGTTATGTGAAATGTGAAACTCTTCTATCACCTACCATGTTATGTGAAATGTGAAACTCTTCTATCACCTACGATGTTATGTGAAATGTGAAACTCTTCTGTCACCTACCATGTTATGTGAAATGTGAAACTCTTCTATCACCTACCATGTTATGTGAAATGTGAAACTCTTCTGTCACCTACCATGTTATGTGAAATGTGAAAACTCTTCTATCACCTACCATGTTATGTGAAATGTGAAAACTCTTCTGTCACCTACCATGTTATGTGAAATGTGAAAACTCTTCTGTCACCTACCATGTTATGTGAAATGTGAAACTCTTCTATCACCTACCATGTTATGTGAAATGTGAAAACTCTTCTGTCACCTACCATGTTATGTGAAATGTGAAAACTCTTCTATCACCTACCATGTTATGTGAAATGTGAAAACTCTTCTGTCACCTACCATGTTATGTGAAATGTGAAAACTCTTCTATCACCTACCATGTTATGTGAAATGTGAAAACTCTTCTGTCACCTACCATGTTATGTGAAATGTGAAAACTCTTCTATCACCTACCATGTTATGTGAAATGTGAAAACTCTTCTATCACCTACCATGTTATGTGAAATGTGAAACTCTTCTGTCACCTACCATGTTATGGGAAATGTGAAAACTCTTCTGTCACCTACCATGTTATGTGAAATGTGAAAACTCTTCTATCACCTACCATGTTATGTGAAATGTGAAACTCTTCTGTCACCTACCATGTTATGGGAAATGTGAAACTCTTCTGTCACCTACCATGTTATGGGAAATGTGAAACTTTTCTATCACCTACCATGTTATGTGAAATGTGAAACTCTTCTGTCACCTACCATGTTATGGGAAATGTGAAACTCTTCTGTCACCTACCATGTTATGTGAAATGTGAAACTCTTCTATCACCTACCATGTTATGTGAAATGTGAAACTCTTCTATCACCTACCATGTTATGGGAAATGTGAAACTCTTCTGTCACCTACCATGTTATGGGAAAATGTTTATTGCAGGTCCAGGCAGAACTTCATCTATTGCTTTTGCCACAAGCCTTATACTTTTTATCATTACAGGGGACATGTAAACGCACAGTGCAGAATACTATTGAGAGATTGTTCTCCATCATTGAAAACCTGTCTATCAATGAAATCAGTGAGTTACTATGATCTACTGAAGGAAATACTCAAAGATAAATGTACATATTTATAACAAATGCCACTAAAAGAACATGGAATGTTAACTGATGTTTCCAAAATTACACTTTAGACAGTACAAGTATAGTTAACCCTTCTTTATTGAAAAACCTCCATTCCTATCAATTTCATCAAACTTTGTGTGTGTGAAAGGTGGAACAAGTAATGTAAGTCTGGAAAGTTTTGCAACCAGGAAAGTACTGCGAAAACTGCAATCGACACACATCCACAATAGTTTCATGACACAGTTATGTTTGCAGACCAACAAACAAAAGACATTAGGCTTAAAAGAAAAATATTTTTGGTTCTCAGGCACCGCTGCATCATCAAAATGTCCGCCGCACGTTTCTTTTTTATTTCCATTTTCAACCAAACGCATCTCGTGTGTTATTGTGAATAGGAGTTTGTGTGCTTGTTTTGCTGTTTGCAAATTTGGTCAATGAATACCTTAAATTTGCGATATGACATCACCAGACATGATGATGGTATTCAAATACAAATTCAATGGTATTTGTGTACTGTATGCGGGACAATGTTTCATACGCAGAGATTAAGATTTACAGTTACATGTGTATTTGTCTTGTAAAATAAGCAGGAAAACGATGCTTATTTATATACCCCGTCTATAAAGCGAATCTGAATGAAGCATGTCACCGGTGCATACACAATCCCTATTTGCCTTAAAAACATGTTTGTCTTCCGCAGAAAAAAATAACGAACAGATTATAACAATTAAACTTGGCCAATACAAATTTGAAATTTGAGATAAAACATCACTAGACATGATGATTTACCAATTAAATTGTATTTCCTGTTCTGATTGGCATTGTTTTATATGCAGAAATTAAGATTACTGTGTGTCTTGTCTCGTAAACTAAGCCGGAAGTAGCAATCAACTGTACACACGTTTCTTGGAATCTACCGGTGATTCGGTCAAAAATTACCCAATGATATAATTTTAAAGAACTTTGATACAATGAGCGGAAGTATTGCATCTGAAACTATTATTTTTTCAGGAAAAATTTATTCCAGTATCATGTTAGTTGCAACTTTACTATATATATGTGAAAGAAATTAATAACCATAAGCGTAGCACAATAAGACGACATTCCCCCCCACACACACACCCTTGAAAGCCTCGTAATTGTAGTTATGAAAAACTTGCCTTATACACAGTGATATACGGATTTGGATTCTTACAAGTTTGTACACAACAACAACAAAATAGGCCGCCCACTCGATATTTTCAAAAGCTATTGCTTTAGAACCAGTTTTATTTTATTTTTTTCAGCCTAAGGAGGCATATTTCTAGAATTCACTTCCACACTTTTTCAAACCAGCCAGTACATGATTAAACAAATATTCCCTCACATCTTTATATTTCCCTTCCTACACATTGTTAGCTAACCTGCCACATCTGGTCACGTTGGTGACATAACAATGAGTAATCCAGACATACATCAGCCAGTCTATTCTGTTAGATATACACACTACTCCAACTGCCTTGTCAGCTACAATAACTCATGCATCTACAGTTACCATTTCATCGCTTCCTACTTATCTACAACAACACTTACAAAAGTAGCTTTGATATTGGTAATCCTAACAGGGTGACGCAAATCTTTCCAGATTTACACTACTTTATTATTTGCAGACATAGCTGTAATATGAATGTGTATCATTATCTCCAAAAGGTTTTTATAAATAGCCAAATAAGGAAATGCTAGCTGTTGGTACATATTGAACGAGATTATGTGGCAAATGTACTTGCTTATGGGATCCTCCACCCTTCCCGAGGCAAGAGCATCCACTAGCCTTCTAATCAAAGTCTTGTTTCCACCCTTGCCACATCAAGCCCACCTTCCTGTGTGAGAATCAGAGAATATTTCACAAAATCAACATCCACAACTGGTACACTTTCGTATAAAAGTGATTTACCGCTGCCTGTCTTTGTTGACACGAATTTGTTTTTTCATCTTTTAAAACCCCCAACGATTGCCTATGTTTTTGTGTCAGTGATGAAACCGCGAATGTTTTCGTTATCTGATCGACTAGGTCATCGCCTGTGGTAGTCGCCATCTTTGTGAAGCTATACGAGATAAGAACAGAGTTCTGATTGGATATCATGTTTTCATTACAAGGGGCACAACTCGTGATCTACGGCAGGTGGCGTCAGGGTCGAGTCAAGAAAAGTGGCCTTGATGTGGCAAGGGTAGAAACTAGGCTTTGATAGGCTAGTTGACATGCTTGTCTGGGGAAGATAATGGGTTCCCTTCTCAAGGTGTCAGATCAGGAACTTGAAAACTTCCTATTTTCCTGAACATAATGAGAGTCTTGCTGTACATGTTTTATTGGAATGATTCATAATTGATCAGAATAATCCTTGTGGTTTCGCCTACAAGATGAAGTAGTAACGAGAGATACGTTCATGTTTCAGTAATATTTTTTCGGGACAACTTGATTGGTGCAGTGTTGATCTCCAGTCTTCTGGTATGGGTTCCCGTCTGTATTGGCATCCGTATCAGGGTAAGTAGTTGCATGGGTACCCAGCAGTTTCACACGAACTTCACTGATATCCACTTGGACACATATCAGTGACTGATGTATTGTGGAAGGAAGTGACAGAAAATACATTGGCACATGTTGTAATAAGGCTCTGTCCATTAGCCTTATTTGGTAACATGTTCCTGAGAAATTGCTTTAGATATTAGGATGTCTTGATCATGTTGATGATGATATTTTACTTGTTCAATCAGTTGTTACAGCTCAAGCTGACTTATATGTTTTACCTTACCTGACACTACATGGTGCATTAGCTTCCCTACCTTTCACAAACAGACATTACTGGAACAGAGAGACAGTTGAAACAGACTATAGCCAGTGCCCCGATCCCCACGAGTTATTGTCCTTAGCCCGTACTCCCTCATATTCTCTGTCTGCCTTATGAGAGACGTGTTATTTGAAACATTATTACTCACCTTACGTTGTCAGCAGTCTTTTACATCAGATGATGTTACCTCCTTATATTCTTTTCCTGCTTTATATATCCACTTATTTGCTGTATATACTTGTACACTTATACCTTTTTCACTGCCACATAACTTAAAACGTTTCGTGCCTTGGTTGCCATCTTGCTTTTTCATGTGTCTCGTGTTTACGTTAATGTCATATTTTTTCATTTTCCCTCCATAACAGTAAGCAATATTCGATGATATAACAGTGTAGAACATTGTTCCTTTGCCCTCAGTTTACGATTATTAGATGTAATTTTTACTTCCATAACAATGGATCTTAACCTGTTTCATATGGAAATACAAATTTAACTGAAGATATTAATCTACGACAAGAAACCAGAAATGTTTTATCTGATGAAATTGGTAGTGTTGGAATATACCTTATATAAACTAGTGATATACAAGGGATACAATAATTATTTATCTGTAAAAGTTTGGAATGTCTATGTACATGTAAGCGGGGAAAGGAATACAGAGAGTTGGTTCTTCTTATTTTAGTACTTTAATGCGCATTGTGGATGGGGTGAACCCATGAAAAGAAACCTACAACCTACAATATCACAGCAGCTTGTCAGGACATGCCAACATCATCTTCCCAAGGCAAGAGAGTTAACTGACTTCAAAAGTCCAGTTTCCACCCTTGCCGAACTAGGTTGGAATTCCTGGGCTCGATCGTAGCGCCACCAGTGGTTATTATGAGTTATGTCCCTTCTGAACCTCTCCTATGGACCAATTTGCTTCCATCACTTGCATTTGTTTAAAAACAAAATGGTGGGGCCCAGTCAAGACGATCTGATCGATGATCAAGATCTACATTGTGATAAAATGGGTCTTGCATCGTGAAGTGCATCAAATCACGCGAGCACATTGATTAAAAACATGAAAAGGTTTGGAAAATATCTGTTGACAACGAGTTGGTGGTGCACATGCTTTGCAAATCCTGCAATCAACCGAAATCTGCACGACAGTTTACGAATTTCAATTTCGATTTAGATTTCGTTGCAAGAATGAAGATTTTGATTGGACTGTGCATAGACTCGTTAGTCCAGCCAAAATGTAACTCCATAATACCAGTCAAGTTCGGCAAGGGTGGAAACTGGACTTTTAGTCAGTTAACTCTCTTGCCTCAGGAAGATGTGCCAAGGTACATAATAACAGTCAACAATTTATATTGTTCAAACACAATAGATGTAATAATTCCTACTTATCAATACCGACCAGCAAAAGTATTACATACAATCGATCAATAATGTAACATTGCTCTGTCCCTTTGAACAATAAATGAAATGTACCATGGCAGAAAACATCATTCAAACCCTTATTCACAAATGAACTTTATAACAGAATAAAGTTACCTTAAGATTACACATGTATAATATAAAATGTTTTTATCATGTATAAGTTTACAGTTGTGAATTACAAAATATAATTAAAGTTGGCAAGTTTGAAAATATAAATCTAATTGTGGATTTGCCCCTTTAACTCACCCCCCGAGGCAAGAACAACAGTGGTCACATGACCCAGGGCACTCCCATATCAAAACAAAAACTGAACCAGGAAGTATTATCCAGAAAAATATGACGTACTTCTAAGAATTTAGCATATTAAAAGAATTTTTGTCAGGTAAAATGAATATGAAAAGATAAACATTTGTAAACAATGCTTTGAAACAAAGGATAGGGGAGGTAATTCTCATCTATCGTCTCAACCAAAGGCTAGTTTCGCGTGTTTCAACCCGTAATTGTCTTGCACAATTCTTCTATAAATAACGATAATCTTGGTGTATAAGTATGATTAACTCGCGATAAAATATTGACGAGCGAAACACAGATACATTGGTATTACGAGCACGTGGATTACGCACGTCATAGTGATGATGTGAGGTCTGACCGTCTCGCTTGAGATTTACTTTTATGAATGAAATACTGCAATACATGTCCCTTTTGACAATCTACAGAATTGCAAACATAACAGCAATGCATTACAAGCAAGGGGAGAGTACTTACATAAAATCAGTTGTAGTAACGAGCAGAAATCCTGAACCGTCTACATTGAAAAACTGCTGTTTTGGATAAGAAATATACTCGCAAAGTATATATTTTAGAAAAATGTGTATTGAATTATGCAATAAAATTCCCGTTTCCGACCACTTCCGGAAACTACTGAAGATTACAACTTAGAACAAGGCCAAAATAATGTATATATTTATATAGGGGCAACCTTGTTTATAAATCCCCATGCACTATACATATGATCGTAGAAATATATACTGTTTAATTTCGGAATACAAATACATTACCTCTACAACATTCTACTCTATAATATTTTCTGTAAGTGTTTCCAAATATAAGGCTAAAAAAAAAAATAGTCTTGGTTCTCAGGCACCGCCCTCATCATCATAGAGTTCGCCACATGTTTCGTTTTTATTTCCATTTCCTTAACAAATCCTTAAAAACTCCAACGGTAGTCAAATACCGTAATCCAGTTTTTCCTCATCAAGGATTACAAGCTTGTAGGGAGGCTGTTGCCCTGGTTGATTGTACACAATTGTTTATTTGGTTACATACTAGTTTTGAACACCCCCCCCCCCCCCAAAAAAAATAATTAAAATACGCTGCCCGCCCGCACTCATCCCTGAGGCAAGTGAGTTAACTGACTATAAAAGTCCAGTTCCTACCCTTGCCGAACTAGGCTGGTATTATGGAGTTACATTTTGGTTGGGCTAAAGAGTCTATGCATAGTCCAATCAAAATTGCGCAATGAAATCGAAATCCGGTTCATAAACTGTCATCCTGATTTCCGTCGGGTAGAGGATTTTCAAAGCATGTGCCCCTCCAACTCGTTATCAACAGATATTTTACAAATCTTTTCATGATTTTACTCAAGGTGCTCACGTGATTTGATGCACTACGCGACGTAGACTCGTTTTATCACAATATAGATCTTGATTATCGATCAGATCGTCTTGACTGTTCACCGCCATTTTGTTCGAATCAAATGCAAGTGATACAAGAAGTGGAATCTGATTGGTCCATAGGAGAGATTTATAATGGTCATAACTTGTAATAACCACTGGTGGCGCTACGATCGAGCCCAGGAATTCCAACCTAGTTCGGCAAGGGTGGAAACTGGACTTCTAAAGTCAGTTAATGCTCTTGCCTCGTGAAGATGGCCCGCACTATATTTTCAAAAACCATCACCTGAGAACCAATTATTATTTTTTTTTATGCCTGAGATGTAAATTCCAATATCAATTGTTTAGGCTTAAACAAATAAAATAATTGGTTCTCAGGCAATGGGAATCAAAAGGCACGTAAACATGCCCTGCATCTATACACTACCAACTACCTGACTTATTAGCTTATGAAGTTGTTATGTAGGCCTACGCTTTTTGAGTCTTGGATAACGCCCAGAAATGTTAGATAATAATTCCATAAAAGCTCTAAATATTTAAGAGGCATCAATACTGGTATTACAAGTGCATGAATTTTTCTGAAAGTAAATTTAAGAGATATGCTAGGTTGTAGAGTTTTAGATATACATGCCCCAGAAATGACACTACCTATCAATTTTTAAAGTTCATCATGTTTCCATGGAAACTGTCCAACATACAACTTTGGAAAATCTCTAAATAGCATAGTGATCATTATATAAGGACATGGCTCCATTATGACAGGCTCCGCCATCATGCATGATAGCGGAGCTTCAAATTAAGACGAGATATTATTGGATGAAATGGTCGCGGATGTGGAGGTACTGGTGGACTACGGCAATGAGCTTAACCCCTGTTAAGCAACCCCAACTGCAGCAACCGCTGCCAAGCAACCCATGTTGCTTACCGATGCAGCATCTGCTGCCCCGCAACTACCGTTGCCAAGCAACCCATGTTGCTTACCAATGCAGCGCCTGCTGCCCTGCAACTACCGTTGCCAAGCAACCCATGTTGCTTACCAATGCAGCGCCCGCTGCCCTGCAACTACCGTTGCCAAGCAACCCATGTTGCTATGCAGCTATCGCTGCCAGGCAAGTACCATTGCCAAACCATGAGCGAGGGCAACTATTGTTGCCAAGCTGACCATCCGCTGTAAAGCGGACACTAAGCCATCTGCTGTAAAGCAGAATGGATAAATTGGTTCCTGCTGTAAAGCGGGTAACCCTATCCTAAATAATTTATAATTTGGGATGTATCCCAAGACGCCAAATGTAACTTGTAATGCAGTCCACCAGCACCCCGCCCATCCGCAACATTTTATTCATGACAACATCATTATATACAAACATTATGCTCCAGTAAAATTCCACCAATTGACAACTGCAAAGCTTGAATAACTTGGAATTAAGGATAACAGGGTGGGTGGGTGGGTGCAACGAACTATAGATGAATGCGCGAATATAACTATGTGTTGTACGGCTGAAAGCTGGAGAGCAAGTGCTGCGTGAGCTGATGCCACGCTACAACAGGTCATAGAAAATATAAACAAACGCTCCTTTACCGGACGTGCCAAGAGCGGATCTAGGCCAGAGACGATGGCACCATGCAAAACGGCACGTAGCCGCACGGAATGAAGGTATTTCGCTGTAATAATATTAGCAACTGTGCCAAGCCTAACATAAAGGCATTTAGTTCTAATCACTAAATGCTATTATGTAAGGACATGGCTCCATTATGACAGGCTCCGCCATCATGCATGATAGCGGAGCTTCAAATTAAGACGAGATATTATTGGATGAAATGGTCGCGGATGTGGAGGTACTGGTGGACTACGGCAATGAGCTTAACCCCTGTTAAGCAACCCCAACTGCAGCAACCGCTGCCAAGCAACCCATGTTGCTTACCGATGCAGCATCTGCTACCCCGCAACTACCGTTGCCAAGCAACCCATGTTGCTTACCAATGCAGCGCCTGCTGCCCTGCAACTACCGTTGCCAAGCAACCCATGTTGCTTACCAATGCAGCGCCCGCTGCCCTGCAACTACCGTTGCCAAGCAACCCATGTTGCTATGCAGCTATCGCTGCCAGGCAAGTACCATTGCCAAACCATGAGCGAGGGCAACTATTGTTGCCAAGCTGACCATCCGCTGTAAAGCGGACACTAAGCCATCTGCTGTAAAGCAGAATGGATAAATTGGTTCCTGCTGTAAAGCGGGTAACCCTATCCTAAATAATTTATAATTTGGGATGTATCCCAAGACGCCAAATGTAACTTGTAATGCAGTCCACCAGCACCCCGCCACAAGCACCAAGGTGCTTCCCCACAACCACGACCATTCGCGCTCATGTACACCCACCGTGTTATCCTATACTGAAAATGTTTCCTACAAACATACTGCGGAAAGGGAGCTGCCAATGTTTTGTGTGAAAAGATCAAGTCCGGCCGGTGACAAATGAACCCCGTCACGCAGGTACAGTTGCTGCTCCTGCCGGTTGAACACTGTGTGAGGAACCCGTATCCCCCCAAGCTCACGGGCCCTGTTCCCCACTCGTCTGTTCAGCTTCTGCCTGGCCCCGTCCAGGTCCCGGGCACGGCTGGCTACATGCCAGTACCTCCGTGGCAGCATGTCTGACCACAGAATGACAGCACCGGGTAGGAGGAGGTGTATCCTCAGGAGTGCAAGCTTGATCTCATGATATAGCTGACACGTGGTTACCTTACCCAGGTCGTTCGAACCAAGGTGAATCACCACCGCCTTTGGTGGTGTCTGCATTGCTTTGACCTGGGCATCTATCAGCTCGGTCAGCTCCTCCCACCTCATGCCGCCCCTTGCCAACCAGAGACATCCCCCTGGAATACCGAAGTCACTGTCCTGTAGGTGCTCTCTCGCCCGGGTCAGGAAGCTGGACCCAATCAACCATACTGAAAACATGAATCAATAGGAAGAAAACTGTTCTCGCATGGTTGGCGATTTAAATGTTTGCAGGTATGCGTATATAGCTTTTATAACATTCTGACCCCCACCTACCAAAGTGCTGTATCAAATCTGAACTCACTCCGTTACCGGCTGCTGTCGTTGCTGCGCCAATCCTGAAGGAATGAGAAGAGTATGCTGCTGTGCAGATGCCGCTATGCGCCAGTGCTCTTTTTAGCACGGCCTGAAATTGATACCTGGTCAGGGGAGATTTATCAAAGTGTACGAAAGCTTGAGTCTGACCCTGTGATCGAACTGTTAGGTATGCTTTAACTGCAGCCACTGGACACAGATTGTGGCCAGGTATGGCGGAAATGGAAACAACTATGCCATGTGAGTGCCTGTCGGTTTTTGAATGCCTTAGAGCGACTGTTACTGTCTTAGTCGTGTCTTGGACTTCTAGGTCCAAGAAAGCGCACCCTGGCTGAGAAAGTTTGGTTTGCACGAGTTCACTCACCCGAAAGAAACCAAAGAAGGCCAAGCAATATACTGCTTTGAACAATCTTACTTCATAGGTAGAAGAGCAGACAAATTGCAGGTTGTTTACAATTACTTTGAGCAGGTCTATTGTTATTGGTTTTCTGTGATCCTGCCTCCCCTGACACTTTTGCATCCCCGTAATCATTTTAGTAATAACAAAGTGGCCGGTGCGGTCTTCCATGCTGTGTAGCCTATGGTACGTTGAGATACCGGCCATATACGTTCTTACCGTACTCGGTGCATGTCCTGACACTGACAGGTGAGCAATGAAATGTACCAGATGAGTTATTGGAACCGGCCAGGCATCTCCCAGGTTTTGTGATGCCCTGAATACTTGCAACGCTTGGGTTCCTGCCTGGTAAGTTGCCCACGTGTTTGCCGCCAATGATCGCTGAAGGAGCCTCTCTGCCTCGATTGTTAGCCCTGCCAGAGATTGTCTGGAAGTGGTGTGGGATGCAGATTGGCTGATGGAGCTGCATTGCGGAATCGTTCCCACTGAAATCTCGACAGTGCATCTGCGATAATATTGTCGTGTGTTGTTATATATCTGGCCTTGAACAAAATGTTGTGTTTGAGGCACTGCAGCACTAGCTGCCTAATCAGTGACATGATTCTGGGTGCCTTTGAAGACTGTTTATTTATTATTGACACTACCGCTTGGTTATCACAAAAGAAAAGTACTTTCCTGTTAGCAAAGGCTGTCCCCCACAGACAAACTGACAGCACAATCGGAAACAACTCCAGCAGTGTCATGTCACGAGTCGAGCCGTCCTCCACCCACTCACGGGGCCAGAGCCCGTTTGCCCAGTTCCCGTTATAGTATGCGCCGAACCCCACAGTGCTGGCTGCGTCAGTAAACAGCTGCAGACATGTATTGTCAGCCCACTTTTGATTCTGAAAAACCGACACACCGTTAAATTCCCCCAAGAACCCGAGCCAAACCTCTAGGTCCTCCCGAACTCCCCGCGTGATGCGAACACGGTGTGCTTGATGACTTACCTTTGTATAGGCATCAATCAGTCTGCGGCAAAACGGTCTACCCATGGGTATTGCCCGGCACATGAAATTTAGCTTACCCACCAGAGACTGCAAAGCTTTACGGGTCACTTTGTGCTTACCTGAGGCCAGCATATCGTGTATGATTGCGTTGATATTTACAATCTTTTCCTGTGGTATTCTAACCTGCATCCTGACTGTGTCGATTTCAAGACCTAGGAATGTTAAGCAGGATGCAGGACCTACTGTCTTCTCATGTGCTACGGGTACGCCCAGCTCCTGGAAAGTACTGAGACATGTATCAAGGTTGTCACCACAGTCTTTCGTTCCTGCAGTTCCGCCTGTGAGAAAATCATCAAGGTAATGCATGAGTTGGCCGTTAGGCAACTTTTGCTGGACACACCATTGCAAAAAGGTGCTGAATTTTTCAAACACTGAGCATGATATGGAACAGCCAAACGGCAAGCATTTATCAAAGTAGTATTTACCTTGAAAGCACAAGCCTAGCAACTCAAAGTCCTGAGGGTGTACCGGCATAATCCTGAAAGCCGATTTCACATCAAATTTTGCAAGTAGAGCATTTGGACCAAGTTGCTGTACCATACTGACAGCCTCGTCGAACCGTGCATATGACACGGAGCATGCTTCGCTGTCTATGTTGTCGTTGATTGATCTGCCTTGAGGATAAGAAAGGTGGTGTATTAAACGAAAATCGTCTGTCCCCAGCAAGGTTTGACTCTTACCCGTTTGCTTTTTGGGTACGAGACCAATGGGTGAAACTTGTAGGTTCAGCAGGGGCGGCGTTTCAAAAGGACCTGCCACCCTACCTAATTTTACTTCCTTTTTCAATTTGGCAGCTACTATCTCTTGTAAAATGGGATCCCTGGCTGAGCGTAGATTCTCAGACCAACGACTTAGGCGTGCCCCACTATATTCCAGTTGAAAACCTGATTCCAAACCTTGTAATAAATAAATGGCATGGGCATGGTTAGAATGCTTGTACAGTTGCAAATGTCGCTTTAATCTAGTGAGTATGAGTGGAGTTGGGGCCAGTGCCTTTAGCATGGGTTGCCTGTGTGGAGTTAAGTTGTTTGGAGGGTCTACGACCCCCCTTTGCGCGAAAGCAAGAATAGGCGGGATGTTGTTCGCCACAATTGGAGCATTTATGAATAAACTTGCATTCTGGCCTGGCGCACCTTGACCTGTTGTAGTCCCAGCATGCGTTGACTGTAAAGTCACGGCCCCTGCTGAAAGGCACTGTAAAGCGTTCAGTCTTATTTTCTTGAACACGGGACATAGTCGGTGTCATGTGCTTCAACCACAATTCACCGTCTATCTTGCCCCACTCCCGAATTGGGTCTCGTGCCATACGGTGTCGGAATTGCTGGTCGTAGTTTGACCAGCCAAAACCCCCGGAGCGGACTGCGGCATTACGGATTGTTTCCATGTATGCCAACATGCCCTGTATGGTGGACTGACAAAAATGTTTCACCACGTAAATGCTCATATATATGTGGAAAGCTGACGTCCATTGGCCTATGCTTAATGCCCTGGCGTTAGCCGGCTTGGCCGGCGAGAATCGCAGATTACCCGACGAATCCATCTGCATCTTAAATGCATCGTCATCGTCATGCGACTGTGCGCCTGGCAACAATGTAGTCAACTCCACAAACTCCCCTCTACATACTCTCTCCCGTACAACTTGACGGACGTGAGCGCTGATAGCATCCGCCTGGAAGGTCAGGGAATCCCCTGTTCCCTGATTGGTTGACCCCGCTCCTGACTCTGCACGTGGTGTGACGTCACGGGAAACTCCCGGCTCGCCCGAGTGTGCACTGCTAAATGACAACACATCGGGATTTCTTGACACCACCGACCCCGTTACCCCCAGATCATTGGTACTTACCCCTCGCATGCCAGTAAAGCTCCGAGAAGTATCTTGGGCCATCCGTTTGCCTAGCATATCCAGTATGCTGTTGAGTTGGCTCGATATAGCTAGCATCGACGGAACGGGCGACCCCACTTGTTGGGGCTCTTCGATGTCTCCGTGATCGAATCGCGGGAGAACCTTTGGATTGTCCGAATCATCTGCTTCAACTAGCAAGTTAGCAGCTATTTGTACACTTGGCAAGGGGGTCCGTGCAATGGAGATCTAGCTGATCTCCGTGACTTACCAGTAGCCGATGTCGCTTGCCGGACACTTGGTTCCCTCCTGGCTATTTTCCCGCTCCTTACGAGGCGGTGATTTAAGGCGGCCCGTCTTTTTGGTGGCATTCTTAATGGTAATTGCAACGAACTATGCAACGAACTATAGATGAATGCGTGAATATAACTATGTGTTGTACGGCTGAAAGCTGGAGAGCAAGTGCTGCGTGAGCTGATGCCACGCTACAACAGGTCAGAGAAAATATAAACAAACGCTCCTTTACCGGACGTGCCAAGAGCGGATCTAGGCCAGAGACGATGGCACCATGCAAAACGGCACGTAGCCGCACGGAATGAAGGTATTTCGCTGTAATAATATTAGCAACTGTGCCAAGCCTAACATAAAGGCATTTAGTTCTAATCACTAAATGCTAATAAGTGTAAGGAGTTTCGTGAAGCTGAGACCGACATACTGACAACTATATACTCATATTCCCCCGTCGTTCTGAGGGGGGGCGGGGGGCGGGGGCGGAATCAAGAGAAACATGTTTTCTATAACTGTAATGATGATCATCAAGATCCACATGACCATCATCATCGTCGTCGTCGTCATCTCCAAAATTATTTTCTTTTGTTCTGATGAATGCCGACAATTTGTGCAGTGAACCTCAGCAAATATTGTCACCGTGGACAATATATCCATAACAGGAGCTCACCTCAATGCAAAAGTAACATCAGGCCTATGAAAGGCAGAAAAGCTCTTCCACATCAATTATGTAGAATACAAAGCAGTAATCCATGCAATATCCCATGAGCCACACAGTTAAGAAACAAATTTCTGATGATCAGAACAGACAATTCAACTGTGGCATTCAATATTAATCTTCAAGGCACAACAAAATCAGAGACTCTCCTGAAGTTGACCTTCCAACTTTATGAACTTGTGAACAGCCTGAATCTAATGATTACATTTGTTTTGGGTATTTTTTCAGGATTACCGGCACAAGAAAAGATTTGTAGATGATATGTACAGAGAAATCAAGAAGGTAAGATTCTAGGTATCTGTCACTTTGGATGACAGAATCATTGTTTATGTTTGTTCTGTACAGGAGTTTCCTCCCCACTCTGTTATGGTATCAAAGTAAAAACTAATCTCTAAGTAAGTGAAAATGTATGACATTTTTTGGTGACACACGCAAGCAACCAATGGTATATGTTATGCAGACAGATAATTGTTGGATATTTACACTGAGGGTTTGATTGTTTGTCATGCTCACATGCTCTTGTTGGGTAGATTGAGGAAGGAACTGTGGTGATAAAATGTTCTTGGATATTACAGTAGTTCTACTTCTTCTGAGCACATGATTGTTTCCCATGCTAACATGCTCTAGTTGAGTAGATGTTGGGAGGAACTCTCGATAAAATGTTCTGTTTGGGCCACAGGATCGTGTGCTGCTGTATGATCAAGATGGACGGAAAAAAACAAGGCCCATTCTGAAAGACGGTAAATCCGATCTGCGTGAGCTTAAAGACTCCAACCGAAGATTCTAATGTCAGCACTTCACCTCAAGATCGGCCTGAAATTATATGTACTCTGTTGCAATACAATCTGTATCTGGGTAGTAAGGTCACGAAATGATTCATGAAAACAACAAATGTCATGTAAACAAGATGACTACATCAATAAAGAACATCTGGAAAATAGGCCAAAACATGTTTTGTAAAATGGAGACCTGTACAATAATAGTAAAGTAAGGACTTACGCATATTCTAGTGTTGGGGGTACTGAGGTATTTGAGGTATTTCCTCTAGAGTTTGAATCTAGGAACTCTTTTGGATTTGGAATTTGTTGCTTCATTTTGAAAACTCCCTTTTGTAAGAATATTTTGTCACAATCAGTCAATTGTCCTCATGCTAATTATGCTGATATTGTATAATTTCAATGCAGAGTATTGAGATGAACCTCATTCTCCATGAGTCGGTACTCCCCAAATCAGGATTGGAGTGAATGTCGTGGGAATCGTACAGATTGTATTGCAAATAAGCCTGTCCACAGTCTGAAACAGGGCACTTTCGACAGGTCTGGAAACTCTCATGTACATTTTTTCATTCATTTTTTTATGTATTGTGCACTCAACCATGACCATTGTTGACAGTAAGGATAAGATTTATTGATGAACAACTTCTTTATTACAATTTGGAGCATTGTTTCGGTGTAGATTCTAACACCGTTATCAAGCAAGTGGTCCTTACTTAGTACTCCAACTTCTGAATGCCTCTCAAAGAAGTCATTTATGGCATTGTTACTAACATTATAGTACCAGTATATGTCTCATGTTACATGAATTGTTTTGATAATTTGATATTTATTTATTTATAGTTTAATGCTGGTTCTTCAAACTGACCACATTACACAGCCTTGATGCTTTTACATTCAGCTTCATTTCAATGTACCTTCTGAGCCCTGGTGGCATGGTGCCCTGTTTGACAGATTTCAGTGTTGTCTGATATTCTTTTTATCCCCCCGGCATATAATGCGGGGAGATATAGCGATCAGCCAGTCTGTCTGTCCGTCCGTAATCATTTCCTTTTCCGGGGCAGAATTCCAAAACCATTCAGTGTATTTGATCGAAACTTGGCAAAGCTATCAGGCACATACTGAAGTGGTGCCTTTTGATATTTTTTATTTTACGAATTTTTATTTTTTACAATTTTTATGGAAACAAGTTGGACCTAGACTCCATTGGGGAACGGGTTAGTTTCAGGGCCAGAATTCGAAAACCATTCAGTGGGTAAACAATGTATGCTTCCTAAAGAACATTCAACTGTTGACTCATTACATACAGAATTGCACATTTACTAGTGGTTACTTTACAGACAGCTGCCGGGGGGATATGTCATCTTTCTGATGACTCTTGTTTAGCTTTGCCACAGAATTCTGGGTTAGATTCCGATGCATGTCATACAAGGCGACACAGTGGATCAGGGGGTCAGGCTCGGTGACCTGGTTAATTGCATGTCATTGTACTGATGGCATGGATCATTACTTGTAATATCAAGCACTGAATTGTCTGGTCACATCTTGATTGTTTAAAGGCCACTATCTTCTAGATGTAATATTGCAGAGTGTGGTGTTAAATATGCAAAACAGACAATCTTCCTTTGCAGTTTTAACAGGTTAGTGTTCTGAGAGAGAAGTTGTACATGTGCTGAGAAAAGTACCTATAACTAATCAAGTCAAAATAGAATCTCTTACAGTTTTTCCTCTGTATTAAACACTTAAAATAAAAAAAAAATAATTGCAAAACATAACATGTATATATAAATGCTGATAAACATAATAATATAATATGTTCTACCTCTCTCACATTACTTTGGTGAAGTTTGAATGAATAGCAAAACGAGAAAAACATAGCATTTGTCATCAAGTTCTTTAAAGAACTTGTGTATAAGCCACAGTATTGAACATATTGGAGGGTAAGCTGATGATACAATCTTTAGTTTTAATACAAAGATGTTCTCTATTTTAATTTTACTGTAGTGCTTTGCTGCTAGATCATCTACAATATTTAGCTGTAAATGTGCAATGTTTTACAAGGAATATATGACTCTCTGTGATATATCTCTTTTGATATGGTTGTAGTGTATAGAAAACACTTTATTTGTAAATACATCTTGTCCTATTTCATGCATAATATTTTGACGAAAGTTTGATTTGACATTCAGATGTTGTTTCCAAGATTTTATACTCGTCACTAATATACACCTGGCAAAAAAGTTGAGCATTGTTTTATTTGTTTCCATATTAAATACAGTCATGTTCTTTAGTCTTATCACATTTGCTTGTGTTCTCAAAGTGACATATTGAAATTGAAATACAGAAACCAAAATTGCTTATCTAATGAATGGATGGTTACAGTTCCATGACACTAGTAATATGATTACCCTTTTGATTGCTGCCTCTGCTTCTTTGCATAATATACAGATCGATACTTGCATCCAACTGGAGAAACATCTTGGAGATTTATCAAAATAGTGTCAATGTCATATGTTAATAATTCCTTAAAGAAACATGGAAATTTGAGATATATGCAAACAAAGAAGGAATGGCACTAAGTTTATTCCAGGTGTATAGATATAAATCAACATACCAAATTGTGGCTGTTCATGTGAACAGCACATCAGATTTTCATCCATCTTCAGTGTTTATGATGTGGACTCATTTCAACATTATTGTGGGGCGTTCGGGTAGCCTAGTGGTTAAAGCGTTCGCTCGTCACGCCGAAGACCCGGGTTCGATTCCCGACATGGGCACAATGTGTGAAGCCCATTTCTGGTGTCCCCCGCCGTGATATTGCTGGAATATTGCTAAAAGCGGCGTAAAACCATACTCACTCACTCAACATTATTGTCCCAGGTTCATGTGTACAGGTAACCAACCACCTACCACCGTGAGAATGGCTGTGGAGAAGCCTAGTGAATAAAGCATTCGCTCATTACACTGAAGGCCTGGTGTCAATTCCCCACATGGCTACAATGTGTGACACCCATTTTTGGTGTTCCCCGCTATGGTATTGCTGGAATATTGCTAAAAAAGGTGTAAAACCCTACTCACTTATCACCATGCGAAGGACTGCAGGAACAGGGCAAACCAGGGATTCAAACATTTAATCAGTGGATACTGGTTTGACAAAGGAACGAATCGCAGCTATGTAGTCCGACCACCGGGTATGAATTTACTATCTATTGTGATAACTAAAGGGTGTCCAATGTTTAAATGAAACATTTTCACATCAAGTTCTGTTGATTGTATTTTTGTGGTATTTCAGTATTATGTCAATACTCATGTTGCAATCCTTCTATACATGTACATACCTTTTATACTTTTTACTAACCGTATGATTATTGATAATGCCAATATAATTTATGAAATATTAATATCATTTGTGTTTTATATAGATCCATGTTGTTGTTTTTAGCTACTGGTCTCACACTTGTAACATTTCTATAACTTGCTCAAATGATTTAGCTCAAGTATGCCCTGCATGTTCATTAGGGGGGACTACTGGACTGGACATCACTATTGTGATAACTATTGATATTGTAAGAAACTATTGCGATAAATGTCGATAGTTTTCAGTCTATCATTTTAGATGGATTTTAGAGTTGAATTAAACCTTGGAACTGAAGTTTCCTTTGAATGTGATAACCATAACAACAAATAAAAAGTAAAGCTATGACTGATTTGGTTTTTTCTTTACCCTAATAATTTAAGAAAAAGAAACTTCCACATTACCATGTGTAAATTACTACCACTCATGATCAAAAGAAAAACAAATTTGAACCGCTTTGCATGTATTTTATTGATATGGTAAATACAATCGAAACTGTCTATATTCCTAACTCAAATCGATACTATTGATCGGAAACTGGTTTAATAATCAATTTATTGACTTTAAGTGCTTACCAATAGCAATTTATCAATATTTCGATTTATCATGACACCCCTAATGTTCATTGTTTTTGTGAGTAACATATCCAATTGCTGTGATATCTTGGGTTTGGTAAGTTTACATGTATGTGTGTATCAAGAGTATCATGCATCCTCCATTAGCCAGTGTATTATATCTCTGTTCTATTTTGATAAATACCCTGAATCCATTCACTTCATTTTACATCTGGTTCAAATGACACAATGCTAAAAATAGCTGTCCTATTAAATGGCCTTGTTCTTTAATGATTGCAACAAGCTGATCACTTGACTCCATGTGGTCTAAAATCCAACGACGTCTTGTAGTGTCACCCAATCTAAATACCACAAAACATTTTTTTTCAGTTTCAAGATTATTCATGTCTTCTGATTTCATTAAATGTATCAAGGACTCTCCCTTATAGAGGGGCAATTTCAAATTGTATCTGTGTTAAACTCTCATTCAGAAGTCTTTTTGATTGGCTGCTGGTGTGAAATTCTGTGATCAAGTATATGCGATTGTGACGTCACATAGTGACAAATGAGTCCGGGGTACATATCTTAATAGAATAGAGTTGTAATATCTAGATAATTGAGGATGGAGGGTCATGATCCATCGCAATAAACAGGCCAGTCCATTGGTGTGATAATTTTTTTTATAGAAATAAGTACCGTCCATGTTTATTATTGGGACCAAAAGAAATTGATGAAATGCTCACTTGTGCAAATCTCTTTTTGTATGGTTTTCCATATTTGTTTACTATGTATTGAGATGTAATGGACATGTACTAAGGTGTTATTTTGATAACACATAGTTTAAACATGGTAACACCTATTGTTTTTTTACATTTACATATGAATAAATAAATATTTTTGTCACTTTGTAAGTAGTTTGTGTTCGTCACTGCCTCGTCGTGTGGGGAATGGAAGCTGACCACCATAATGCAATACTGTCTATCTTCATCTTTTTAGTTGTGGGTCCAGTTTGATTACTAAGTCACAGGCTATCACAAACACAGACTGTGGTAGTCAGACAGACTGAGTGGAATAACTGTCCCAGTTTGGTGATTGTTCAATGATTACTAAGTCACAGCTATCACAAACACAGACTATGGTAGTCAGACAGACTGAGTGGAATAACTGTCCCAGTTTGGTGATTGTTCAATGATTACTAAGTCACAGCTATCACAAACACAGACTATGGTAGTCAGACAGACTGAGTGGAATAACTGTCCCAGTTTGGTGATTGTTCAATGATTACTAAGTCACAGCTATCACAAACACAGACTATGGTAGTCAGACAGACTGAGTGGAATAACTGTCCCAGTTTGGTGATTGTTCAATGATTACTAAGTCACAGCTATCACAAACACAGACTATGGTAGTCAGACAGACTGAGTGGAATAACTGTCCCAGTTTGGTGATTGTTCAATGATTACTAAGTCACAGCTATCACAAACACAGACTGTGGTAGTCAGACAGACTGAGTGGAATAACTGTCCCAGTTTGGTGATTGTTCCGTGATTACTATGTCACAGCTATCACAAACACAGACTATGGTAGTCAGACAGACTGAGTGGAATAACTGTCCCAGTTTGGTGATTGTTCCGTGATTACTAAGTCACAGGCTATCACAAACACAGACTGTGGTAGTCAGACAGACTGAGTGGAATAACTGTCCCAGTTTGGTGATTGTTCCATGATTACTAAGTCACAGCTATCACAAACACAGACTATGGTAGTCAGACAGACTGAGTGGAATAACTGTCCCAGTTTGGTGATTGTTCCGTGATTACTAAGTCACAGGCTATCACAAACACAGACTGTGGTAGTCAGACAGACTGAGTGGAATAACTGTCCCAGTTTGGTGATTGTTCCGTGATTACTAAGTCACAGCTATCACAAACACAGACTGTGGTAGTCAGACAGACTGAGTGGAATAACTGTCCCAGTTTGGTGATTGTTCCGTGATTACTAAGTCACAGCTATCACAAACACAGACTGTGGTAGTCAGACAGTCTGAGTGGAATAACTGTCCCAGTTTGGTGATTGTTCCGTGATTACTAAGTCACAGCTATCACAAACACAGACTGTGGTAGTCAGACAGACTGAGTGGAATAACTGTCCCAGTTTGGTGATTGTTCCATGATTACTAAGTCACAGCTATCACAAACACAGACTGTGGTAGTCAGACAGACTGTGTGGAATAACTGTCCCAGTTTGGTGATTGTTCCGTGATTACTAAGTCACAGCTATCACAAACACAGACTATGGTAGTCAGACAGACTGAGTGGAATAACTGTCCCAGTTTGGTGATTGTTCCGTGATTACTAAGTCACAGCTATCACAAACACAGACTGTGGTAGTCAGACAGACTGAGTGGAATAACTGTCCCAGTTTGGTGATTGTTCCGTGATTACTAAGTCACAGCTATCACAAACACAGACTGTGGTAGTCAGACAGACTGAGTGGAATAACTGTCCCAGTTTGGTGATTGTTCCATGATTACTAAGTCACAGCTATCACAAACACAGACTGTGGTAGTCAGACAGACTGAGTGGAATAACTGTCCCAGTTTGGTGATTGTTCCGTGATTACTAAGTCACAGCTATCACAAACACAGACTGTGGTAGTCAGACAGACTGAGTGGAATAACTGTCCCAGTTTGGTGATTGTTCTGTTCTGAAAGATTTCCATGTTGTTGCTTACAAAACACACAATCCATAATTCCTTGCAGAGACATCCTCCTTACATCACACATCAATATTACATGACCCCAAATCACAGGGCATATAAGAGCAATTTGAGTCAAGGTTATTTCAGCCATTGTCAGAAAGGGAAGCCATCCAAGTACAATTCATACTAGGTGGCCTGTGTGGCCAATTTTATAACAAGCAAACCTGAAATATCACCACACATCCAAATCAGAAGAAGCAACTTAAATGAAATTGTGAAAATCCACATGAAAATTAGAAAGTGATTACTCTACCTCGAACATGGGATTGGGAGGCAGATTTAATCATGTGATCAACCACTGGTGTGCCATGCCTGTCCCCGACTTAATTGTTTATCATTGTTTATAGGAAGCTGTGAAATAGCTGGAATATTGCTGACTGCAACTTGGAACAACAAACAGACTAGTTATTAGAAGTGAGAAGAGGAATCTAATCATGATAAAACAATAATCTAAAAGTAGTCAACAATGATCAATGAAAAGATTTATTCCATGACAATAGTCACACTTACTCACAAACATGACACACAACAATCTGGCCTATAAACATGGATGTAGAAACACTAACAATTAAGTCTCCATGACTACCACAGATGTGAACACTTTCAGTCATCTTGAATGCCTCCGTTTTAAATGTTGCAATGAAGTCTCAATTTGTTACCAAGTGCCTTCTCTTCAGAGAAGATACACAGGCATGATGTCAGGTCACAACAGTCTTCACTATGTTTTCCACATTAGTTGTCCTCGGCTTCACGTTCAGCAATGACAAAGTCTCGAATGCTCTGTTTCCTTCTCATAATTTCTGCACGATTGCCTACTACGGACTGTCGAGCCATAGCAAAGCCTGCAATGCCAACTGCTATGATCGTGGCCCTGGAACAAGGAAGAGTGCAAAGATTATAGAAGTAGGCTCTGTTTTTCAGTCTCAAGATACAAGGGTGTTGAAACAGATGTTTAAGCACCTAATATCTTTCAGTTTCTGTATGGCAATTTGTGTTCAAGTGTAGTTTGGGACTGACCTTAACTTTCTGCACACATGTAAATCTTACAAAAAACTGCACACCTTGAATGTCTGTAAACTATAGGCTTCAGTCTGCACTGTAAGATGTACAAATTTATATCAACGTATTGTCTAATACAAACTGGTTTACAGTAGGGCTGGGACGAGTCCTAATTTACTACCTGGGTAGCAACAACCCTATTAACCGACCCTACCCAGGTACCTGCTGTTGGTTTCAAGAGATAGGTACAAAATGTCCGATTGGGAATAGTTTGACAGTAGCCTGAGCAAAATGTATTTAGATACACATATAAAAAAATCTGGTCATGCATACACACTGAAGTTGACTGAAGTTTTATCTTTATTCAAACATATATAAGTCTGAAGGAATGCGTTATAGTCTTGAAGAAATGCAAACATTAGTGACTTGTGTGACCATGTAGTCATAGTGAATTTTTGTTATGAAACAATATATCACGTGACTAACCACAGGTCCGGGTAGTACTGTGGGAACCCGGGTCCTACTCAGTACCCACCGGCCCAAGTACCCAAGTTACCTGTCCCAGCCCTAGTTTCCAGATAAATCTTAACTTGTCTACATACATGTACACATTTAGCTGAAATGATACCTTATTAACAGAAAGCCTTAACATAAAGCATAATCAAATGCATGAAAAGAGAAACATCAACTAAAGACGACACTGTGACCTATACTAAACAAACAAAATTAGTCAAGGTGGGAAGTTACAATTCTATATTACCAAAACAAACTTCTTTTGTGATGAGGAATGACAGGTCAACACTTCAGAAGAAAAAAAATATGAACATGGCGAGATTAATTATAAAAAGTGGGATAGACAACATAAACATAAGTTACAATTAAGTTTTGAATATATACATGGGTATTTGACCTCTGTCCTGTCTGCACTAGAAAAATTAATTTCTTTAAAAATTTTTTTATAGTTTTTATGTGAAGGGGAATGGCTTCTGGGAGACATTTCAAATGTTGATCCAGCAATTTAGAATTACTCTTCATGACTAAACACGCTATCTGTTTGATACATTGTACAAAATACATAAACAAAAATATACAAGAAAGGGTTTCATTACGATGTCAAGATGTGCAATGAAAGTAGTTAAACAAATGTATATTTTCACATTGAATAATGATGCATTGTGATTTAAGAACTGTTTGGTTTACAAACTCACTTTTTTCGAGTTTCTCATGCAATATATTCCATATGACAAAAGTTAAACTTAACAGTGGTGTCTGACAGATCAGCCAGAAGAGGTTATTTGAGTTCAAAATTATTTCAAATGAAAATATGAAATAAATTGGCAATACATTTATTTGGAGATGCAATACAATATGCATAATGAAACACTGGTATGCAATACATATTGGGTAGGATAATTTCATAAACAAAAAAAGTGCACAAAAAAATCTACATTTATGAACACAAGTGACATTTCAAGGTATGTTTATCGGTAATTTATCACAGTTCACTTGTTCAACAGTTGGTTCGCCTTAAGTGTTAGTCAGTGTTTTAATGGGACTATCCCACTGAATCACAATTTTTATTTGATAGTTTATTCTATTGTGCCAAAGCCAATATTCAAAATACAGCAATCTAAGGGGTCCATGTCACAACCCAAATGTTAAAAGTTAAAGATTAGGGGTCTCCAGATTCAAATTCCATAAAAAAAGACCTCAAGGACCCCCCTTAACTTTGAACAATGTCATGTGTCAACGAATCATAACTTATCACTGTATGTACTCCATTAGTCCTGCACCATGACCATGGAATATATTTATTTTATGGAAAAAAAATAACCTAGAAATGCATACAAAAGCAAGTCTAGCCAGCTCAAGCTAGCTCCATTCTGAAATCAACATAGGGAATTTTTATTTATTTTTAGAGTCAAGAAGGATATTGTGTAATATAAGATTTCAGAGACTAAATGGTAGTCTAGTAGTAGTACTCCATTAACAATTCCCCATGTGTTATTTGACAATAAACATATTGCAGATCATGCTTTATTATTTTTTAAAGATCTATGTGAAAAACAGGTCGGTTAGTTTTTGGTATTTCATAATATTAATGAAATAATGTACATACATTTTATCTCTACTAGTGGTTTGATAACTGGACATGCAGTCACCTGAGGTTCAAAATATATGTTTGCCCTGAATATGTGTCTAGGTTTGTCAGCACCATTTGGATACTTTGTTAGTTGCTCTCACATTAAACTGAAACGCTATGATATAACTGTAATACTGTTCAAAGCTGCGTTTTATACAAACTTTCTCACTCGTTCACCAAGAGCCCATGTTCTCTTTCAAGTCTTTGCTCGTGCAGGCAACATTGAGTTGAAGGTCAAATATTTGTTTGCTGAAGAAAAGTGTCATTTCCATATGTATTTATTACATAGATGCAGTCAAAGTCCCCAATTGGTTTCCACTGTCAAATATTTAGAACACTAATCGCTCATGTTGAATTTTAAGAAATTAATTTAGATATTTTCATGCTATCGTTTTACACAGTTATCTCCCTTATCAAATCACCGGATCGTACTGCGATGTCATATTATTAATGGAACAAGAAATGTAAGCTTTATCCAAACATACCATCCGACGTATATTTTAGACACTTTAGAAAAGCGCATGGTAAAACTGACGCTACGTCGTGGCCTAAATAGGTGTTGTTATGTACTGTTGTGGTATCGACATGCCTCGGAAAGTTCCGGAAGCGTTCTTCTGACTGTAAGGTAATATTTTCGTGAACCGGAAGTATTGAATCATAACACATGTCAGGAGGAAATAATCGCCATAATACATCGTAATACACAGTCACAAGTGCAATGAGTGGCCAGAATTTCGAAGAAATTGACGAAGAGGATTTTGAAAAGTTTGCTTTAAATCTTGAAGATGTTGTCGACGTAATTGATCTCGATGATAACGTTCCACCCCCAGATTCAGACGGTTTGTTCAATTTTCGAGATGGGGATTTTTTTTACATACCAAGGTGTTTGATCATATTTCACTTGGTAGTTATAACTAAAACCGAAATTTGGTAAATAGCAGTAGTTTGGATATTCGGATATCACATCTGTCGAAAACGATCAGAATATACATGTATCAGACCTCAAGAGGTCGAAACATTACCACGATCAGGGTTTATGGGGATGGGCAGGAAGTTTGGACCACAGTTCAGTATACAAATTCGTAGAATTTCTGAAGACCATTCTAGGTTAATGATATCTTGTTCAGTAAATAATCATGTGAGATCATAATATCTGTACTTTTTTCTATGTGATTTTTATCATATAAGAAATTGAAAATGTTTTCCTAGATGATGACAATGATGGAATGGAGGTGGATGGAGAGGGTGCAGCTGCCACTGGTATTGTTGCCGATGTTGACGATGCTGATATTGTTTTCAAGGAACACAAAGGTCATTATCCCATACCTTCTATTACTTTGATATAAGGCAACATGAACATTATGAAGGCTTGGCATTCATCTGACCTAATAAAAAACACTTCCTTACTCGTGTTATGCTTATTATTTGTAAGCTATTCAAATCCAAGACAATTTCTTCCGTTATTTCAGTCATCATTTTATTTCTTATCTTTTTTAGTGGGTAATGATTCATCTGACTCTTTACTCTTTAAGAGACCGCCTGCGTGGCCTATTGGTAGAGAATCTGCCCCGAGAGCAAATGTTTGGGGGGTTTGATCCCTACCGCATTGTACCAAAATATGTTAAGAGCTTATACTTGTTGTTACCTTGCCTGGTGCTCGGCATTAAAGGGCAAGTTCACACGGAAATTAACCTATTTTTCTTGTACTTTTTCCACATTAAAAGTGTTAACATAGAAGTGTCATAGACAAAAATATAAAAACATCATATTTAATTAACATATTTTTTGCATTAAAACGATTTATATTTTTCACATTTACCAAGTGTTCTATTTCCATAACAAAAACACCATGGCTTATGCCCCTTGCAATATGACGTCATTGGTGCCAATTGATAAACATTATGACGTCATCATGCTTTGTTAGAGCCGCTTCACGTGGTGTAGGTACAGTTTTGTGATTCTAGCGTCTCAGATGCCAGCCAGAATTGTGTTATGCTGAGTCACCACTGCGCCGGAGTGTGTCGTAGACCATGTTGTTTTACCGCAAACTGGTCCTTGATATCTTTTGCGTTGAGAATAGACAGGGACCCAGTTGAATTGGCACCAATTACGTCATAATCTAAGGGGGATAACTCAGGCCTATTTCGCTCGTAAAACGAAGGCCTCATAACGACATATCATTTTAATACTATTGTGAGCTTCCTACTTTCACTGTGAAAAAAATGAGCGTATATTTTCAAACACGGATACTAACTAATTCTAAAATTGCGTTTTGTTTAGAAAAAGAAAGAAAGTGATTTTTGCGTGTACACTTCCCCTTTAAGGGGCTAAAATGAGGACTGGTCGGCTCAGAGTCAGTATACTGTGTCTTGATTGCCGCACTCACACTATAAAATAGTCTTTAAGAAGTAGTTATTAGCTATGCAGATCCTTGGATCGTGTTAAACTTTGTTTAATGGCCAGATGACAAATTTGATTTGTTCATCATATTTCAGGATTTACTCATCCAAAGCTCAGATGAAGGTTTTTAGGTCTCTTAACTATCTGTTGAAAACTTCAGTAGGCAATGGTAAAGAAACTCCAACATAGATTGGATATGTTGACAGGGAGAGAGAAGAGCTCTTTGGCTCCAAGCACTATGCTTCGGTGATTTAGTTTTGTCTGGGGATGGTCCTTCCCCTGTTGTATAAAAAAAACAGTTATTGGAAAGAGTCCTTTCAACAGTACTGAATAGCACTTGTTTATTTATCACTTTCCTCATTTCTTGCAGATTCTGTGTTTTGTGTGAGAGTTGACCCCAAAACTTGTACCCTGGCTGTGACTGGAGGTCAAGATGACAAGGCTATAGTGTGGAACATGGAGACTGGCCATGTCGTCCTTGAATGTACAGGTAAGGTTCATTTTGTAAGATATTTTTACAAGGTTTACACAAAGTATTGTGTTTGAAAGCTGAATATATAGTAAATATAATAGACAAAGACCCTACAAAATAAGATACATAAAGAATGAAATAAATTAGTGATCAATATGTTATGATCTCATCTTTGAAAGGCATTTAGAAGTGATACACATAAGGAAGAGAATTTATGGATGTCAACTTCTTTATTGTGAGGAACACAATGTTTCGGAGTATATACCTACTCCTTCATCACCTGATGGAGTAAGCATATGCTCCGAAACGTTGTGTTCCTCATAATAAAGAAGTTGACATCCATATATTCTCTTCCTTATGTTATGGTCACATTCTTACATGCAGTAGAAATTGACTGAATTTGTCGAGATTATTTTCCTCTTTCATAAAATTACTTTCTGGATGATTCTTGTGTACACATTGGCTTAAATGTCAGACAGCCGTTGTATGAATGTATTGGTGTATGGTCACCAGGTCACAAGGACTCTGTCACTAGTGTGGGTTGGAGTCATGACAGTATGTACGTGGCAACCGCAGATCTGAGTGGGTTGATCAAGGTGTGGAGGGTGGACACAAAGGAAGAGGTGTGGTCATTTGAGGCAGAAGATGTGGAAGTAAGTCATTCTCACACAATGTCAAGGAGATACTGCATGTGTAGGTGAATGTCTCTCTGACATCTTCTCAATGTCAAGGTCATTCTTTTTGTATAACAAGTCAAATGTAAATGGTGAAACGTTTTCATTTTGTATCCTCCCAACCCACTGCATACATTGAAGAAATGAATTTCTTATTGTGTTGGTTTTGTTGAATATGAACGCTTTGAACTGTGCAAGTTCAAATCTTGTGTAAATGCTGCCGCAAGCTCTGCCACTCTGATATACTGCCCATTTGTATATTTTGAGTCAAGATTCTACACACAAACTACACCATTGATGTGTGTAGCCCTCCCTAAATGATCTTTACCCATTTTGAAAATTTTCAACTGTCAAATAGTTCGTAGGTTGGTATATTGGTTTCCATTGGATATAGTAAGGTTGTTGTTGTGTCTGCAGTGGTTGCAGTGGCACCATGGCGCCCATGTCCTCCTGGTGGGTACAGTGGATGGGCAGGTGTGGATGTGGAAGATACCAGGAGGTGACTGCAAGACATTCATTGGCCATGGTGCAGGTGCCATCAGTGGGGTTGTCATGCCGGATGGTGAGTTAGAACAGCTTGCTGCAGTTACAAGAAACAGTTAAGGCTGCAAAAGTTTCAGTTGATGTAAGGAAAAAAGTCCATTTTGATATTCTTTGTATGAGGTAATACAGAGTTTTCATTGTAAGATAGTCTCAAAAGTCAACATGGTTATCAAATTAATACATTTTGGATGCTTTATGATTGAGAATGATCTTGGGATATTACACGTAATCAGAACCTCCAATCATGGATGTTTAATCTTAGTATATCACCAAAAGTAGCAGTATTAATCTATTGTATTAGATCTGCAAAAAAACACGGATAGGGGATAATGCTGCAAATATATGCATGGACTGCCATTAGATCAGTGTGCTGTTACATTGTGAATTACGAGGTCCCAACATCATTTCTAAAGTGAGTGAACTGTTTGTGGTTGTTTAGGGAAACGAGCCTGTGTTGGATACGAAGATGGTATAATCAAAATATGGGATCTGAAGACGGGAGAATGTCAACACACTATCACAGGTAATGCCACAGAGAACTACTGTATGAAAAGGATCACAGGTCCATTTCAATAAATTTTGTCATGGTTTATCTAAGATGAATATGTTACTGTAGCGGTGGTTCAAGCCATAGCCAAATGGATAAACTGTGGGCTTGTCAAGCAGAAGATTTGGATTTTATTCCCAACATGGGTGTAGGATGTGAAGTCAATTCTTGGTGTCCCAAGCTCTGAAATGGATTGAATAATGCTCTCTACTCGGTAACTAGTTTTCATAATATGGAGTCCTTCGTGGGGATTTGGGTCCCCATCAATCTATGCTGGTCGTGAGAGAGGTCCATGGATCAGGTGGTCAGACATTCTGGACTGGCTTGTCATCGTACCCCGACAGTGTGAATTTTGTTGCTCATAATATCAATCACTAAATTGTCTGGTCCAGATGGCATGTTGCTGATGCGGTGTTACGCAAACAAACAAATGTAATATGGAATGTTTGTTTTTCTCCCCTCCGAATCAGTGGAATGCAGATTTCTTGCTTCTATACATCAATTTGTCCTTCAGTCTGTTAAAACCCCATGAGCTGGATAACAGGAAAAAATGCAGGAAATAGTTCTGAAATTCATTTTTTATAATGAGAAATTTATACTGCAAAATTAGACTTGTTGGATTACAGGAGTTAAAAGAGTTCTATTCCTTGCTTGTCGGCAATCAGACTTGCACATTATACCATGGCGTTAGCAGGACAGAAGGAAACCTGTTTGTGATACTGTCAAAATATTATGCTTGGGACTTTTATGATTGAAGGGACTGGTCATTTATTATAGGGGAGGAGGGCCGGTTAGATTGAGGGGGCTTCATGAAAATTTATCAGACTTACCCGGTATGCTGAAGGGGGAGCAGGAGTGTTACATGTATTGGAAAGGCATGATAATATGTTACATAAAATGGGGGTGGGGGGTTTGTGTCAGCAAAATAGAATACAGTCCGTTCTAAGACCATTTTGAGAACCACCCGATCCCCCTTTCACAAGCTGATCATCCCATGATAAAAGACCAGTCCCTACTACATTCACATCCAGTGTGGAAATTAGTTTATCGAAACATAATTGACAGAGTTGTTGCCCTTTTTCTGTAATTAATTTGCACGTTATCACAACTCTTGTGTGTTATTATTTATATAACAGCAGAACTTGTGCTATTGTAGAGTTACTAAATAGTTTTCCTTACAATATCAACTTCATCCAAGGTGAAAACATGAATTTTGAAAGGGGTAAGCGGAAATGGCATATGTTATTTTCAAAGAAGATAGTTTCGCATTGTACATCATGCTTTGGTGGGGATGCGAGTATTTCATGCATGTCAGACGATGCGTTGCAGGTAACGACAGCCATAATTCATCTGTGGTGTCGCTGCACAGCAGCAAGGACAACTCCCTTTTAATGAGCGGCTCCACGGACATGACAGCCAAACTTGTCACTGCTACAACGGGAAAGGTAAGACTGAAGATTAAACAATCTCTTTCCATAAGTTAAAAATCTCTGTAGAGCTCACAAGTTTCAGTGTTTCTGTTCCTTATTCTGGATAAGCAGGGCCTCAATGCAGAAGTCGAAATAGATACTTTAAAGGGCAAGTTCACACGGAAATTAACCTATTTTTCTTGTACTTTTTCCACATTAAAAGTGTTAACCAAGAAGTGTCATAGACAAAAATATAAAAATATCACAATTAATTAACATATTTTTCGCATTAAAACGATTTATATTTTTCACATTTACCAAGTGTTCTATTTCCACAACAAAAACACCATGGCTTATGCCCCTTGCAATATGACGTCATTGGTGCCAATTGATAAACATTATGACGTCATCATGCTTTGTTAGAGCCGCTTCACGTGGTGTAGGTCTAGGTTCTAGCGTCTCAGATGCCAGCCAGCATAGTGTTATGTTGAGTCACCACTGCGCCGGAGTGTGTCGTAGGCCATGTTGTTTTACCGCAAACTGGTACTTGATATCTTTTGCGTTGAGAATAGACAGGGACCCAGTTGAATTGGCACCAATTACGTCATAATCTAAGGGGGATAACTCAGGCCTGTTTAGCTCGAAAAACGAAGGCCTCATAACGGCATATCATTTTCACACTATTGTGAGCTTCCTACTTTCACTGTGAAAAAAATGAGTGTATATTTTCAGACACAGATACTAATTAATTCTAAAATTGCGTTTTGTTTAGAAAAAGAAAGAAAGTGATTTTTGCGTGTACACTTCCCCTTTAATGGTTTCCATCAAGCAATAACTTCATAAACAGTTTGGGGTTGTAGGCTTCGTGTAAAAGATACAAAGGGCAGTACAGTGTTTCCTCAGTTAATAGTTTGAAAGGAATTCCATCCATTGTGATGTAAAAAGGTCACATGTTCCTGTAGGTCTTCCAGGCTTTTAGAATGACTTGATGACTATCTTTAAGATAGAGTTGTAATGCGTCACTGCTTCATTTTGCTATGTTACAAATCAACAGGTTCAATACAAAAGTGATACATTTGTATAAGAGAAAACCTATAAAAAAGGTATGAAAATGAACTGTATTAATGGTATTTTATGATGATATGTACATACATTCTCTATCCATTGTTAGCCACATTGATGGAAGTGTACTAAAATGGTTTGTCTGAACGTTTGTTATTCCAAACGTAACAAGTGGCAAGTGTATGTATGTCGCTATTGTATCACAACCTTAATATCAAGATACATATATTGTATATGTCGTTACACCCATTACTTAAATTTTTCGTTTTCATCAACACTGTTTAATTATCTGATGATAATTAATTATCGGATAATATTTGTGTTTATCAGGATTTTGATGACTGGAGCAGTTAAGATAACAAACTAGACTGTTTCCGTTGTAACAAAAGTCGGTGGTATGTTTCAGGTGATATCTACCTATGATTGTTCTAGTCATCGCATTGGATCAGCAGAAGATGAAAATTCAGTGGAAAGCGTGGGGCTGTCTAGTGTGTAAGTATTAACCCATAATAATAATCAGTTTATTATGGCCTTATCTGAACATTGCTGAACAAGCACAACTCTGCACTTGGTATAAGCCTGTGTCTAATGCATGTCTCTGATGTTGGCACATAGACCCAACCTATTGTGACAGTTCTACTGAGATGGATGGATGAATATGACATTTTGACAGTTCTACTGAGATGGATGGATGAATATGACATTTTGACAGTTCTACTGAGATGGATGGATGAATATGACATTTTGACAGTTCTACTGAGATGGATGGATGAATATGACATTTTGACAGTTCTACTGAGATGGATGGATGAATATGACATTTTGACAGTTCTACTGAGATGGATGGATGAATATGACATTTTGTCAGTTCTACTGAGATGGATGGATGAATATGACATTTTGACAGTTCTACTGAGATGGATGGATGAATATGACATTTTGACAGTTCTACTGAGATGGATGGATGAATATGACATTTTGGCAGTTCTACTGAGATGGATGGATGAATATGACATTTTGACAGTTCTACTGAGATGGATGGATGAATATGACATTTTGACAGTTCTACTGAGATGGATGGATGAATATGACATTTTGACAGTTCTACTGAGATGGATGGATGAATATGACATTTTGACAGTTCTACTGAGATGGATGGATGAATATGACATTTTGACAGTTCTACTGAGATGGATGGATGAATATGACATTTTGACAGTTCTACTGAGATGGATGGATGAATATGACATTTTGACAGTTCTACTGAGATGGATGGATGAATATGACATTTTGACAGTTCTACTGAGATGGATGGATGAATATGACATTTTGACAGTTCTACTGAGATGGATGGATGAATATGACATTTTGACAGTTCTACTGAGATGGATGGATGAATATGACATTTTGACAGTTCTACTGAGATGGATGGATGAATATGACATTTTGACAGTTCTACTGAGATAGATGGATGAATATGACATTTTGTCAGTTCTACCAAGATAGACAGGTATATGTGATATTTTGACAGTTCTACTGAGTTAGAAGGATATAATATTTTGACAATTCTACTGAGTTGGAAGGATATGATATTTTGACAATTCTACTGAGTTGGAAGGATATGATATTTTGAAAGTTCTACTGAAGTAGATGGATGTGATATTTTGAAAGTTCTGCTGAGATAGAATGATATGATATTTTGACAGTTGTACTGAAGTAGATTGATGTGATATTTTGTAAGCTCTGCTGTGATACATTGATGAATATGACATTTTGACTGTTCTACTGTTCTATAGACAGCTGGATATGATAATTTTGCTGTTGTGCCAAGATGAGTGGATGTGATATTTTGACAGTTCTACTGAGTTGGATGGATATGACATTTTGACAGTTCTACTGAAATAGATAGATGATTAAGACATTTTGACTGTTCTACTGAAATAGATAGATGATTAAGACATTTTGACAGTTCTACCAAGATAGACAGGTATATGTGATATTTTGGCAGTTCTCCTGAGATAGATGGATGAATATGACATTTTGACAGTTCTACCAAGATAGACAGGTATATATGATATTTTTGCAGTTCTACTGAGATAGATGGATGAATATGACATTTTGAAAGTTCTACCAAGAGAGACAGGTATATATGATATTTTGGCAGTTCTACTGAGATAGATAGATGAATATGACATTTTGACAGTTCTACCAAAATAGACAGGTATATACATGTATGTTATTTTGACAGTTCTACCAAAATAGACAGGTATATATGTTATTTTGACATTTCTACTGAAATGGATTGATGGATAGGATATTTAGTTCTACTGAAGTAGATGGATGTGATATTTTAACAGTTCTACTGAAGTAGATGGATGAATTTGATATGATAACTGGTAACTAAGATGTATATGTTTCAGGGGGAACTACGCAGCAACAGGAACGCTGGGCGGTGTGATGAGCATCTGGGACATTGCCACACATGTAGTCAGACACCAGTGTGTCCATGCCGTGAGTAGAATGTATTGTTGGTCATCGCAATGAACTGTTCAGTTCTTGGAACAAGAACACAATGACTGGTAAATGATCTTGGAGTAGGTTCACATGATGTGGAGTATGTTCACAGTGGTAAAAATCAATTTGACTTGCTTGCTACTCTCCTATATCAGGGCCCATCTGCCCTCCATTGCAGATGCAGTTGAATTGGTCACACATTGTTTGCATTTTACTTAAGGATTGAAAAATATGTCTGACCGTAAAAATTGCCTAAGCTGATGCAGTCGTATCTGTTCAGACCTTTTCTGCCCCAATACTTTTGGAGATGTGTGTGTGTGTGGAGATAGGGGATATGCACACTAACATACCCGGTATAACAATTTCCTTTTCATTAATACCTGATGACCTGTGGTTCTGTGTTGTACAGGATGGTATCGTGAAGCTGAAGTGGGATGAAACATCCCCGCTGGTGTACACAGCAAGTCTGGATGGAGTGGTCAGAATGTGGGATGCTCGCAGCGGCAAGGAGGAGACCCGCTGGACGGGACACTCAGCGGCCATACTGGACTTCGATATCACAGCGTGCGTATTACTGTTACATTAGTGTGGCTATCATACAGATTTTAGGAAGCAAGCATCAGAATGTTGTATTTCTTGAGCACAGGTTTTGTAAAACCAGTATGCTCAATACCCAAATGTAACTGTTTCTAACTCTTTACTGTTGTGAATCGGCAGTGCATCACAACATATTTATGCCTATCTATCATTAAGATGAAGGGCTGAGAGTCAAGATTCATGGTCTATAAGTCCAATCATCAAAGATATGACATATATCAAACAAAAATGAAAGAAGTTCCTTTTTACGAGAGGTCGCATATTGTCAACACCAAAAGTCAATGGGAGTAGCATTCTGCCATTTCTTTAAGCTATGACATCACTGTGATAGTGTTATGTGTCGTCATAGTACAGTATAACGTCATCAATTTGAAAAACGAAAAAAACACAGTGAACATTTTCAACATTCTGGTTGGCACCCAGTCTCCTTGCTTCTGCCTCAGATGTTTTTTATCACATTACAGGGCTTTTCCTGTAGTTGTCAACTCAGGGGATTAATCACTGACAGGTATTCATTGTGTGGAATAGGACTAAGAGTAGCAGGTGGTTTATGGCACCCAAACAGGATGTTAGTAATATAAAACTAATTAGAGAACATAAATTGTTCTTATAATTATTCACAATGTCAAACGTCATACTACACTCTCAACAATGTATGCAATGTCGTTTTTTGAGGATTAACAGAAATAGCAAAACTTTCTGACTTATCCATATGGCTGCTAAGGATTACAAGATGGATTATATAGAAGGTAGACTCTGCATTGTTTAAGTTAAGTAGCTTTAGGTCACACCCCCAAGTTGTTTTGGAATCCAATTATGGAGTGTGTGATTTCAGCACATTCACTTGGACATTTAAATACTATTCTACGAATGTTATGACTCTTTCCTCTCGGGTATTTGCACTAACCTCCTCCTTTTTTTCAATTAGAAAGTTACATGAAATATTATATCTTTCAAAAATAGCTTTCTCAGTAAAAGTTAAATACGCTGATTACAGATTAGCAGACGTCCTTAATTTGAACCATATTTACCCCTGGTTGAGCCAGGTGATAGCATTCTCCTGTCTGATCGTACCTCTCGTTACTGGACTTTGATATCACTGCAAGTCATACTGACATAGCTGTGTTTGAAGGGAGGTCGACCGCCTCCATGGTCTCGTGGTAGGGCATCCGCCTGGAGAACAGAAGGTCCAGGTTCAATCCTCAGCTGCGTCATACCGAAAGACGTTAAAAGATGATACTTGTTGTTACCCTGTCTGGCGGTCTGCATTAAGGGGAAAGGGCAAGGACTGCTCGGAGTCAGTATACTGTGTCTGAGTGTGGTATTAATGTTAACTGCGGCATGGTATCTCAGTGGGCTAGCACTATTCATTGGCATAGTACAAGCAGCATGCACATGTTTATACAAGTGCAATAATCCAGGATGCGACGTTAAACCCCATTTCACCTCACCTTAAAGGGAGGTCATGGAGTCTTTGAGGACTTCTATGGTATTTGATTCTAGGGACCCACTAAATCTTGAACTTTCAATATTCATGACAAGGGTTCTTTGGCTTTCCTGCTTAATTTCTATGCACCAGGTTAGAATTGATATTTAGTAACCCATGCTTGTTGTAAGAAGCAACTGAGAGGATCCATGGTCAGGCTTGCTTCATGCATGTAATTGTATCCCAATTGCAAGGATCGATACCCCCATTGTCAATCACTGGATTGTCTGATCTAGACTCTATTATTTACAGACCGCCATCATGTAGCTTGAATATTGATGAATATGGCATTAAACAACAAACGAAACAAAGAATTTCTCTGCATAGTAATTTAAAATTACACAGATTCAACAAACTGATGGATGTTACAAAAGTCACCAATGTTCCATTTGTAAATTCTTCCTTGATGTTTCAGTGCATAATAGCTCCTTTGTGGGGATTCATGGTTAGAATTGGTCCCCTGCACTTTATTTATGGAGGAGGTGGTCAGGCCCTGTGACTTGCAGTGTTGAACAACAAACAAAGTTACACACTGCATAATAACTATGCTTGATGTGAATGAAACTCCTGATGTAAGGAAGTATTTCTTATGGTTCAGTGTGGGCGTCGGTCATATTTTACTGTTTTGATGTTTCATTGTTTGGCCACAGAAGTTTTTTATATTGATTTGTTTAGCAACATTTCAGAGTTACTCCCCTTTGGTTGTGTAAAGACAAGGACACCTTTCTTTCAGGAAACAATTGGTTTGCAAATCAGAGGGTCAGTGATCAAAATAAAAGTTCCCCCAAAAGTATTGTCTCTGATTATTTGGGAAATGGAAAATACATAATTAAGAGAGAAAATGTTTTGTTTCTGGCGACCTCCGTTGCGATATTGCTACAGTGTTAAACCCAACTGACTCTTCATTCTGAAGTGTTGTTTTTATTTGTGCTCTGACAATGATTCTGCAATGTTCTGTAACACAGTGTTATCTGTATTTGCAGGAATGGTAACAACTTGGTTACAGTTTGTGAGGATCATACAGCAAGAGTGTTCTCAATTAAATCACCGGACAGATGAATGCAGCCCTTGTACAGTCATGTTTTATAAATGTATAAAGAAAGTTCAGTTCTTTGTTGTCTCTCTACTTGAACATGATCTGCTTAGTTGATGTCATGGTCAGTGTTTGGCTGTTGTCATCTGTAGATATTGACCACAAGCAAGTATTAGATTATTTGGTATTTTATTTTTTGTATGGGTGCAACAAAGTCACTACGAGGTGCTACAAAGTCACTATGCGGTGCTTCAAAGTCACTATGAGGTGCTACAAATTCACTACGGGGTGCTACAAAGTCACTACGCGGTTCACCTTAACCACCCCAGTGGTGCAACAAAGTCACTACGAGGTGCTACAAGGTCACTACTTGGTTCACCTTAACCACCCCATGGGTGCAACAAAGTCACTACGAGGTGCAAGTTAACCACCCCATGGGTGCTAAAAATTCACTACGAGGTGCTACAAAGTCACAATGCAGTTCACCTTAACCACCCCAGTGGTGCAACAAAGTAACTACAAGGTGCTACAAAGTCACTACTTGGTTCACCTTAACCACCCCATGGGTGCAACAAAGTCACTACGAGGTGCTAAAAAGTCACTATACGGTGCTACAAAGTCGGTTCACCTTAACCACCCCATGGGTGCTACAAATTCACTACGAGGTGCTACAAGGTCACTACGGGGTGCTACAAAGTCACTACTTGGCTCACCTTAACCACCCCATGTGTGCAACAGTCACTACGAGGTGCTTAAAAGTCACTATGCGGTGCTACAAAGTCACTATGATGTGCAAGTTAACCATCCCATGGGTGCTACAAATTCACTACGAGGTGCTATAAAGTCACTACGGGATGCTACAAAGTCACTACTTGGTTCACCTTAACCACCCCATGTGTGCAACATACTCACTACTTGATTCAACATAACCATCCCATATGTGCAACATAGTCACTACGAGGTGCTAAAAAGTCACTACGAGGTGCTAAAAAGTCACTATGCGGTGCAAGTTAACCACCCAATGGATGCTACAAATTCACTACGAGGTGCTACAAAGTCACTACCCGGTGCTACAAAGTCACTACTTGGTTCACCTAAACCACCCCATGGGTGCAACAAAGTCACTACGAGGTGCTACAAAGTCACAACGAGGTGCTAAAAAAGTCACAAAGCGGTGCTAAAAAGTCACTACGAGGTGCTACAAAGTCACTACTTGGCTCACCTTAACCACCCCATGTGTGCAACAAAGTCACAATGAGGTACTACAAAGTCACTTTTCGGTGCTTCAAAGTCACTATGAGGTGCAAGTTAACCACCCCATGGGTGCTACAAATTCACTATGAGGTGCAACAAAGTCACTACCCGGTGCTACAAAGTCACTACCCGGTGCAACAAAGTCACTACCCGGTGCTACAAAGTCACTACTTGGTTCACCTTAACCACCCCATGGGTGCAACAAAGTCACTACGAGGTGCTACAAAGTCACAACGAGGTGCTAAAAAAGTCACAAAGCGGTGCTAAAAAGTCACTACGAGGTGCTACAAAGTCACTACTTGGCTCACCTTAACCACCCCATGTGTGCAACAAAGTCACAATGAGGTACTACAAAGTCACTTTTCGGTGCTTCAAAGTCACTATGAGGTGCAAGTTAACCACCCCATGGGTGCTACAAATTCACTATGAGGTGCAACAAAGTCACTACCCGGTGCTACAAAGTCACTACCCGGTGCTACAAAGTCACTACCCGGTGCTACAAAGTCACTACTTGGTTCACCTTAACAACCCCATGGGTGCTACAAATTCACTACGAGGTGCTACAAAGTCACTATGCGGTGCTACAAAGTCACTTCGAGGTGCTACAAATTCACTACGAGGTGCTACAAAGTCACTATGCGGTGCTACAAAGTCACTACGAGGTGCTACAAATTCACTACGAGGTGCTACAAAGTCACTATGCGGTGCTACAAAGTCACTACGAGGTGCTAAAAAGTCACTACTCGGTGCTACAAATTCACTATGAGGTGCTACAAAGTCACTAGGCTGTGCTACAAAGTCACTATGAGGTGCAAGTTAACCACCCCATGGATGCTACAAAGTCACTACCCGGTGTTACAAAGTCACTACCCGGTGCTACAAAGTCACTACTTGGTTCACCTTAACCACCCCATGGGTGCTACAAATTCACTACGAGGTTCTACAAAGTCACTACGAAAGCTACAATGTCACTACGCGGTGCTACAAAGTCACTACTTGGTTCACCTTAACCACCCCATGGGTGCTACAAATTCACTACGAGGTTCTACAAAGTCACTACGAGGTGCTACAAAGTCATTACGAGGTGCTACAAAGTCACTATGCGGTGCTACAAAGTCACATCTGAGGTGCAAGTTAACCACCCCATGGATGCTACAAATTCACTACGAGGTGCTACAAAGTCACTACGCGGTGCTACAAATTCACTATGAGGTTCTACAAAGTCACTACAAGGTGCTACAAAGTCACTCCTTTGCTCACCTTAACCACCCCATGTGTGCAACATAGTCACTATGAGGTACTACAAAGTCACTATTCGGTGCTACAAAGTCACTATGAGGTGCAAGTTAACCACCCCATGGGTGCTACAAATTCTCTATGAGGTGCAACAAAGTCACTACCCAGTGCTACAAAGTCACTACCCGGTGCTACAAAGTCACTACCCGGTGCTACAAAGTCACTATGCGGTTCACCTTAACAACCCCATGGGTGCTACAAATTCAATATGAGGTGCTACAAAGTCACTACGAGGTGCTAAAAAGTCACTACTCGGTGCTACAAATTCACTACTTGGTTCACCTTAACCACCCCATGTGTGCAACAGTCACTATGAGGTGCTACAAAGTCACTATGCTGTGCTACAAAGTCACTATGAGGTGCAAGTTAACCACCCCATGGATGCTACAAAGTCACTACCCGGTGTTACAAAGTCACTACCCGGTGCTACAAAGTCACTACTTGGTTCACCTTAACCACCCCATGGGTGCTACAAATTCACTACGAGGTTCTACAAAGTCACTACGAGGTGCTACAATGTCACTACGCGGTGCTACAAAGTCACTACTTGGTTCACCTTAACCACCCCATGGGTTCTACAAATTCACTACGAGGTTCTACAAAGTCACTACGAGGTGCTACAAAGTCACTACGAGGTGCTACAAAGTCACTATGCGGTGCTACAAAGTCACATCTGAGGTGCTAGTTAACCACCCCATAGATGCTACAAATTCACTACGAGGTGCTACAAAGTCACTTCGCGGTGCTACAAATTCACTATGAGGTTCTACAAAGTCACTACAAGGTGCTACAAAGTCACTACTTGATTCAACATAACTATTCCATGTGTGCAACAAAGTCTACTTGGTTCAACTTAACCATAGCATGGGAGCTACAAAGTCACTTCGAGGTGCTACAAATTCACTATGAGGTGCTACAAAGTCACTACCCGGTGCTACAAAGTCACTACCGGTACTTGGCTCACCTTAACCACCCCATGTGTGCAACATAGTCACTATGAGGTACTACAAGGTCACTACTTGGTTCACCTTAACCACCCCATGTGTCTACAAAGTCGGTGGTTCACCTTAACCACCCCATGGGTGCTACAAATTCACTACGAGGTGCTACAAAGTCACTACGAGGTGCTACAAAGTCACTACGAGGTGCTTAAAAGTCACTACGAGGTGCTACAAAATCACTATGCGGTGCTACAAAGTCACTATGAGGTGCAAGTTAACCACCCCATGGATGCTACAAATTCACTATGAGGTGCTACAGAGCCACTACGCAGTGCTATTAAGTCACTACCGGTACTTGGCTCACCCCATGTGTGCAACATAGTTACTATAAGGTACTACAAGGTCACTACTTGGTTCACCTTAACCACCCCATGGGTGCTACTAATTCACTACGGGTTGCTACAAAGTCACTACTTGGCTCACCTTAACCACCCCATGTGTGCAACATAGTCACTACGAGGTGCTTCAAAGTCACTACTCGGCTCACCTTAACCACCACATGTGTGCAACTTGGTCACTACTTGAATCAACATAACCATCCCATGTGTGCAACATAGTCACTACGAGGTGCTACAAAGTCACTACGAGGTGCTAAAAAGTCACTATGCGGTGCTACAAAGTCACATCTGAGGTGCAAGTTAACCACCCCATGGATGCTACAAATTCACTACGAGGTGCTACAATGTCACTACGCGGTGCTACAAAGTCACTACTTGGTTCACCTTAACCACCCCATGGGTGCTACAAATTCACTACGAGGTGCTACCAAGTCACTACGAGGTGCTACAAAGTCAATACGAGGTGCTACACAGTCACTACTTGCTTCAACTTAACCACCCCATGTGTGCAACAAAGTCACAGCTTGGTTCAACTTAACAACCCCATTGGTGCTACAAATTCACTACGAGGTGCTACAAAGTCACTACGCGGTGCTACACAGTCACTACTTGGTTCACCTTAACTATCCCATGGGTGCTACAAATTCACTAAGAGGTGCTACAAGGTCACTACTTGGTTCACCTTAACCACCCCATGGGAGCAACAAAGTCACTACTTGATTCAACATAACCACCCCATTGGTACTACAAAGTCACTATGAGGTGCTACAAAGTCACCCTGGGGTGCTACAAAGTTACTATGAGGTTCTACAAAGTCACTACAAGGTGCTACAAAGTCACTACTTGATTCAACATAACTATTCCATGTGTGCAACAAAGTCTACTTGGTTCAACTTAACCATACCATGGGAGCTACAAAGTCACTACGAGGTGCTAAAAGGTCTCTATGAGGTGCTGCAAAGTCACTACTTGGTTCACCTTCACCACCCCATGTGTGCAACAAAGTCACAACTTGGTTCAACTTAACACCCCCATTGGTGCTACAAAGTCACTAAGGGGTGCTACAAAGTCACTACTTGATTCAACATAACCACCCTATGTGTGCAACAAAGTCACTACAAGGTGTTACAAATTTACTACGAGGTGCTACAAAGTCATTATGCGGTGCTACAAAGTCA